CCCCAAAATTGATGCGGCGGAAAAGGCGCGACGGCAACGGCTAAACCTGTGTTGGTATTGTGGGGGCAGCAGACATTTCTCTCGGGAGTGCCCTGTGAAGAAGAAGACAAGCCCCCGCTTGACGGGGGTCTCCGGCTCTGTGGAGCCCGTGGCGCCCCAGGCCCAGGTATCCGGGGAGCAGGGGGCCAAACAGCCGGCGGGGGAAGGCAACGACCGAGTTTAGATGGGCTCGCAAACTCGGTCTCCACCCCGTTTCCGGAGCCCGCGACTGGGATGCTGTTTTTYCTCTTGGTTTCGTTTTGTGTGGCCCAAAAGACTCCCACGGCGGTGCACGCGCTGGTCGACTGTGGGGCCACGAACAATTTCATGGACAGTCGGTTTGTGGAGTTCCTTAGATTACAATGCTTAGACCTCCAGCCTCCCCGGGATGTACAAAACTTTGATGGGCGTTTGCTGAAAGCCGGGCCGGTGGCKYRYTATRCAKYRCCYRTGMDGATGRVADKYGGGRACCAKGWGGAAGAGGTCTCYTTTTTGGTCACGGACCTTCCACATGCCGTGGTGTTGGGAATTCCATGGCTGGCCAAGCACAACCCCACCATTTGGTGGGCTCAGAAAAGACTACAGTTCACTTCGGCCTCTTGCAAAGAACATTGCGGCGGGGAGCGGAAGTGTCGAACCGCAGAGGTTGCCGCACAAGCCACGGGCAAGTTGCCCGCCAAATACCAAGATTTCTGGGACGTTTTCAGCGAGAAGGAGGCGGAAAGACTTCCTCCCCACCGGCCGTACGACTGCGCTATTGACTTGATCCCGGGTGCCCCGATTCCGCATGGGCGGTTGTATTCTCTCTCGGAGCCAGAGCTGGCGGCTCTCCGGGAGTTTTTGGATACTAACCTACGCAAGGGGTTCATTCGTCCCTCGCAGTCGCCGGCTGGGGCCCCAGTTTTGTTTGTCAAGAAAAATTCAGGGGAGTTGCGGCTTTGCAACGATTATCGGGCGTTGAACAACATCACGATCAAGAACCGTTATCCACTCCCCCTCATCCCGGAGCTTCTCGACCGTTTGCGAGGGGCCCGGATTTTCACCAAATTGGACCTAAGGGGGGCCTACAACTTGGTGCGTATCCGGGAAGGGGACGAGTGGAAGACAGCCTTCCAGACCCGCTTTGGAAGTTTCGAATACAGAGTCATGAGTTTCGGGCTCTGTAACGCTCCAGCCACGTTCCAGCACTTCGTCAACGATATCTTTCGTGATTTTTTAGACCGTTTCTTGGTCATTTACCTGGACGACTTCTTGATCTACTCCACGAATCCACGTGATCACGCGCAACAGGTGCGCGCAGTGCTCCAGCGTTTGAGAGATCATGGACTCTATGCTAAGCTGGAAAAGTGCGCCTTCGATCTAGACGAAGTGGACTTTCTGGGACACCGCATCTCTGCGGAGGGAATTTCCATGGACCCCGCTAAAGTCTCCGCGGTGTTAGAATGGAAGTCCCTCATGAGCAGAAAGGACATTCAAAGATTCATGAGTTTTGCCAACTACTACCGCAAGTTCATCCCAGACTTTGCCCGCTGGGCGGACCCCATTACCCAATGCCTGAGTGCACGCGCTGGTCGACTGTGGGGCCACTAACAATTTCATGGACAGTCGGTTTGTGGAGTTCCTTGGATTACAATGTTTAGACCTCCAGCCTCCCCGGGATGTACAAAACTTTGATGGGCGTTTGCTGAAAGCCGGGCCGGTGGCTCGCTATACAGCGCCCGTGCTGATGAAAGTCGGGGACCATGTGGAAGAGGTCTCCTTTTTGGTCACGGACCTTCCACATGCCGTGGTGTTGGGAATCCCATGGCTGGCCAAGCACAACCCGACCATTTGGTGGGCTCAGAAAAGACTACAGTTCACTTCGGCCTCTTGTAAAGAACATTGCGGCGGGGAGCGGAAGTGTCGAACCGCAGAGGTTGCCGCACAAGCCACGGGCAAGTTGCCCGCCAAATACCAAGATTTCTGGGACGTTTTCAGCGAGAAGGAGGCGGAAAGACTTCCTCCACACCGGCCGTACGACTGCGCTATTGACTTGATCCCGGGCACCCCGATTCCGCGTGGGCAATTGTATTCTCTCTTGGAACCAGAGCTGGCGGCTCTCCGGGAGTTTTTGGATACTAACCTACGCAAGGGGTTCATTCGTCCCTCGCAGTCGCCGGCTGGGGCCCCAGTTTTGTTTGTCAAGAAAAAGTCAGGGGAGTTGCGGCTTTGCAACGACTATCGGGCGTTGAACAACATCACGATCAAGAACCGTTATCCGCTTCCCCTCATCCCGGAGCTTCTCGACCGTTTGCGAGGGGCCGGATTTTCACCAAATTGGACCTAAGGGGGGCCTACAACTTGGTGCGCATCCGGGAAGGGGACGAGTGGAAGACAGCCTTCCAGACCCGCTTCGGAAGTTTTGAATACAGGGTCATGAGTTTCGGGCTCTGTAACGCTCCAGCCACGTTCCAGCACTTCGTCAACGATATCTTTCGTGACTTTTTAGACCGTTTTTTGGTCATCTACCTGGACGACTTTTTGATCTACTCCACGAATCCACGTGATCACGCGCAACAGGTGCGCGCGGTGCTCCAGCGCCTGAGAGATCATGGACTCTATGCTAAGCTGGAAAAGTGCGCCTTCGATCTAGACGAAGTGGACTTTCTGGGGCACCGCATCTCTGCGGAGGGAATTTCCATGGACCCCGCTAAAGTCTCCGCGGTGTTAGAATGGAAGTCCCCCATGAGCAGAAAGGACATCCAAAGATTCATGGGTTTTGCCAATTACTATCGCAAGTTCATCCCAGACTTTGCCCGCTGGGCGGACCCCATTACCCAATGCCTGAGAGGCAAACGGCCGTTCCTATGGACTGAGGCGGCTGAGAAAAGCTTTCAGCAGCTCAAGAAGCTTTTCACTTCTCAGCCTATCCTGCAACATCCTGATCCAACTAAGCTCTTTGTGGTGCAGGCCGACGCGTCGGATGTGGCGGTCGGGGCAGTGTTGCTACAACCTGCGGGGGATCATCTCCAGCCCTGTGCATACTTTTCTCGGCAGTTGACTGCCCCAGAACGGAATTACACCATTTGGGAAAAAGAACTCCTAGCCATCAAGTCGGCGTTTGAGACTTGGAGACATTGGCTAGAGGGTGCTATGCAACCAGTGGAAGTCCACACGGACCATCGCAATCTGGAATATCTCCGTACCTCCCGGAAGCTAAACCAACGACAGCAGCGTTGGGCGTTGTTTTTTGAGAGATTCAACTTCCGGATTTGCTACGTGCCGGCGGCTCAAAACAAACAGGCGGATGCTTTGTCGCGCAAGCCGGAGTATACTCGGGGCCAAGAAGATTCCTCCGAGTCCTGCATTTTGCGCCCAGAAAACTTTGCGTCCACCGGCGTACCAGGACCCCCTTCGACTCTGGCTGAAAGGATCCGAGCGCGGCAGCAAGAGGACTTGTGGGTGCAAGAGCAACTAGAGGCCGGGCTAAAGTTCCCATTTCAGGAGTTGGATGGCATGCTGTGTCATCGTTCAAAGGTCTATGTGCCGCCCGGTCCCGAGCGGGAGGAAATTTTAAGACTATGCCATGACACCAAGCCAGCAGGGCATTTCGGGATCTTTAAAACAATGCAGCTGGTGCTGAGAGACTTTTGGTGGCCCAAGATCCGACGAGAGGTCGAGAAATATGTCAATGGGTGCCCTGTTTGTCACCGCGCCAAGAACCCTACGGGCAAACCGGCTGGTTTGCTACAACCTCTACCCACTCCGAGTCGGCCCTGGGAAATCGTGTCGGCCGACTTCATCACGGATTTACCAGAATCTCAAGGTTTCACCACTATTTTGGTGGTGGTGGATCTTTTCACCAAGATGGGACATTTCATTCCCTGCAAGGGAGTGCCTACTGCCAAAGAAACTGCCGACTTGTTCCTGAGCCACATTTTCCGTCTTCATGGACTTCCAACGAGTTTGGTGACCAATCGCGGTGCCCAATTTATATATTATTCCCTGTCATATAGTACCTACTTACCCAGCTTTGGGATCATGAATTCCATTGCATTAATAGAGGCCACAAGTCTCACTGACAGGTCCTAACAGGATAAGGTTGCTTTTCCTCATAAATATAATTTATCCCTTCAGTTATAATTTTCTAGTACATCTAGATGGTAACCCAGATAATGGAAGGAGCTTTCAGAGAAAAAAGTCAGAAAGAGGGAGAAAAAAATTTACTTCTTCTGCTAGTAGTTTAATACATTTTACAGGCCACGGGGGTCAATGCATGGTTGCGAATGACAGGTACATAATTCTCATTATCAAAATTCTTACTTTTTCTTCAAAAGAGGATTCTCCAAGCTGGTGCCCTCCAAATATTTTGGGAATACTGCTCCCATGCTAATCATTATCCACGCTGTTTAGGGTTAATTGGAGTTGAAATTCAAAGCATCCAAAAGCCTAAGGTTGGAGAAGACACTAAAAGCCAATGATATGCTTTGAACAGCTCTCACAGAAGAACTTCCTAGCAGTGAAATCTGTTCAGCAGTGGAACTCTCTGCCTTGGACTGTGGTGGAGGCTCCTTCCTTGGAGATTTTTAAACAGAGGCTAAATGGCCATCTGTCAGGAGTGCTTTGAATGTGATTTTCTGCTTCTTGGCAGGGGGTTGGACTGGAACAACTGGCCACCACCAACTATAAAAGGAATTTTCAGTTCTTGTTTAACCAGAGCTTTTAATTAAGCTGGAATGTGCTAAATTCGCACTCAGAGCTCTGAACACTGAGGTAAATAACAATGAAATTATTTTAAAATGTCGCTGCCACCAATCTGGAATCTCTGTTTCTCTAAATTCTCTTCTCCTAACTCACTCTCTCCCAACTGTCTTCTTCAAAACCCAGAACCTGACTAAACTGTCAGATTTTAAAATGCACCCTTTCAGGCAATTTTTTTCTGCCCTCCAACTAAGCTCCACCCACTTTCTCCCAGCCAATCACAAAGGTTCTCCACATTTCCCTCCAGGCTGCTCTTAAGCTTCGCTTCCTCTAGGAAATGATTAAGATGGCTGCCTCCATGCACCATCTCATAAAATGGCTGCCAAAATACTTGGGCCAACTTCCTGAGCTTTTCCCTGGCCTAAAAGGTAAGCAATTCATCACAGGCTTCAGAAGGCAGTTGACAATTCTGTAAAATCTTCCAAATAAAAACCCAAGAACATTAAACAGATAAAGATTAAAAACAACTAAAAATTAGTCCAGAAATTAAGTAGCTGTGTAATATACAGTGAAGAGACTACTTTGAACTTCTATAATATGCATATGTGTGTGTGTAGATGTGCCTTTAAGCCTCCTGTTGACATGCTGACCACATGCATTTTGAAGGTTTTTCTTAGGCAAGGAGTACTCAGAGGTGGTTTTGCCACTTTCTTCTTCTGAAATACAGCCTGGTAATCATTGACAGCCTGCCACCCAAGTACTAACCAGGGTTGTTCCTGCTTAGCTTCCAAGATAATATTTGTTAATATTTCAGGGCCAGTATTTTAATGTATTTTTATTGCTTTTGAATGTATTTTTATTACTGTTGACCTGTTTATGTTAATTGTTGTGTTTTAACTGTTTCTTTGTCAGCATCTAATGACTGCCAATTGTAATCCGTCCTGAGTCCCCCTTTGGGGGTTGAGAAGGACGGGATAAAAATGCTCTAAATAAATAAATAAATAAATACATACATACATACATACATACATACATACATAAATATCAGATGGGTACACCATCAGAATTCTCCCTTCCGGCCATGCCTTTCTTGGTAACAGAAGATGGAGCAAGCCTCTGAAAATTACCATAATTGACATACACTTGTTCAGACACTCCAGGTAGTTTGGGTCCTGAATGATAATCCTCAACCATTGTAATTGTTCCCAGGGGGGAAAATAGTCATCAGTGTAACATAACAAAGCACCAAATTATAATTATGTAGTGTGAAACTACTGGTCTAAAGCTATATATTTCTACATTGTTAATTATTAACATACCTAATGATGTGATAGAAGCTGACACTTAAGTTTGATGATCTCCTTTTCATGATTTTGAATGCAGTCTGAGAAAAGATGAATGTGATGGCTGACACAATATGGATTTCCGCTGATTAACTCAAGAACGGAGCAAAAACCAATTGATTCCAGAACAAATGTGTAATGCAGTATGTTCTTTTAATTAGCTTGCAGCTCTTATTGGAGTTTCCTTAATGCTGGGGATCGTGCTAAAGCTGGGATACTACTTCCAGTACCTTCCTAATGTAAGTTAATGTATAATCTCAGTAAAATGATGGTATTAAGTGGACAAATGTATCTTACATTAATTAAGAATATGGCTGTCTATAAAAACTTTGGGCTTTTCATCATATGAACATTACCATATTTGTTGCCAGTTGCCTATCACAGACTTTAGGAGCATGAATGATTTAACATGAATGTCAAACTGTTAAAGAAACATGATTAATTGGCAATAAAACATTGTGGAAATTCAGTCATAATCTATCTTGTAGAACTGTAAAAATCGCCAAATTGTAAAACAACATTAACAACACTAAAATTGGCCAATAATAAAGTAATTAGAAGTAGTTATTGTTGTTCAAAAATTGTTGGTATTTCATAATTTAAAAAAGGAATGTCAACATTGTTGACAAGCTTGATCAGTTGGGGGAACAGATTAATTCTTCATTAGTTATTTCCAAGTGTTGGCCTGGAGAAGATGGTAATTGTATTCCATCAACTCTGGACAGAATCAGTTTGAAAGGGTTGCTCTAGAAATCTACAGTTCATATGCTATTATGACATTAGCTTGCTAATCAAACAAAATCTGCTTTTTCCTACTAGTGAAGTATTTCAAGTGTCTATTCTGACAGTTTATCTAACAGTGCTCAATATATTTTATGCATAGTATTTTTCAGAAAAGGCAAATTAATATTTTTATTACTTTGCACAGTCTGTTTTAGCTGCTATTATACTGGTCAACATGTTCCCATTTCTGGAGAAATTTATGGATATCCCTTTCTTGTGGAGGCAAGATAAGTATGATTTTGTAAGTGTTATACCATCTACAAAAAAATGGGAAAGAGAAATGATATGAGCTGGCAGATTCATGTTACATATCCCCAAACAACAATGTTGGAGCGATCCACAACCATATATCTTTGAACTCTCTTGGTTGAGGGGATCAGTATAAGTAAGATGATTGAGAACCATGATTAGATCTTCTCTTTCTAAATGTATATTTTTACTAATGGTGTAAGGAGAAGCTCTGTATCTTATAAAGAAAAGGGTTCCTTCAAATCAGGATACGAGTCCAGCATAAAATCTTGGAAAACATATTTTGATTTGGAGAAAGCTCTTAAACCACAATTTCATAGTTCAGATATCACAGAAAATGGGAAAGTTTTCTGACGCCAAATACAAAAGCAGATGAGGGGGATTGACATGGACATATAACCTTGTTTCAACTATATTAAATATGCTTATCAGAGAGGATCATCGTATCCTAACTGAAATATTACAAACAATACAACATCAGGTGCTTCCAGACAGAACTAAATCACGGGTTTTAAATGGGGCAACAAAATCCCAGGACTTCAGAAGAGGTCCACATACAGACCTGTTGGTCCCAGGATTTCTGCCTCTACTGTCCAGACTTGATGCTTTGTTGCAAGATTTAGAGGTTCCCAAGATGACCACCAAGGGACTTCAGCATTTGTTTTTTTTTAATCTCAAAATGCGGAAATGTGGATATCACTGCAGCAAATCACTGCAAAAGTTCAATTCGTTGTCCTGGCCAGCGAAACTGTGCCCTCCAGATGTTTCATGAGGTATCTGCCACACAAACAAAGTTTACAGGGTGAACCACTTCTGCCCAAGTCAGCACTGCACAATCAAACAGGAACACACACTTTCAGACCAGGAACAGAACGTTGTCATTATTGATACTTTTTAGAACCTGGCTGTCTGGCCATCTGTCCAGACAGATTTGGTTGTGTACTTGTGGCATCAAATAACAGGATGCTGTTCCTAATTGCTCTTCCTGTGAAAAGATGTATAACATTGAAAAGGGGACCACAACTTTGTTCTGGGCAGAGAAAATGTGCCCTCCACACATTCCATGAAGTTTCTGGCACTCCCACAAAGTTTTTGCCTTCTACTCAAGTGTCACCTTCTTTTTAGGAACCGACCTATCAGAAACCAACACCTAAAACCCAGGAACAACCCCAGATAAAAAATCCAGTGAATTCTGATTGCAGGGACATACACACCTTTATTTATTTATTTGCAGTATTTATATTCTGCCCTTCTCACCCCACAGGGGACCCAGGGCAGATTACAATGCACATATACATGGCAATCATTCAATACCATTTAGACATACAACATATGTAGACAGACACAGAGGCATTTAACATTCAAGCTTTTCTGGCTTCATGAAGATATGCTCGATTCCGGCCCCAGGGGGAGCTGCCGCTTCACCGTACACTTGTGACACCAAGTACTTTGAGCGAGTACTTCCTCATTCTTCTGCATGCTGCTGAAAGGTTTTATGATATCCTAAATTAGTTAAATTAGCCTCTCCGCATAAAGCATTACCTAAATTTCCTATTTGACAGATGCAACTGTCTTTTGGGCAGCGTAGGTCAACAGCAAACTAGACTATTAATCATTGGGAACCTACTCCAACCTCTCGGTCAGTAGTGATTTAACGCAGCTGACAACTAACTAGCTGTGCCACACCCTAGTCCACAGACTAACGAGCTGCAAAGATCCGCATATTTGGCTCAAAACTGCAATATTCCCACACTTGGAAATCTTGTGTTTTTGGGGGGTTTTTAGCGATTGCTTCTGCGAATACGGGGAATGGCATCAGGCCACTTTCATGTTTGCTGCAGAAGCTCCTGGGATAAAAGTACTGTCTGGGCAGACCCATAGAAGCAGAGCTTTGAATGCTGTTTTGATTACAACCTCAGCAATGCTGACCATGATTCAAAACTACCAAGTAGTTTTAAGGAATCCACTTTCACAAAATCTTTTAAAAATTCTTGAACATTTTCTTTCTGGAGAGGCCCTGTCATTCCTGTACTGTTTGTTCTTTTATCTCTAGTACATAATGGTTCAATGTTATACTTGTGCCTTACAATTATATTTAAATAGCTAATATTATCCCTATTTTATCTTTTCTTAAAGGGCATTTGGATTGTGACATTTCTAGCTGTGCTCTGCCTTGGTCTGGATATAGGCTTGGGAATTGCGATGGGATTTGCCTTTTTCATAATAAGTGTCCGGTCACAAAGGTACTGTCTCCTTTTGTAGTATGGTATTGGATGAATATATGTAGGGAGAAATAAATGTGTGCATAGAAGTGTTGAGAAAGATTGTTTTTATGGGAAGAGAAGATCACTTTCTTGGAAACATCATTCTTCATCTGTGGATATCAGTTGGACACATCATTGGAACACTGTAAATATATATCTATATTATATCCTCTGAATTCCAGGCTTCAATAGATAAGTTGTGCCTTTACAACAAGCACATAACAAACTCTCATGTTAAATTTTACAGCACACAATATATAACATTTTACTGTGAGGTAACTTACAGTATGGAGGTGGTTACTAACTGCTTTCTCTACACCATATTTGAGCGAATGTTTTGTTTCTATAGTGGAGTAAGAAATAAGACCATCCTCTTACAGTAGAGTCTCACTTATCCAACCTTTGCTCATCCAACGTTCTGTATCCAACACAGTCTGCCTCCCGGCTGGAATAATGTCCAGGGTGGGAGAAAGAAAGAACCCTTGTCTGTTTTGGTGCAAAATTCGTAAATACAGTCATTACTACATAACATTCCTGTGTATTGAACTACTTTTTATGCCAATTTGTTGTAAAATATGATGTTTTGGTGCTTAATTTGTAAAATCATAATGCAATTTGACGTTTAATAGGCTTTTCCTTAATCCCTCTTATTATCCAACATTTTTGCTTATCCGACGTTTCTGCCGGAACATTTATTTTGGATAAGCCAGACTCTACTGTGCTTACCTTTTTTGGTGGCAGGGGGGAGTAGCAAATCTATTCCTTAGGAAACTGGGAAGAATAGCTGACTGTAATTCAGATAATAATTTAAAGCCACATTCTCAGTTACCTGTATATACTTGAGTATAAGCTGACCCGAATACAAGCCAAGGCACAAAAAAACTGGGAAAAAGTATTGACTTGAGTATAAGCCGAGAGTGGGAAATGCAGGAGCTACTGGTAAATTTCAAAATAAAAATAGATACCATTAAAATTGCATTAATTGAGGCATCCGTAGAATAAATATTTTTTGAATATTTACATGAAACTGTAATTTAAGATAAGACTGTCCAACTCTGATTAAACCATTATTCTAACCTTGTAATAATAACAATAAATTGAGTAAAATAATGCATGTAATAAAATAATAATAAATAAAGTAAAATAATAAATGTAATAACAATAGAGTAAAATTATATACATTTATATAAATAAAAATGTAATGTTCGTTTGTGGGATGAACATAACTCAAAAACTGCTGGCCAAATTGACACCAAATTTGGACACAAGACACCTATCAGGCCAACGAGTGACTATCACTAAAAAAAAAAAAACCCCGAAAAACACAGCAAAAGAGACTTTAAAAGCCAAAAAATAAAAATAAAAATACATGACATTGCATGCGCAAAACCACATATATACACATAAATGCACACACAAAATACATATACACAGACTGGGCCACAGCAACGCATGGCAGGGGACGGCTAGTCTATATAAATAAAAATGTAATGTTCATTTGTGGGATTAACATAATTCAAAAACCAATTGACGAAATGAAATGAAATTTGCCTAGAAGATACCTATTGAAGCAATGAGTGACCATCACTCATAAAAACATGGAAAAACATAGTGGAAGGGACTTGAAAATCCAAAAAAACCTACATGATGATACAGTGCATGCACGGAAACAACTCCCCTGGTCCCGCCCCCTCCTGTGTGAGGGAAAGAGCTGGCCACACCAGCTTTGAGAGCCAAGCATGCGTGCACGGGAAGGAAGAAGAGAAAGTAGGAGGGACAGAAAAAGGGGACAGCGAGTGTAATAATAATAATAATAAATAGAGTAAAATATTAAATGTAGGAATAATAATAATCATCATCATCATCATTACAGAGTAAAATAATAAATAACTTTGAGTTGAATATAAGCCGAGTGGGGCTTTTTTAGTCTAAAAGGGCTGAAAAACTTGGCTTACACTCGAGTATATACAGTATATAGTTGCCCGTCCATCACATTTTCTTTCCTGCAGTGTAAATAAATTATTTCTCACTACAGGCATGCTCCTATGTGGGGAAGAGAGAGAGAATAGCATTTAGAGTAGTAGGTTCTCCTTATTGAGAAGGCAGATCTAACACATATTTTGTTCCAGAATGAAGATGTTGACCTTAGGCCAGATCCCAAGCACCAATATTTATCGCAGTTTTTCTGATTACAATGAGGTAAGGGTGGTGGTGTTAATATTATTTGATATAACCATCCCCCATCACCAACACAACAGTAGTAGATACATCTGATTTAATTGGTTTCAGGAATTATATTTTGGTACACTGGAACTGAAGAGCTGTACTTGAAAAGTCACAGGTTCTGGCATTCTAACTGCTGAAAAATATGGGGCATGATGTTCCTTCTGTCAGAATGCAGTCAACAATTACAGTGTGTGCTGTTTGCTATTGCCTTGTTATCCCTGACATAAACAAGGAAAGTATATATGTGGCACACAGTCTGTGTTGCTACTTGTGTTTTGTTTGCAGAAGTACAGAAAAGAGGGGGGAACTTAAGGGTGGAGAGTTCAGTAAATACTGAGCATGGTGACTGACTCATGGGGAAAGAAAAGGAAAAGAGATGGGAATGGAATAATACATTTAGGGAAAGAAGATGGCATACCAAGCTGTAACAATTTTTGTCTGTAAAAACAAAGTTTTGCTTTGATTTTTAGGCTATAGAGATTCAAGGTTTGAAGATATTCCAGTGCTGTGCTTCTATTTCATTTGCAAATATGAAGAATTTCAAAAGATACATTTTGCGTAAGGTAATCACTGCTTTTCTAATGATAATGGCCAGGAATTCCAATCTTCTGGCTTCAGCTAAACTGATGTCTCCAATAAACTGCCCCTGTTTCTGTTTCAGATGGATATGAAGGCTGTGCCCTTGGATGAAAACGAGATGAGAGCTTTGATCTCACACAGTATGTCTACTGTTAAAGGACAGAGCGCGGATTTAAAGTGTTCCTGTGTTTGTGACCCCCCTGAACCATTACCCAGGGTTAGAGATTTCTCTTTTGTGAATTTGTTTGTTTAATCATATTCTTTTCAGATTTCCCCATCGGAAGCCATTGAGGCAAGTGTTTTTACATTCCCCGGATCTGAACTCTAGAACTACCAGGCATATGTATATGCACGGAATCTGAGAAAATAATAATAATAATAATAATAATAATAATAATAATAATAATAATAACAACAACAACACCACTGTATTTGTATTAGTGGAGCCCCCAGTGGCAAAATAGGTTAAACTCTTGTGCCAGCAGGACTGCTGACAGACAGGTCAGCAGTTCGAATCCAGGGAGAGTGGGTTGAGCTCCCTCTGTCAGCTCCAGCTCCCCATGCTGGGACATGAAAGAAGCCTCCCACAAGAATGGTAAAACATCCGCATGTCCACTGGACAATGTAAGTAACATTTTGACAATTTAAAACAGAGAATTAAAACATCTTAATATTAACATTTAAATCCCGTGATTCAAAATCGTAGTCTGAAGCCATTCTGGTTGTCAAATTGCAATTATTTCCTATTTATTGCATGAGCTGCATTACTTACTCCCCAAAGGCTTGGTCCCATAGCCATGTCTTCCTGAAGGTAAGGAGGAAGGTGCCGGATTGAATATCACTGGGGAGGGAATTACAGAGCCGAGGGGCCACCACTGAAAAAGCCCTGTCTCCCATCTCCAACAACTGTACCTGGGAAGGAGGTGGGATTGAGAGCATGGCCTCTCCAGAAGATCTGAACCTCTGAGATGGTTCATAGAGGGAGATGCATTTGGACAGGTAAGCTGAACCGTTTAGACCAGCACTTTGAATTGTGCTCGGTAGCAGACTGGCAGCCAGTGATGCTGACACAACAGAAATCTGGCTGCTGCCCATTGGACCACTTGGAGCTTCCGAACAGTCTTCAAAAGCAACCCGACATAGAGCACATTGCAGTAATCTATTCGGGATGTAGCAAGAGCATGGACCACTGTAATAGTCCTGTAGGCTATATTCGGAGGTCAGCAATGGTCTAATACACAGAATCTTTTGCATTTATATCTTTGTCCCCTTGAGCTGATTTTCAACTCCCAATAGTCAGTGCATCTAAAATAATTGTTGTTGCTGCTCCTTTTTTTCAGTCTAAAATGCTGGCGCGGAAGGATGGAATAGGAGGAAATACAATACACATCTCCATGCATTCTCAAATACCTGTATCAGAATGAAAAAGCCATTTCTAGTTTGGTACTGAATCAGTATTACTGATTCAACAATAAATCAGACACAGTGAGATAACCTAGCATTTACTTTCCAGTTCACTGTTTTTTCAATCAATCAAAACAAAAAATGTTTGGCATTAAATTTACTGTAAATTATATTGCTGAAATACAGATTAAATTAAGTTTGCTTGTAGATTACTTTCCCTTTGGTCATTTCCAGCTCAACTGTATGCTTGCAAATTGAAGATGAAAAAAAAACAAGGTGTCATTTATCCTAAATGAAGAATGGTAACAGTTTCAGATGTGCCAAGATTCTGGGTGTATGATGCAACCATATTTTTTCAAAATCCATATATTTTTAATCTACTGTGTCTTATTTTCATTTATATTCCACCTTTCCTCTAATGCAGTGTTTTTCAACCTTCCTAATGTCGCAATCCCTTAATATAATTATTCATGTTGTGGCGACCCCCAACCATAAAATTATTTTTGTTGCTACTTCATAACTGTAATTTTGCCACAGTTATGAATCATAATGTAAATATCTGGTATGAGGATGTATTTTAATTCACTGAACCAAATTTGGCACAAATACCTGATACACCCAAATTTGAATACTGCTGGGGTTGGAAGAGGGGGTTGATTTTGTCATTTGGGAGTTGTAGTTGCTGGGATTTACAGTTCACCCACAACCAAAGAGCATTCCGAACTCCACCAACGATGGAATTGAACCAAACTTGGCACACAGAACTCACATGACCAACAGAAAATACTAGAAGGGTTTGGTGGACATTGGCCTTGAGTTTTGGAGTTGTAGTTCACCTATATCCAGAGAGCACTGTGGACTCAAACAATGATGGATCTGGACCAAACTTGACATGAATACTCAATATGCCCCAATGTGAACACTGGTGGAGTTTGCGGAAAAATAGACCTTTACATTTGGGTGTTGTATTTGCTGGGATTTATAGTTCACCTACAATCAAAGAGCATTCTGAACTCCACCAATGATAGAACCGGGCCAAACTTCCCACACAGAACCCCCATGACCAACAGAAAATACTGGAAGGGTTTAGTGGGCATTGACCTCAAGTTTTGAAGTTGTTGAGCAGGAAGAGGGCTCTTGGTGAGAGGATTCGCCGTCTGTTTCCAAAAAGGAAGAGAAGGAGAGGCAGAGAGATCTTCACCCTTCTCTGCCAAAGGAGTTCCTAAGACCATCAGAAATATGTGTTTTCTGATGGTCTTTGGTGACCCCTCTGAAACCCCTCTTGCAATCCCTCCCCCAGGGGGCCGGACCCCTAGGTTGAGAAACACTGCTCTAATGAGTTTAAGGCATGACACATCACTTTCCCATCCCATTTTATTCTCACAAAAATCCTGTGCAGTAGGTCTGGTTCAGTATGTTTCCTATAGCACCGGGGACTAGAATATGAATCTTCTAAATTCTTGCCCAGCCCCTTAACCAATATACCACACCGGGCATGTTAAAAATAATTAAATAAATTAAGACAAATACATAAATGACTTGCAGTGTCGTCCTACCTTGGTTCAGAATCTCAACTCTCTTGCATTCTAGGTGCCTTATACGGAGAAACTTATACGGCGAGTTCATACATCTAATGAGACATTCTCTTCTTCTTCTTTGGCCTTGGTACGCTGGACAAGGAATGACAGTAGATATCTTTCTGATACTGACTATGTGCAGCCTCTCGGAGAAAGGGTAGAAGGAAACGATTATACAAAAAGGAAAGAAAATGTGGGCAAATTATGGCCTTGCACAGATCCTCCTTTAACAAAATCCACAACTCAATTGTACCCGCTTGATTCAGACTCTGCAGTGTATATGATCCACACCATTATTTTGGACTTCAGCATGGTGCACTTTGTTGATTTGCAAGCATCTTACTTATTACGGGGGGTAAGTAACCCAAATTATTGCCACTCAGTTGATGTATCAATAATGTTATTCTTCTAGAGCACGGGTCCTCAAACTTTTCAAACAGAGGGCCAGTTCTTGGTAGCTAGGACTGTTGGGGGAGGAGAAGAGTAGGATTTGTTGTTGTTGTTGTTGTTGTTTGCTTTCAGGACATTTCAGACTTAGGGTGACCTTAAGGCAATCCTATCATAGAGTTTTCTTGTTGCCAAGATTTATTCAAATGGGATTTGACTTGGTCTTCATCCGAGGCTGGGAGAGTGTAATGTGACTCCTAAAGTCACCCAGTGGGTTCAGAACCACAGGCTGAGGTTCAAACCACAATACCATACTTTCTGAATTCTTTCCCTATCTGTTTCCCACCTACCTTTCTTTCTCCCTTTCCTCTTTTTCCTGCCTCCCTCCTTCCTTCCTTCCTTCCTTCCTTCCTTCCTTCCTTCCTTCCTTCCTTCCTTCCTTCCTTCCTTCCTTTCTGTATTTCTTTTTCTTTCTTTCTTTCTCCCTCCCCCCCCCTCGCTTTGGGGGGAAATAGAGAGAGGAAAGGAAAGGAAAGGGAGAGTTAAGAAGGGGATGCAGAGAATTCAGCTGTTTTTGGAGAGAGATAAGGAGAGGAAAGGGCCCCTGGGTGATGCAGTGGGTTAAACCGCTGAGCTGCTGAACTTGCTGACCAAAAGATTGGCAGTTCAACTCCAGAGAGCAGGGTGAGCTCCCACTGTTAGGCCCAGCTTCTGCCAACCTAGCAGTTCGAAAACATGCAAATGTGAATAAATCAATAGGTACCGCTTCTGCGGGAAGGTAACGGCGCTCCATGCAGTCATGCCGGCCACATGACCTTGGAGGTGTTTAAGGACAACTCCGGCTCTTCGGCTTAGGCTCCCCCCCCCTTGAGTTGGACACTACTAGATTTAATGTCAGGGGAAACCTTTACCTTTATTTAAAGAGAGAAAATGAGAATGAGGGAGCAAAGAAGGAGGGAAATAGAGAATGGAAATGCAAGAAGAGGATGGCAGTAGTAGTAGTGAGTCTACAGTTTAGAGTGGGTCTGGGGAAAACACCTTGGCAGGCTGGATTCAGCTCGCAGGCCATAGTTTGAGTACTTCTGGTCTAATGCATAGGCCCTGTTTAAATATTGCTGTGAAATATTAAAATTTTGTATACAGATGATTTGCAGGCAGGTTGATCATTTCTTGCAGTTATCCAATAGATAACTGACATTTTACTTTTAAGTTGGAACCGATTAGATTTGTGTGGATGTGGCAATCATTTGGTTGATTAAAAACAATATGCACTCAAGGATAAAAATGAGGTGTTCAAGTATCATATCATATGATGATGGCTATTATTATTATTATTATTATTATTATTATTATTATTATTATTATATTTTTAATTATATATATTTATATTTTGCCTTTATCTCTGCAACTGAGACCCATCATAAAGGAAGACTTGTCTCCTAAAATGTGTTTACCATGAAAAATAATTTCTAGAATGCTTTCTTAGATCAAGAATGGAAAATATGCTTTTAGTCATACGTATATTTACAAAAGAAGAATGTATAATTTATTATCTAAGCATAGGCTTAAATATTATAATTCAGACGTCATTAGCTTTTTAGCTGAATTTGGGGGAGGGGGGAGAGATTCAAGAATATATCTTGCAGATGGTGGTGTATGATTTTCTGTAAGGTTCTGATTTTAAAAGTAGTACAGAAAGCAGCAGCAGTTGTTTCTGCCACCAATCTTCATACTAAAATCATAGAATCATGGAAGAGACCTTGTGGGCCATCCAGCCCAATCTCCTGCCAAGAAGCAGGAAAATCGCATTCAAAGTACCTCTGACAGACAGCCATCCAGCCTCTGCTTAAAAGCCTCGAAAGAAGGAGCCTCCACCACACTCCGGGGCAGAGTGTTCCACTGCTGAACAGCACTCGCTGTCAGGAGTTTTTTCCTAATCTTCAGGTGGAATCTCCTGTAGTTTGAAGCCATTGATCCGCGTCCTAATCTCCAGGACAGCAGAAAACAAGCTTGCTCCCTCCTTCCAATAACTTCCCCTCACATCTTTATACATGGTCCTCATCGTGTCTCCTCTCAGCCTTCTCTTCTTCTGGCTAAACATTCCCAGCTGTTTAAGCCACTCCTCATAGGGCTTGTTCTCCAGATTCTTGATCATTTTAGTTGCCCTCCTCTGGACACATTCCAACTTGTCAACACCTCCCTTTAATTGCGGTGCCCAGAATTGGACACAATATTCCAGGTGTGGTCTGACCAAGGCGGAATAGAGGGGGAGCAGGACTTCCCTGTATCTAGACACTATACTCCTATTTATGTAGGCCAAAATCCCATTGGCTTTTTTAGCTGTCACATCACTAAAAGCCCCTAGTGGCACAGTGGGTTAAACCCCTGTGCTGGCAGGATTGAAGACTGACAGGTCACAAGTTCAAATCCAGGGAGGGCATGGATGAGCTCCCTCTATCAGCTCCAGCTCCTCATGTGGGGACATGAGAGAAGCCTCCCACAAGGATGATAAAACATCAAAAGCATCAGGGCATCCCCTGGGCAATGTCCTTGCAGACGGCCAATTCTCTCACACCAGAAGAGACTTGCAGTTTCTCAAGTCGCTCCTGACACAACAAAAAAAAATAACTAAAAGCAAGACAAACTCTTGAAATCCCATCATATAATTTTGTATCAGTCTATGCATCAAAGATATAGACATAACTAATGTTAATATACTGCCTTCCTTTTACAGCTTTGTCATGCATTTCAGAATATTGGCATCACAGTTCTGATAGCTGCATGTCATCGTAAGTACTGTAATTTTATCTCTAGCTATTTTGGAGATCATTCATATGAATAGTATCTGTGCATAGCTGGTGACACATAATTCTTTTTTCATTTTAATCTCACAGCCACGGTAATGAGATCTTTTGAAAAGATGGATTTTTTTGACCAGTGTGTCACTAAAGCACGATTCTTTCCGACTCTACATGATGCCGTACTTTATGCTGTGGAGCCAGATCTCTTGCAAGAGGCGGTGCCAGTGGAAGATGGGAACATGCTGCCTGACGAAGTCTTTGCTGATGTACATTTAGATGACCAAAAGGTGTCGTACTTCACAGAAATCCATAAAGGCACTGATCTGACCGTTGTTAATCTGGGGAAGTTGTCTGGTCATTTTATGATTAGGAACCATTTAATAATTCATTTTAAGAGCTTATTGCTTTTAGATGGGAATAAAGAGCTCATTCCCATCTCCTGGAGCTCATTCACCTCCTATTCTGTAGTAAGTGTCTGTAAATTTGGGGTGCATCTACGCTGCAGAATGAATGCCATTTGACACCACTTTAGCTCAGTGCTATGGAATCATGGGAGTTGCAGTTTTTGGAAAGGCATAACCTTTTGGGGAAAGGATGTACCTTTCAGATCATAACTTTTTGGAAAATATGATCTTCCTGAGAAGAGCTAAAAACCCAATTGAATGAATCTCTTCTTTAGTGGTAAATATCCACTAGTATTCATGCAAGGCAGTTTAGGTTTCTCAGTTGTTAGACTGATATACCTGGTTATCTTTTTGAACTGTTAGGAACAAAGATATGCCAATGCACAAAATAAATAGCAGATCTTCAGAAGTGTTATTTCAGTTGCCCAAGAACATCTACCCTCCCATAAAACAGATTTGGTTTTAAATCATGCTCCCAAGAGATAAAATAAGTAGTCTTTGTTAAAAATAGCATAGTTGGTTTACTTACAAACTCCATGTATTCAGCATACAGGTACCTTGCTTATCAGTTTAATCAGTAAGTTCTCTAAAGCATTCTGTTTCAGTCTCTTCTCTGTCTAAAGCACATTCTCTTAATGCAAACTACACACTGTCTAATGCAGTGTTTCTCAACATGGGGATCGTGAGGGGGTGTCATAGGGGTCACCAAAGACCATTAGAAAACAAAGTATCTTCTGTGGGTCATAGGGGTTCTGTGTGTGTGGGAAGTTTGGCACAATTCTATTCTTAGTGGGGTTCAGAATCCTCTTTAATTGTAGGTGAACTATAAATCCCAAATGAAAAAATCAATTCCCCCAACCCTACCAGTATTCAATTTTGGATGTATCGGGTATTTGTGCCAAATTTGGTCCAGTGAATGAAAATACATCCTGCATATGTGATATTTACATTACAATCCATAACGGTAGCAAAATTACAGTTATGAAGTAGCAACAAAACATGAGGAACTGTATTAAGGGGTTCGCGGCATTAGAAAGGTTGAGAAACACTGGTCTAATGCATATTGACACTACTATACATTATACTCACAGACTTCTAAAATGGAGTCTCAGTCTAAATAGTCCCAGATCTGGTCACATGGTCTGCAGTCCCTCCCACAACCTCAAGCAACATAGAGTTAAGAGAAACTGCATACCAACACACATATAATATAGTAAGCAATCTGAATTACTGTATATACATAACAAATTACTGGTATAGGGGGTTTGTAGAAGGTTGCTATTTCCAACAGTAGTTGTACAAGGTCTTTAGCGTTCTCTGCCAAAGAGGGCTGGAGAGTCATCAAACTACAACTCTCAGGATTCCATAGCATTGACCCATGACAATTTAAGTGGTGTCAAACTGCATTCATTCTGCAGCATAGATGCACCTTTAGACCTTTTTGTTTATGTAGCTTTGTATCACACAAGAAATCTTACATATGTTGAATGTGTCTTACCTTTACAACAACCAGTTGGTTAGCTAGAACTATGTAAATAATGTCCTATCAGGATGAGATATAGCCTGATATATAACTACAAATCTGTGTGCATTTTGACATAGTATATTTCTGTATTTTTCAGGACAGAAGGAGTCAGCTATCAGGGAGGAATCCACAATTAGACAGGATTAGTGAGCACTCAGAAGGGATCAGAGATAACTCGCTGAAAACATTTCCGAGTGATGCTTACCTTGATGAGCCTATATCGGATCTTTTCCGCACGTTTTCTCTCCAGAGCGACGTTGAAGTAATCCCTCACCATCTTGAAACGTCTCCTGTGGAAGAAAATGAAGACGATCAAGACTGGAATCGGAAATGGCAGTATCCCAATGATGTCTAAGTTATGAGAGCTATCAGAATTTAGCTACATAAAAATGGCACAGATTTGACTCAATTCAGATAGTTCTCATTTTGGGCCAAATACTTTTTTTGTTTTTTGATATTTAAATTAATGTTGTTAAAATGCTTAACCATGTTTGGTTGGTGTTATAAGGGAAACAGTGCAGAGAGCATGTGAATACATTAATTGTAGAATATTGATTAGACAATAGACGTGGCTGTATAACATGGTCATCAATTAAACAGTGTAATTTCCAAGGCTTTTGTTTTCTTCACAGCATACATTCTCCGTATGTTGACAAGTCTTTGTATCCTCGTTGAACATCTAAAATGTAAATTAAAGCCCTTTCATTCTCAGGATGGCGAGGGGCAATCCATTATGCTGCTGAACCTGTCAATTAAAGCCTTTTATCTGATACAATTTCATGAAGATTAATAATTAGTCCATGGTTATGAGGAGTGTATAGCTCAGGCCTGGGGGCTGGATGCAGCCCCTTGGGCTCTTTTCTCAGGCCCTCCTCTCTCTCACCATCCTATCCTTCTTTACTTCTCTCCTTCCTTTCTCCTTCCCTCTCTCCCTCCCTCCTTCCTTCCTTCCCTCCCTCCCTCCCTCCTTCCTTCCTTCCCTCCCTCTCTCCTTCCTTCCTTCCTTCCCTTTTGTCTTTCCCTCCTTTCCTCCATTCCCTTTCACCTTTCCTTCCACCCTTTTCTTCCTCCCTCCCTTCCTTCTCTTTTTCCTTCCTCCTTTCCTCTTGGGAGATGTTTAGCTGGGAAAAGAGAAGGTAGAGGGGGAACATGAGAACCATACTTTTAAGATTTAAAAGGGTGTCCCATTGTGGAGGAAGAGGGGGAAATTGACTTTCTGCTCCTCTAGAGACTAAGGAACAAGAGAGCAATGGTTTCAAATGGCAGGGAAGGAGATTTGACTGAAAAGATTAGGAAGAACTTCCTGAGAGTAAGAGCTGTTGGAAAGGGCATAGGCTGCCTCAAAGTGTGGTGGAGTCTCCTTCTCTGGAGGCTTTTCCACAGAGGCTGTCTATTGGGAGTGATTTGATTGTGCCTTCTTGCATGGCAGGGGGTTGGACTGGATGGCCCTTGGGGGTCTCTTCCAGCTCTTTCTAGGATTCTATATCAGGAGTAGGCAAAACGAGGTCTAAAGGATATACTTTTTCTCTCTCGTCCACTATTTCATCCTGACCAAGGCCCACACTTTTGGGATCGAAACATTTCCCGTCTTTCCTTCACTTTCTGCCTACAAAAGAGAAGAGGGAGGGAGCAAAGAGCAGGGAGGGGGCTTGTGGAGAACCCCCTCCCTCCCTTCCTCCTGACCCACCCACCCCACTATCATGCTGATATCATAATCTCAGTAGTGCTATGCCATACATTTTAAACCTGGACCCTATAATCTTACTAATCTCAATCAATGCTGATACCAAATGAGAGACTCCCTCCCGGATACACAGAAAACTGGACAACTTGGAAGGCGCTGAGCAGACTTTGCTCTGTCACCACAAGATGCAGAGCCAACCTTAAGAAATTGAGCCACAAAGTGGAGTCCACAACGTACGAGTGTGGAGAAGAGCAGACCACAGACTACTTATTACAATGAAGCCTGAGCCCTGCCACATGCACAATGGAGGACCTTCTTCTAGCAACTCCAAGTGGCCAGCTACTGGTCAAAGGACATTTAATAGAATACCAACTTTGCAAACTTTGTGGAGATTTTTTGTTTTGTTTTTTGTTTTGTTTTTAAATACAATACAACTGTTTGGTTCGCTCCTGATATGATAAATACTAATCTGATGTTATAATAATGGATGGTTATTAGAACAGCTCAACATATCTATTTTCCTGCTTGCTAAATGAGGCTGGAGCGTATTTAGTATTTCAGTTTGACAAAACACAATCCTTCCCCAAATACTTCTCCTCTTACTGTACTTACCTATTTGCTGTGTGATCAAGGGCATTAGCTTGTTGCAGTTGGAAACCTTGCCAGGCTGGAAATCTGATCATAATCTGTGTGTATGTACTTATAATGATAAAATGGCAGCTGTGAGAGTAAGGGAATTTTGAACAAGGAACAGTTATAGAGGAAGGATTAAATACATCCTTCCTGGAACAAACTGTAGCAAACCACTTATTTTCTTATGTTCATATGCTGGAATAATTATAGTAACTTTGACACTTTGTTTTTAAAAGACAGGATATTTGTAATTTGGTTCTGTTTAAACTATAACGTTTAAACATATGTTGGAATAAATTAAGAGTGAGTTATTGTGTCCAGTTTTGCTTTTCGAAAATTTCGTCAAAGGCCATACAAAAATAACAAAAGGCTTGAGGATGAGTGCATGTGTTACCACTAAGCTCACACATTTATGAAGAAGACAAACATATTCTTTTGGTGTGCTGTAAAGTTTATAGTTTAGCTGACGTTGCAGCTAAACGTCAAAAAAACCAAGATTATGGCAACAAGAATGATTGACAACTGGAAAATAAAGGGAGAAACCGTGGAGGCCGTGACAGACTTTGTATTTCTAGGTGCAAAGATTACTGCAGATGCAGACTGTAGCCAGGAAATCAGAAGACGCTTACTTCTTGGGAGGAGAGCAATGTCCAGTCTCGATAAAATAGTGAAGAGTAGAGACATCAGACTGGCAAGAAATTCCCTAGTCAAAGCCATGGTATTCCCTGTAGTCACCTACGGATGTGAGAGCTGGACCTTAGGGAAGGCTGAGCGAAGGAAGACAGATGCTTTTGAGCTAAGCTGAATGAAGGAAGATAGATGCTTTTGAACTGTGGTGCTGGAAGAAACAAGTTGATATTCCAGGAAATAAAGCCCACCTGCTCACTGGAGGGAAGGATATTAGAGGCAAAGCTGAAGTACTTTGTCCACATCATGAGAAGACAGGAAAGCTTGGAGAAGAGAATGATGCTGGGGAAAATGGAAGGCAAAAGGAAGAGGGGCCGACCAAGGGCAAGATGGATGGATGGCATCCTTGAAGTGACTGGACTGACCTTGAGGGAGCTGGGGGTGGTAACGGCCGACAGGGAGCTCTGGCGTAGGCTGGTCCATGAGGTCACGAAGAGTCGGAGACGACTGAACGAATGAACAACAACAAAGTTTATATACTTCCAAAGAAGTCTAGGAAAATAGTGGGTTTTTAAAAAGTAAACTCCAGACAACTACAACATAACTTTGAAGGATTTGTGCAGATCATCTAGGCTCAATATCAAGTCACATTCAACTGACCAGTCTTATACCTAATTATGAAAATGTCCTCGCACAGCTATTGATAATAGTTTCCTGAATTCAAATACAGCAACTCCTTAGCACCCATCAATATCTCAGTAGCAAAAAAAGAGAACAGAAGCTGTGTGACAGCTGCTCATTCTTAAGGTCTTAATTTTATCTGTATTTACCAGTCATTTCACTTACAACTGTTTCTCAACATGGGGGTCAGGAATCGCAAGGGGATGTCAGAGGAGTCACCAAAGACCATCAGAAAATACAGCATTTTCTGCTGGTCTTGGGGGTTCTGTATGGGAAGTTTGGCCCAATTCTATTTTTGGTAGGATTCAAGGTTGTTGTTTTTTTATTGTAGGTGAACTATAAATCCCAGCAACTACAACTCCCAAATGTCAAGATCTATTTTCTCCAAACTCCACATTGGGGCATATTGAGGATTTGTGCCAAGTTTGGTCCTGATCCATCATTGTTTGAGTCCACAGTGTTCTCTGTATGTAGGTGAACTACAACTCCAAATCCTTCCAACGTTTTCTGTTGATGGTGGGAGTTCTGTGTGCCAAGTTTGGTTCAATTCCATTATTGGTGGAGTTCAGAATGCTCTTTGATTGTAGGTGAACTGTAATTCCCAGCAACTACAACTCCCAAATGACAAAATCTATCCCCTTCCCCAACCCCACAAGTATTCAAATTTGGGCATATCGGGTATTTGTGCCCAATTTAGTCCAGTGAATTAAAATACATCCTGCATATTTGATCTTTACATTATGATTCACAACAGTAGCAAAGTTACAGTTATGAAGTAGCAACAAAAATAATGTTATGGTTGTGGGTCAACACAACATGAGGAACTGTATTAAGGGGTCGCGGCATTAGGATAGTTGAGAACCACTTCCTTGCAACTTGCCTATTGTTGTATTCACACTGGCATTTGCAAATATGGAAATGGTTTCCAAGAGTTCACATTATCTTTCAATTTAAAGTGAGAAACTAGGAGCTGAAATTTGAAAATAAAGTTTCTAATTGAGCTAAAGTGACTGATGCTTTAGAGATTCTTAATCAAGAAAATTCTATCACTTATACAAGTCAACAAGTATTTTTATCAGATATAATTTTAAGTTGTTCTTATAGAGTTTTCTGCGTTGAATTCAGATATGTTTTTATTTTTTCCTCTATCACGTGTAGTTTTTGCAATGAGGCTAATCAAATAATTAACGCATTTATGCACTGATATCAACAGAATTTAATTGATATTGGTGCGTAAATGCATTGTTCGATTAGCCTCATTGCCAGGGAACAACAAAAGCTGTTCAAGAAGATCTGGAGGACCCCTCAATTGTTCACCACAATGACTGCTCTACCCAATTACCTATTTTGTTATTGTTTTCATTTTACAAATAACAATGTAGATGATACCACTCATGATGGAAAATGGCTATTCATCAGATTTTTCTAGGAAATTCTTTCTGAAGTGAGATTTCTGCATAGAGATTCTAATTTTATCTCACTGCAATCAACCAGTGACTTGAATGAGAATTAAAGTCCTTGCATCCGGTTTTCTTATCTTAAGAGAGAACAATTTCCATTTGGTTTAATCAGAATAAGAGAATGCAAGACAAAGAAAACATGTACTGAGGGCAATGGCTGTAGACTTGTGGTAGTGGATAGGTTTTGATTCTGATTCCCAGAATACTTGACCATTACGAGGACTTTGAAATTAAAAACATCTTGGGAAGACCAAAGGTTAAACACAGGTTTAGGTATAAAAGCTAACTCAGAATGATGAAAATTATTTCTCTTGATCATATTTTCTTTTAGGAATGTGAAGAGACAAGAATAGCAGTCCAAATTGTATTTGGAAATACAAAAAAGAAACCAAATGTTTTTTAAAATTACAGTTCATCTCTTTTCTTCAGGATGATGTTTCTCACAAGTTCAGTGACATGAGGCTTTATTTCTGCAATAGTGACAGTAGAGTCCCAGGCCTTTATAGCTTTCCCATTTGGATCTACAAGGTATTTCCAGAAATTCCAGGTTGGCTCTTCCTTAGTGGATTCTGTCCAGAAAAATAAATTGTATAGATAAGAATGGGAGCATCTTACATATGATTCTATTATTATTAAGGTCTTTTGAAAAGGCTCATTAAATCCAAGGGTACATTTTGATAAGCAAAATGAAACAGATGTTACTTAACTATCTGTTTCATTTTGCTTATCAAAATGCAACCTTGAAAAAGTCAGTATTTCAGCAGTTTTCTGACAATGGCATATCAGTGTCATCCATAATGATCTCACTCAAATGGGGCCAACTTGAAGTCTTGAAAATTGATATAATTTATAGCAACTATTAGAGTACTCTGCCCATATTTTGACATATTTTCTTACTTTTTTTCAGTAGCTCCCTAAAGTGACTGAGAAGTTCATTCACCTTTATACATTTTCAATATTTACAAAAATTTAAACTTATGAAACTATATTGCTTTAGAAGCAGGCATAAAGCATTTGTGTTCTGCAGGTTATTACACAAATAGTTACAATATAAATATTTTCTGTAGAGTTCTAGTTATTTTAGTTCTATTTGGGCTTCTCTCTAGGATACCCAATGACTGTTTTCATCTCCATCACAGACATCCATGAGATAGATTAGGCAGACACTGACTTTAGCTCTAGCATCCATCGAGGGCTCTTCCACACAACCATATAACCCAGAATATAAAGGCAGAATAACCTACAATATCTGCTTTGAACTGGGTTATCTGAGTCCATGCTGCCATATATTCCAGTTCAAAGCAGATAATGTGGGATGTTATTCAGCTGAGTGGAAGGGGCCTGAGATCCATGAACTCTGGATGGATTGGGTTGTCCACATCTAAATTCAACACTGCCCGCTTCAGCACATTGACTCATATAAACAGAGTAAAATTAATGGATCTAGGTCAAGCATAGCCAAACTTCAGCCCTTACTCAGCTGGACTGAAAGACAATCGGGAAGTCTACAGAGAGGACTGATTGATGCTTAAAATTCAGCCTAGATCAGCCATGGGCAAATTTTGACCCTCCAGGTGTTTTGGACTTCAACTCCCACAATTCCTGCAAATGCTGAACTTACAGAAGAGAAGACAGTCTAGATCTGCTGTTAGTAATTGTGGGAGTTAAAGTCCAAAACACCTGGAGGGCCAAAGTTTTACCATGCCTGATCTAGGCTGAATTTTAAGCATCAATCAAGTTTTCTCTGTAGACTTCCCGATTGTCTTTCAGTCTAGCTGAGTAAGGGCCCTTCCACATAGCCATATAACCCAGAATATCAAGGCATGTAATCCACAACATCACCTGGAGTGCTACAGTTTTCCATATCACTATACAACCAACCCTCCTTCCCATTTTTCCAGGAACAGAATTTATCTGAGTCACAAGCGATTCAGAAAACTCTATGTACTTCAAGTCGAAGGACAAGGCAATTAAACCTTAATTGAATAGCTGTTGTCCAGCAGCCTGGAAGGGAAGGGAAGGACTGAAAGTAATCATGACAAATGCAACGAAGAGCCTCTGCTTTTTCACAATTTAACCTTGAATGTATCAAAGAGCTTTGGGCTTCATTGAACACTACTGATTTCTAACTCTACTTGATTTGAAATGGCCTTGCCATTATAAATCATCCGCAGTTCCCAGAAGATAAACAAAGTCGAGGCTTTAGCATTCCTGTTCTGTGTGTATATGTGCTGTGGGCACCTTCAAGCCACTGTCAACTTACCAACCAAATATCGGAAAGCTGGATTTGCCCCAGTGCCTGTGACGGCAATTTTGCTGAACATGGGGAAGGAGACGCCATATGTTTTCCGAGCAAAACTCTCTATTTCTGTATTACTATTGGGTTCTTGTTGTCCGAACTGATTGCAAGGGAATGCCAGCACATTAAAATGGTACGGGCCAAGCTCTCTCTGCAGTTTTTGCAGGTCTTTGTAGTGGCTGTCAGTATATCCACACTCACTTGCGACATTGACAACTAAGGAGACCTAGAGGAAAAGTAACAATTAGAATTAAACTTGAGATTCTCATGAGGAGATCTTTGTTTTTGTTTTTTCTTAGTCAACGGCTTCACTTTTTAAGTCATGCTTTAAAAAGACAACATTATTATTATAGAGTCTATATACTTATAGGATTCAAGATTAATAAGTAAAACTGCCCCTTTAACAAACCATGCAATTTAGTAGGTTAGAAAAAATGATGTTAGATGTTTTACTTTTTCTTATTTTTTATACCTACCCCTTATAAACATATTGTCTGGCATCTTGTTTGTATGATATGTCTGGTTAGTATTGACATGAATCATTTTGGGTGTTGTTGCAGAGGGGAATAACAGAGGGTCTCCTGGCGGAATCATTAAACCACTGAACTGCTGAACTTGCTGACCGAAAGGTTGGCGGTTCAAATCTAGGGAGCGGAGTGAGCTTCCACTGTTATGCCTAGCTTCTGCCAACTTAGCAGTTCAAAATGTGCAAATGTGGGTAGATCAATAGGTACCGCTTCTGTGGGAAGGTAACAGTGCTCCATGCAGTCATGCTAGCCACATGAACTTAGAGGTGTCTATGGACAATACCGGCTCTTCAGCTTACAAAAGGAGATGAGCACCACCCTCCAGAGTTGGACTCAACTAGACTTTACCCTGCAGAGGGAAAATTCAGTATTTTCATCGCTCAACAATTGTTAATGCTCTGAAAATTCATCTGTCTCTTGCTACAGCCCATTTAGTGATTAGCAGAGAATGGGTAGCAGATGAGCATCCAGCTGTGCTATAGAGCCACAATTATGGGTGCTTCCAGAAAACGTCAAAATGCGGATCAAATACGTGGGTTTAAAAATTGTGAGACCTGACAGCAAGTCTAGACACAGATCTATGAGTCCTGGGAAATGGTCCCCACCATCCTGATACCTTCCTTTGTAGTGGGTTTTCTGCAAGATGAATGGGGGACATCCACCAGAAGTTTGTTTTTTTCCCCGCATTCACTCAGAGATGCACTGGACCTCATATGTGCTCATGTGAACATCTCAATGTACACACAAGCAAATTTATTCTCTCTCCTTAGATTCAAGCTCTGTTTAATATCATAAAGATCAGAATGAGGAATAGTTGCAATGAGTTCTAATTTTAATTGCTTTTCAACTTTGCTTCCGTTTATGGAAGTATAAGGTTCTCAATCTTGACACCGCTTCCTTCTTTTCCCCCCAGAGCCCTCTTCCAGAGAAGGGTAAATATCTCACAAAAGTGCAAATCCCAGAATTCTAAACATTGAGCCATGGCTGTTAATGTGATATCAAATTGTTATAATTGTGCAGTGTGGACACAGCCAACATAGCAACATAGACTGGATATACACTGCCATATAATCCATATTATCCTAGCAAACGATCCAGATTATTTGCTTTGAACTGGACAATATTAATCTACACTGCCGTATAATCCAGTTCAAAGCAGATAATCTGGATCTTACATGGCAGTGTAGACAGGGCCGTAGGTTGTTCCAAATCAGTTCCATATCTTAATTGCTGCATCTTCTTTGGTCACAGAGAGCACTCAGGTACTTAGTCTCAGTAATCTACTTTAAGATGAGGTAATGAAAACTAAACTGTAACAGTAGTTATTTTCTATTTCTTTGGGGTTTTTTTGTTTGTTTAATGAAATACCCTTGTTCTTGATTAAACGCCATATGGTATTACCAGCTGAACGAAAAAAATGTTTTCTATTGTACATTTTATTTTCTCATCCAGCTGAAATGTACAACAATACGTTTTGGGATTCTTTTCTAGCTTCTAATAACAGAGAAGAACAAATGCTATTATCCACCAATGCATTTATTATCACATTGGCATTTTGAGGATATGAATCAAGATTGCCATCTAGTGTGTGCTACAAACACTTTATATGTGTCTCTTCTGGAAATGTCAAAGGCAGTAAAGTAGTGATTTTCAACCTGTGTGTCCCAAGTTGTTTTGGCCTACAACTCTGTAGTCACCATCTGCTCATCCACAGAAAACCATATTTAATAATCTAGAGCTGATGTGGTCTATCCAGGGGGTTGGGCCTGGTCAGTGACAGGGAAGGAGTGGCAGGTGGCATAAAAAGAGCAGAAATGAAATAAAATAAAATAAAACAAAGAAGGCTCATGGACCAGATTTCCGTCCTCACACTGGTGGTCTGTGGCCCACAGGTTAAGAACCACTGCTCTACTGAGAGGCTGCTGGAATGCATCAACTAGGTTGGATTCTGCACCATGCCAGAAGGTATTTTTTTAAATCATCAGGTGTTTGTTGTTGTTGATTCGTTCAGTCGCTTCTGACTCTTCATGACCTCCTGGACCAGCCCACACCAGAGCTCCCTGTCAGCCGTCACCACCCCCAGCTCCTTCAAGGTCAAGCCAGTCACTTCAAGGATCCCATCCATCCATCTTGCCCTTGGTCGGCCCCTCTTCCTTTTTCCTTCCATTTTCCCCAGCATCATTGTTTTCTCTAAGTTTTCCTATCTTCTCATTATGTGTCCAAAATACTTCATCTTTGCCTCTACTATCCTTCCCTCCAATGAGCAGTCAGGCTTTATTTCCTGAAGTATGGACTGGTTGGATCTTCTTGCGGCACTCTCAGCACTTTCCTCCAACACCACAGTTCAAAAGCATCTATCTTCCTTCGCTCAGCCTTCCCTAAGGTCCAGCTCTCACATCCGTAGGTAACTATGGGGAATACCTTTCCTTTAACTATGCGGATCTTTGTTGCCAGTGTGATGTCTCTACTCTTCACTATTTTATCGAGATTGTTCATTGCTCTCCTCCCAAGAAGTAAGCGTCTTCTGATTTCCTGGCTGCAGTCTGCATCTGCAGCAATCTTTGCACCTAGAAATACAAACCCTGTCACTGTCTTCATGTTTTCTCCCTCTATTGGCCTCTATCAATCAGTCTGGTTGACATAATCTTGGCTTCATTATGTTTAACTGCAACCCAGCTTTTGCACTTTTTTCTTTCACCTTAATTAGAAGGCTCCTCAGCTCCTCCTTGCTTTCGGCCATCAATGTGGTATCATCTGCATATCTGAGGTTGTTAATGTTTCTTCCAGCAATTTTTACCCCAGCCTTGCATTCATCAAGCCCCGCACATCGCATGATGTGTTCTGCATACAAGTTGAATAGGTTGGGTGAGAGTATACAACCCTGTCATATGCCTTTCCCAATCTTGCAGTCTGTTGTTTTGTGGTCAATTCTTACTGTTGCTACTTGGTCCTTATACAGATTCTTCAGGAGACAGACAAGGTGATTTGGTATGCCGATACCACTAAGAAGTTGCCACAATTTATTATGATCCACACAGTCAAAGGCTTTAGAATAGTCAATAAAACAGAAATAGATGTTTTTCTGAAACTCCCTGCCTTTCTCCATTATCCAGCGGATATTGGCAATTTGGTCTCTCGTTCCTTTGCCTTTTCTAAACCCAACTTGTACATCTGGCAACTCTCTCTCCATGTATTGCTGGAGCCAGGCATGTAGCCGGGGGGGGGGGGGGCCTTGGGGGGCTTCAGCCCCCCCCCCCCGAAATTCTCATGGTGGTTCGCGAAAAGGTCTTACTGGTACATTATTTAAACTGTTATGTTTATTCATATCATGATCTGATCACCATACTCAATATATCCCATATGCATGGGGGTATTGGGGTAACGACCTTGCAGGATCTTGAGCATTACCTTACTGGCATGAGAAATAAGGGCCACTGTAAGGAGGTTTGAGCAGTCTTTAGCATTTCCCTTTTTTTGATATGGGGATATAAGTTGATTTTTTTCCCAGTCTGATGGCCATTCTTGTGTTTTCCATATTTGCTGGCATATGGCATGCATCACCTCGACAGCATCATCTTTCAAGATTTTAAACAGTTCAGCTCGGATCCCGTCGGATCCTGCTGCCTTGTTGTTAGCAATGCTTCTTAAGGCCCATTCAACCTCACTTCTCAGGATATCTGTTTCTAATTCACTCACCACACCATCAAAACTATCCTCGATATTATTATCCTTCCTATACAGATCTTCTGTATAGTCTCGCCACCTTCTCTTGATCTCTTCAGCTTCTGTTAGGTCCCTGCCATCTTTGTTTCTTATCATGCCAATTTTTGCCTGAAAATTACCTCCAATGCTTCTAATTTTCTGGAAGAGGTCTCTTGTCCTTCCTGTTCTGTTGTCTTCTTCCACTTCTATGCATTGCTTGTTTAAAAATAGTCCCTTATCTCTTCTGGCTAACTTCTGGAATTGTGCATTTAACTGGTTTTGCTCATTGCATCATTGAGATGCTCAAGCTCCAGTGCCACGACAAGGCAGCGAACCTTTGCTGGAGTCAGCAGGTGCTGGATGCTACATATTGACCAAATATATCTAACACGGGCATGAGAAAACTTTGGCCCTCCAGGTGTTTCCCCCCCCCCCACTCCCCAGCTTAAGTGACTGAGGAGCAAAAGGAAGGGGACTGAGGCTGTTAGGAATTGCGAGAGTTGGGGTCCAAAACACCTGGAGTACCAAAGTTTGTCCATGCCTGATCTAGCATCAAAGGCTTGTGTCTCCCTTGATTGAGGCAAACCACTTGTAATGCTATCTTATAACTTACTAGCCGTCCCCTGCCACACGTTGCTGTGGCCCACACGGGGGTTCTGTGTGGGAGGTTTGGCCCAGTTCTATCATTGGTGGAGTTCAGAATGCTCTGTGATTGTAGGCGAACTATACATCCAGGCAACTACAACTCTCAAATGTCAAGATTCTATTTTCCCCAAACTCCACCAGTGTTCACATTTGGGCATATTGAGTATTCTTGTAGAGTTTGGTCCAGATCCATCAGTGTTTGAGTCCATAGTGATCTCTGGATGTAGGTGAACTACAATTCCAAAACCAAACGACACTGCCCACCAAACCCTTCCAGTATTTTCTGTTGGTCATGGGAGAACTGTGTGACAAGTTTGGTTCAATTCCATCGTTGGTGGGGTTCAGAATGTTCCTTGATTGTAAGTGAATTATAAATTCCAGGAACTACAACTCCCAAATGATAAAATCAATTTTTTTTAGTGAAGGACATACATTGGGTTGTTAGGTGACTTGTGTCCAAATTTAGTGTCAATTCGTCCAGTGGTTTTTGAGTTCTGTTAAGTCCACAAACGAACATTACATTTTTATTTATATAGAAGATAACTTTCCTGAACATGATTAAAAACCTTACAATGAAACAATGCCCAGAACTAGTAAAGGAGAATTTTTCCCAAGAGTGGGCTTGATCTGGTGTTCTGGGGATATTTCAGCCAAGATATAGTTTTACTTAAGTTTGAAACTACATATTGCTTGATAGAGAGATGAAGGATTCCTCTGCCTGCTGATCCTGGGCCATCCTTCACTTACTTCGCAGTTCTCAGTTAAGTAAAAACGTTTGGTTTTGTCTGTATATAAGGAAAGATAAATTTGCCAGGCTGAAAGGTTTTAGAAAACAGAACACGGGTGCCAAGCCTGTGCTTTTGTGCCTTGTGGGTTAAAATAATAAGCCAGGAATGTGTGGGGAAAGGTCCCAGGCAGTCTTCCCCGCCTGCCACGTCAACAGAGGAAAGACAGAGCAAGACAGAACCCGACTTGCAAACTTTTGTGTCTTTAAAAATATTATTCGCCAAAACGTGCAGCCCCTCCAGGAGAGATGGTGCCCCCCTTCCCCCCCATGCTTCATGCAGGCATGCCAAGAGGAGGGAGTCCTTGCTGGTGAGTTGAGAGGCAGGCGGCATCTCTCTTTCTTTCTCATGCAAACTTACCGCGCCTCTATATTTCTCCAAGGAGACCAGCTTGCCCCTGATGTTGACCACCTTAAAGGAGTAAAAATTGTCCTCTTTGGGCTGGGAGGCGGAAAAGGCCAGGAACAGCAAGGCGCCCACGGCCAGCAGCATGGCGAAGGGGACCAGGACCGCTCTGGAGAAGGGCGGAGGGGGGCTCTCCGGCTCCGAGCTGCCTTCGGGGTCTGACATGCTGGGCGGGAGGGGCGGTGTGAGCCCATTTCCCAGCCGCGCCGCCTCTTTGCAGCCTCGCCTGGCGCTTTTGCGCCCTTGCTGAAAAGTGGGACCACAACGCCCCTCCCGTCCCGGATGACACAGGGTCCCTTTACTAAACACACACCAGAAACCCTCAACAACGCCCGCGAAGAGTTCATGCCACTCACATCTTGCGGTGCAGACACAGTTTGGCACCGCTTTAATTTCCATGACTCAACCCTTTGGAATCCTGCCAGTGAATGCTGGTCCCGCACTAAACAACCGTACTATAAAACCATTCCCATACTATAAATCCCAATTTTCTTCGTTTTCAACATACTTCACAACTTCTGAGGATGCCTGCCATAGATGCAGGCGAAATGTCAGGAGAGAATGCTTCTGGAACATGGCCAGACAGCCCGGAAAACTCACAGCAACCCAGAGATTCCGGCCTTTTTTTTTTTTGTCGTGTCAGGAGCAACTTGAGAAACTGCAAGTTGCTTCTGGTGTGAGAGAATTGGCCGTCTGCAAGGACGTTGTCCAGGGAACGACCGGATGTTTTTGGTGTTTTTACCATCCTTGTGGGAGGCTTCTCTCATGTCCCCACATGGAGCTGGAGCTGACAGAGGGAGCTCATCCGTGCTCTCCCTGGATTCGAATCTGCAACCTGTCGGTCTTCAGGATCATGTTTAATTTATGATCAACTATAATCCCAAGGATCTTTGTGCATGTAGTATTCCCCATCATATACCTGTGCTCTTGGTTTTGTTGGCCTACATGTGGAAATTTTAATTGTCCTCTGTTGAATTTAGCTTATTAATTTGAACCCAGTTTATCAAGGCTCTTTTGCCTTAATGTGTTAGCTACCCCTACCAGTCTTGTATCACTTGCAAATTCGATAAGAATTCCCTCTATCCCATCATCAAAATCATTGATCAAAATATTGGAGTTGCGCCTTTCCCCTGCCTGGCAACTCAACTTGTAAGCAAATGTCCTTGAGACAGAAAAACTACCTAGAGCTTAGTTTAGAATTTGCAACAGAAATAAATAATATAGCCAATAGAACCAGTAGCAATTGTTTTCCAGGTATATTTTCCCTATTGTATTGAACAATTTTTCTTATTTTTTTTGTTATATCAGTTTAATTATTGTGCAAGTAAAACTGCATAACTAATTGAGACATTTCCTGATGGCCTTCAAAAAGATGCTGTCACTGCAAAACATTTGACCACAAAATATATCTATATATCTATATCTATATCTATATCTAATTAATAATTAGGTCACTGAGATAAAATCCATTTAAGTGTAGAAAGGGCAAGAATACAAATACAATTAATGCATAGGAATAATTAACATTTCTTAGTTATTTATAGTTTGCCTGGGCCTGATCAAATCCCCATGCTAGCCTGAATCCTTCCTGGCAGGAAAACTGCTGAACTCAGTGGAATTTATTTCACAAAAATCATGGGATCAGACCCATTCATAGATAATGACCAACACATTTAGAGATGAGTGGTGTTCTGTCAGATGTTTGGGGAAGAGATCGATATGAAAAATTTAGTGCCAATTTGAAGCAACAAAGGTAGCACTATCTTTGAGAAATAACTTTGGCGGACAGGTTATTTATTTATTTATTTCTGTAGCCCGAAAAAACCCACAAGAACCTATTTATTTATTTATCGTGTCATCCACAACCAGAACATTGTATTACATTTCTAACAGAGCAAAACAAACAAACAGATTAAAAAAACAAAAAAACAAAAACCACAAATTTTGCAAACTTGGTAGCCGACCAAATATCAGCTATGATATCAGCTATTGGATGTTTCTCCAAATCTCTACTGAAATTTCCCATTTGTCTAAACTAGCATTTTGCAAAATAATTTCCAAAGTTTAATGAAAACAAGTGTTATTGCTCTAAGTGATATCAAGCTACTTTTAGCAGGGTCCCCTCAAGAGAGGAGAACCCGAGGACCGCGCCAAAAGGGTCCTGGATACCTTGGTGAGGCCAGCGAAGCCAATCTCAAATGATTAAAGTATTAAAAATAATAAAACCTCACCCAAGTGGAAGAAGGTTTTTAAAAAGTGACCGAGGCGTTTATTTGCGATTCAGCTGATATCGGATGCATTGCAGGAATCATTCCACCACAAACATGCCAGTACAAAGAATACAGACATATTTATAGTAAAAATACAAAGGAAAACTTTCAAAATTCCCGCCCGCCCTTTGCCAGCCGGCTTCACGCTGATTGGCTGAGGCTGGAACAGCCGGGAGGAGGCTGGGCGGCCTGCCCCTGCTCTGGACCAATCAGCGCGTTTCTTTGCCTCTAGAGGGCCAATGAGCGCCCTCCGCTCGCCTCGCAAGATGGACAAATCAGGAGAGAGGAGGCGGTACGGCCGTGAACAAGGGAGGGGGGAAATGATGGGATTAGGAGTTGTCAGCAAGCCTTTGTCTCAGGCCAGCAAGGTGTGATCTTTGTAAACAAAAGTCTTCCTGTTGAAAATGGCTTTGGGGGGGAAAGACAATATTGGGTCAGACAGCGGACCTCAAAGGGGATCAACGCTGTCTTTTGTGAATTTAATCAATCTTTTTCTCCAGGTTTCTGTTGACTTCCTCTTCCCACTAGGCAGGCTCAGAAGGCGGGATGAGGGAATCAACAGTTATTGTTTCATGCAATGAGTCAATCAGGGAATAGCTTCGGGGGAAGCAGAGAGTTTCCCCCCTGAACATCACAACAACTTCAGGTCATACTTTGTGGGGCAAAGGTCAATAGGAAAGGCAGGGGAACATATTACATTTCATACAACATATTTCTCTACATAGTTCATAAGGGAAAACCCCATCCCACCCCATAAAGTTTATTTCAATATTCGATCTTTATCATAACCCAAACTGGAAATCCCAAGCTCTTAGGAAGGACGTGCGGAAACGGAGGTTGCTAGCAGTTCAAATCAAGCATTGATAGAAAGTTCATGGCCAGGGTTGTGGCAAACAGTCCAGTCCACGCAGCAGAGAGTCATGGTTTCAGGCAGAAGCCAGCAGATGGGCGCTGAGTTGATCAATAACAGAATCCATCGCTCAGCCCTTGGGGAACTACAACTCTCACAAAATGGCAGAAGTCCCAAGATCCAGCCATTTCCCAAAAAGCCTCGTGGGGTCCTTGTTGTTGTCAGTGCCTTGGCAATGTGGCCAAGACTTAACCCTTGTTGTGTAGTCTGGTGCCCTTGCCCTTTGCAGAACTATAAGTCCTTATCCCTTAATTTTGAGGGGGGGGGGGTGGTGCCTGACATCATAAGGTGCTATACAACAGCACTAACAATTTATTGGTAGTTCTGGCCCTTTGAGCCAAAATATTTGTGAGACACTGAAAGCATGAAGAGAATGTTTAATTCTTTTGTGCGATCATTGCTGAAGGGTCAGTAGCAACATTAATTTATATTTGTTATTTTATACTATTACACCATAACGCTTTCACAATGCCAGGACTCAGTCCGGTTTCCATCATCTCCTCCCATTTCCTCCTTCGTCCTCAAACTGCAAACGGCATTCAAAGGGCAAACATAGTTTGCACTCAGTGAAATTAAGAGAGGAGAGAGAGTGCATCATGAGTAAGAATCAGGCCCTTCCCAGAAGCTCTGGCAAAGAAAAGGGTTTAAGTTTCTCCTGTGCAATGTGTTCTTCTTTATTAGTTTTGCTACCTGCTGAACGTAATCCCCACCCACACTGCCACCCACTCTGCCTTTGTGTCTTTTCTAATTAGATTCCAACCCTGAAGGCAGGGAACTGTTTGCTGTTCCTTTACTTGTGAAGTGCCATGTACAGTGATGGTGATATACAAATAAAGGATCATAATAATATTGAGGGATCCAGCATGGAATAGTGGTTTGAATGCTGGATTGTGACTCTAAACCAGGGCTTCTTAAACCTTTCCACCTTTTTAGCCTGATAAGTTTTATGTGATCCTGGGTATATAGGTATATAAGACAGGCATAAAATGAACATTTACTGATAACAAATCAGCATTTTCAAAGTTTGCTACACAGGCTGAATTTCCTTTTTGTAGAGTTTATACCTGAAGCATTTTCTGCAGAGTCCACCACAAATACTGCACAACAGATTATTGTAAATGTCTAAAACAGTTTACTTGGTCTAATTCAGAAACCTTTTACTGTTGCCAAATTATTCAGGACCCCAACACTGAGGTAAAGGGACCCCACTTGGGGTTGGGACCCACGGTTTTGAAGCAATAATCTGGGTTTGAATCCCAGCCCACCCATGGAAAGCCACTGGGTGACCTTGGTAGAGTCACACAGGCTCTTAGCCTCAGAAACCCCTGCGACAAATTCAGCTTGAAGACACACAATAATAATCTTGACCACAATTTGATGTTGGTTGGCACTTCCATTTTCACCTGTGAAACATCGCACAATATGCTTCACATTTTCTGGGGTACATTTCAGGGTATTTGAGTGTTGAGCTTGGCCACTACCAACTGTATATGATTTCTGACTATTTTAGGACTGGTGGAGAAGCAGTGAGTATTGGAATATGATTCTAAAAACCAAAGATCAAATCGTCGTCAGACCATGAAAATCTTCAGGGTGACCTTGGGCAAGTTACACTCTCTCAGCCTCAAAGGGAAGCAAAGGCAACCCCCTCTGGAACAAATCCTGTAAACTGGGAATGATTTGAAAGCACACAACAATGAGGCCAACACAGTATCTGCTGAGCTACTGCATTGAATAGGTTACCGTTATCCCCACAAGAGTATAGAGAGGCAGCTTAGTATCATGCTTTCAGCACTGGACAACAGGTGCATCTACACCAGGCATGAGCAAACTTGGGCCCTCCAGATATTTTGGACTTCAACTCCCAGAATACCTAAAAGCCCCAGACTCCTTCCTTTTACCCCTTAAGCGGCTGAGGGGCAAAAGGAAGGAGCTTGAGGCTGTTAGGAATTGTGGGAGTTGAAGTCCAAAACACCTGGAGGTCCCAAGTTTGCCCATGCCTGCTCTACACTGTTAAATTAAGAATTTGATATCACTTTGATTGCAATGACACAATGCCATGGAATCATGGGCATTGCAGTTTCATAAGGCCTTTAGCCTCCTCTGCCAAAGTGTGCTGATGCCTCCCCAAACTATAGCATTGAGTCAGGGCAGTTCAAAGTGGTGTCAAACTGCATTCATGCTACAATATAGATCAGGCATGGGTAAACTTTGGCCCTCTGGGTGTTTTGGACTTCATCTCCTACAATTCCTAACAGCCGGTAGGTATACTATCTCAGGAATTGTGGGAGTTGAAGTCCAAAACAGCTGGAGGGCCAAAGTTAGCCCATGCCTGATAAAGATGCACCAGCCGACTGGAGCTCAGGGTTTAAACCATGGAAACCCAAGGCCTTTTCACACAGCCATATAACCCAGAATATCAAGGCAGATAATCCACATGCTTTGAATGTGATTTTCCTGCTTCTTGGCAGGGGGTTGGACTGGATGGCCCATGAGGTCTCTTCCAACTCTAGGATTCAATGATTCTAGATACAGGGAAGTCATGCTACTCCTCTACTCTGCCTGGGTCAGACCACACCTGGAATACTGTGTCCAATTCTGGGCACCACAATTTAAGGGACATGTGGACAAGCAGGAATGTGTCCAGAGGAAGATGACGAAAATGATCAAGGGTCACTCCCTATGAGGAGTGGCTTAAAGAGATGGGCATGTTTAGCTTGCAGAAAGAAGGCTGAGAGGAGACATGATGACCATGTATAAATATGCGAGGGGAAGTCATAGGGAGGAAAAAGCAAGCTTGTTTTCTGCTGCTCTAGAGACTAGGATGTGGAGCATTGGCTTCAAACTAGGAGATTCCACTTGAACATTAGGAAGAACTTCCTAACTGTGAGAGCTGTTCAGCAGTGGAACTCTCTGCTTCAGAGTGTGGTGGAGGCTCCTTCTTTGGAGGTTTTTAAGCAGATGCTTGATGGCCACCTGTCAGGGTGCTTCGAAGGCGATTTTCCTGCTTCTTCAGGGGGTTGGACTGGGTAGCCCACGAAGTTGTCAGAAATATTAAATATTAACTAGGTATTTTTTATTACAAAAGTGTGAATCAAACACTGAAATAGCAGGCCGAAGCCTGTTAGAGTTAGTGGGCCAAAGCTAGTGTCGCTCTGAGGAGAGTGAGTAGGTCGAAGTCTGTTAGTGTTAGTTTGCTTCAGTGAGGGAACTCCCCAGTCTGTGTGAGGCTTGTCTGTGAGGTAAACCTGTGTATGAGAAGCCTCATGTGAAGGAGCTCCAGTGTATAAGGCTACTGTGTATATAAAGCTACTATGTATTTGTTTATTCTTAGTGTGGAAACCTTGTTATTGTAAATTGTGCAACTATATTATTTTACTACAAAGAAAAGCCTCCTATGGAAGATATAACATTGGTCTGTGTGTTTGTGGTTTTTTTAACCTTTTTGGGCTATGGGTATTGGATCACTCTGCTGCTCTTAATGAGTTGCCCTGCTGTACATTTATAGGAAGGGACTTTTATTAATAAGCCCACTCACCCAACAGAGGTCTTTTCCAACTCTAGGATTCTATGAAATGGGTTATCCAAAGGCACTTCCAGACAGGCCTTATACCCCAGGATCTGATCCCTGGCTTTCTGCTTTAAACTGGATTATATGGGTCCGCACTGCCAGATAATCTGGGATAAACAGAAAACCTGGGATCACATCTTGGGATATAGGAACTGCTTGGAAAGGCCAATTGCCCACACTGCCCTATAACACAGTTCAGCGCAATTGAAACATTCACACCTACCTCCAACAGACAAGGGTTCTTTCTCCCTCACTGGACATTCTGCTTAAAAAGCCAGTCAAGAAACTTTCCCATCTTCACACCCATAAATGAAGCTAGTGTACTTCAAAGGGCAACTTAACTTCTAAAATTGGAAATATCGCCTCTTGGGTAAGCAGTTAAAAAATCAGAGGGCTCTTTAACCTCATTTTCCTAGTTTTCAAAAGACCTCACAACCTCTGAGGATGCCTGCCATAGATGCAGGCGAAACGTCAGGAGAGAATGCTTCTGGAACATGGGCGTACAGCCCAGAAAACTCACAGCAACCCAGAGATTCCGGCCATTTTTTTTGTTGTGTCAGGAGCGACTTGAGAAACTGCAAGTTGCTTCTGGTGTGAGAGAATTGGCCGTCTGCAAGGATGTTGCCCAGGGAACGTCCAGATGCTTTTGATGTTTTTCCCATCTTTGTGGGAGGCTTCTCTCATGTCCCCACATGAGGAGCTGGAGCTGAAAGAGGGAGCTCATCCATGCTCTCCCTGGATTCGAACCTGCAACCTGTCGGTCTTCAGATTTGCTGACACAGGGGTTTAACCCACTGCACCACCAAGCCATGAAAGACTTGGTAATAGTATGATAGCTGGGTACGGAAGCGAAACGTCAGGAGAGAATGCTTCTGGAACACGGGCGTACAGCCCGGAAAACTTAAAGCAACCCAGTGATTCCGGCCATGAAAGCCTTCGACAACACAAACGTCAGTCCCTTCTTGGGACAGTTCCCCTTCCTTCTCCGGAATCGAAACTTAGCAAGGGATTCAGTGGAAACTGGGGAAGAGCGGGCCAGGAGAAAGCGGGGGAGGCCGGGCAGTCCTGGAGTGACTCTTGCGGGAGTGGAAAGGGGAAGCGGAGCCTCTCGCTCCCTCCCTCTCCCCCCCCCCCGCCCGTGTCTCCCTCTCCCCCACAATGCACTGCGCTCGGCTACGGACATGGCGGCGGGCCCAGTCTGAGGCGCTCGCTGGCTCGCACCGCCGGGGCCTGCTTAGCGCCTCCTCCGAGCGGCGGAGCGGGACATGGAGCGGGGCGCGGCGGGGTCCGCCCTCGGGTGACGGGCAGGTAGGCCTCGGGCGAGCGGGGCGGGCCGTGGGTTGCCCTTGCGCCTCGCCCCAGGCGCCTCCCTTCCTCGGGACTGCCTCCCTCTCGCTCCCTGGCCTGTTTGCGCTCTGGGAGGCCTTTCAGCCCTTGGCGAGGGAGGAGAGTTGAGGGAGAGAGGCCTTCCTTCTCCTCCTCCGCCTCCTCCTCTCCTCACAGGACTACGGAGCGGGGAGGGGCTGCTTGTCGGCTGACAACTTGCGAGAGCGAAGAATTGTTTTGTTTTGTTTCCGATCTGTTCACAACTTGAGGCAAGATTCCCCCGAGTCTTTCCCCCACTTTGGCGGAGTGCACCAGGCCGAGTTGGGACAGGATCTCTCCGTGTCCTTTCGACAGACTTTGGTGGGCCGTTTCTCGGCTCGGAGCGGTCCAGATTTCACTTCCTCAGCCCTGCGTTGAGCCTCCGAGCGAAGCCGAGCGTGAGGTCATCCTTGTAGGCCGGGTTTGTTGCGCAGCCCCATTATTATTAAGCACGATAAAAGAGATCCATAGTTTTCTTTGGTGTGTAAAAAGGGAGGGTATGCCTTTAAGGGACTGAGCGTACTTTTAGGACAGGCCTGGGCAAGCTTGGGCCCTCCCTCCAGGTGTTTTGGACTTCAACTCCCACAATTCCTAACAGCCCCAGGCTCCCTCCCTTTCCCCCTCAGCCACTTAAGCTGAACTGAGTTATATAGTTAGTGGAGAACAGCTATAGGTAAACTTGGGCCTCTCTCCAGATGTTTTGGACTTCAACTCCCACAATTCCTAACAGCCTCAGGCCCCTTCCTTTTCCCCCTCAGCTGAACTGCATTATATAGTCATTGTACAACAGGCATAGGCAAACTTGGGCCCTCCCTCCAGGTGTTTTGGACTTCAACTCCCACCATTCCTAACAGCCTCAGGCCCCATCTTTTCCCCCCTCAGCCGCTTAAGCTGAACTGCATTATATAGTTAGTGTAGAACAGGCATAGGCAAACTTTGGCCCTCCAGATTGATTGGACTTCAACAATTCCTAACAGCCTCAGGCCACTTCCTTTTCTCCCTCAGCCACTTAAGCTGAACTGCATTATATAGCCAGTAGAAAAAAGCCATAGGCAAACTTGGGCCTCCCTCCAGGTGTTTTGGACTTTAACTCCCACCATTCCTAACAGCCTCAGGACCCATCCCTTTCCCCCTCAACCACTTAAGCCGGACTGCTTTATATAGTCAGTGTAGAACAGGCATAGGCAAACTTTGGCCCTCTAGATTGATTGGACTTTAACTCCCACAATTCCTGACAGCTTCAGGCCCCTTGCTTCGCTTAAGCGGTTGAGGGGGGAAAGGAAAGGGCCTGAGGCTGTCAGGAATTGTAGGAGTTGAAGTCCAAAACACCTGGAGGGAGGGCCCAAGTTTGCCTAGGCCTGTTTTAGGGGTTCGTCTGTAAGGCTTTTGTTGTTGTAGAATGGGAGTACAGTGTCTAGACCAGGCCTAGGGAAACTTGGGCCATTGCTAGGTGTTTTGGTCTTTGACTCCCACAATTCCTAACAGCCTCAGACCCCTTTTTTTCCTTTCCCGCTTGACTAATGGGGAAAAGGAAGGGGGCTGAGGCTGTTAGGAATTGTGGGAGTTGAAGTCCAAAACACCTGGAGGGAGGGCTCAAGTTTGCCCATGCCTGATTTGATCAAGGGAAGTCATGGGGGCCTCTCTATTTGACTTTGGTCAGACCTCACCTGGAATGCTGTGTCCAGTTCTAGGCACCACAGTTGAAGAAAAATATTGACAAACTAGAAAAGGGTGACCAAAATGATCAAAGGTCTTGAAGCAAAACTCAGCTTAAGGAGCTGGGTATGTTTAACCTGGAGAAAGGAAAGCTGAAAGCCATGTTAAAACATTTGAAAGAATGTCACATTGAAGAGAATTCATGCTAGTTTTCTGCTGCCCTAGAAAGTTGGACAGGGAGTAGTGGATTCAAATTCAGGAAAAGAGATTCCACTGAAACATTAGGCAGAATAAGCTGTTCAGTAGTTGAATACACTGCCTTGGAGTGTGGTGGAATCTTCTCTGGTGGTTTTTAAGCAGAGGCTGGGGGGGGGGGGCACTTGTCAATAATTCTTTGATTGTTTCCTATAAGGCAGAATTGAGTTGGATTGAGTAGCCCTTGGGGACTCTTCCAACTCTGTGATTCTCCTGTGACGCTCAACTGCTTTTCTCTATGCACAAAACAAAATATTTTCTAGAAATCAACTGATTAAAAACGTTCAGTTAGTAACCTACTAGAGAACTATAGAATAGTGCAATGATAATTTAGAACGGCCATGGATTACTATTTTGGATAATGTGATTTTAATAACTGTTTTAACGTTTGATATTTTTTTAATGATCATTTTAATATATATGTTTATTTTATTATATATAAATTATATATATAATAATTATTATATGGTTTCTCTTCAGATCGTATATGTGTGTTTACGTGACATCAAATCATTGCCTATATATGTAAGCCACCTTGAGTCCCCTACGGAGTTGAGAAAGGCAGAGTATAAATAGGGTAAATAAATAAATAAATAAAATGAAAAGATGAAGTGGCTGTCCTAATTTTGCATGAGGCAGAAATATAAAATACACATTTCAGAAGTAAAGGTAGGCATTATGGCTCTAATGTATCACAAAAATCAGTAATAAACTACTGTATAAAAGAATGTTTCAAAATGGTACTTGTGGCCTGTTTTATTGTGAAATGTCTAAACAGCTACCTTTGCCAGTGGTGAAGATAAAGGGTTACACATTTCAGAAATAGGTGTTTGGTTGCAGCCTATAGCAAAAAAAAACAAAACAAACAACCCTCCCCCAACAAACAAACAAAAAACAATAACAAACCACTGTAAAAAGTGTTTCAAAATGGTGATTCCCTTGTATAATGGCCATGGTTAATTTTATAGTGGAGCTAAGGTAGAACAGAAACATGCTTTATCTTTGGTATGTTATAATATAGTCATACTTATTTTCTTTTTCCTCATGTTTACTGTTATCACATTGCATTAATAACCTTTAGATTGAATGTTAGCTTAAGCCACAGAAAGACAAAGACATATAAAATTCTACGAGTCAATGTTAACTTTTAAAAAAAGGTTTCAAAAGTGGCAGGCCAATATGAAAGGACCATTCATTTCCTTTGGCTAAAAAAGCACATGAGATTTTCGTGATGTTCTTTATTTGTACAGATTCTGTAGAATGCTGAACTATCATACATTTATGCAGAGTGAAGCATATTAGCAATTTAGGAGCCAGTGATCCCCTATAAATTAAAGTAGTAATAAAAGAGATTTTTAAAAAAAAATAATCACAGTGGCTTTTCACAAAAAGGTTTATTTGGCTTTCTGAAATAAATGAACTTTTAGTTCATGAGCATGGAGGGCAATATGTAGGTAAATAAGATAAGCATCAGTTTACAACTACTATAACATCACTCATGCTTTGATGCTATAGTGCAGTTTAAGGCAAGAATTGTGTAATTTATGGTATACTGAGACCTCTGAACACTAACAACAGCATGGGTTAAAGTTCCTGTTGCATCAGATTTATGTATTCTAGTGCTTTCTTGACAGAACATAAGAAATAAAAATAGTTGAATTTAGAGGAGAGTGTTAATTTCATGTATGATAGCCATATAATAACTTATAGAAAATTATCTTAGGAAGTACAGTATGATCAGTAATTGCAAGTTGGTGTTGCTTGGCCTCCATAATCATCAAATTCCTCTTGGTGATTCTCCCAAACTTGATCCAAAGAAAAATAAAAGAGAGTTTTCTATTGTTTTTCATATATTGAGGTGAATGTGTATGATGTGACATCGGTGTAAGATTTCTATGTTTGTTTATATATGTGCTGCCCTGTGTGTGGTTTTCAGGATTTGTTTTCAGGAAGCAGTGGTTTACACATTGGTGAATGTTTCAGGACCTATATTTTTAGTAAAGTTTTCTAGCCAATTAGGGTGAAAAAGAAGCTTATGCTTCTTAAGATTTAGAATAAGAAAAATTACCTTTGGGGTAGAGGTGTAGAAATTGCAAGTGGGACTTTGAATAAAATATTGCAATGGGGCGTGCTTCTGTTCTAGTCAATAGGTTGTGTCTTTTTTCAAACCCTATCCTTTCCCCTACATTTTATGGCCACTGTCCATGCTCATGCACAGCCCTTGTTTTGCTCTTCGGGCTTTTGGAGGATGTTCCCCCCTGCATTTTATCTGTAAATATGTTTTTAACATTGTTGTGTGTTTTAGGGTTCCTTCACAAATCCTTTGTCATATTTTTCTTTTTGATTAATTAACTGTTGTAACTCTGAGTTTACTATTAGATCTGATAGTAGGATACACTAACAAGAAAGTGGTGATGGCTCAGTTTATCATTCTTTAGATACTTTTAAAAATCTTTTATTTCAGCTCAATTATGCAACTACATTTTCTATAAAGTTAAAAATCTAATACAAAGATAATGCATGCATGTTTTGACTATACATATGTGAACATTTATTATTATTATTATTATTATTATTATTATTATTATTATTATTATTATTACACCATTTAATCTCTCCCGGAGAAGACTCAAAGTTGCTTAACATAAAAACATTAGCATACAATTAAAAATATACAAATATTCAAACATTAAAACAGAATTAAATAAAACCAGTATTTAAAAGTTCAGTTAAAAACCATTAAAACATATTCAAAGTTAAAAACCACAGTACCTGTTTTTGTTCTGTGGCAAACTTATTTGCAGTATGTATGTTCCCTGCCATTGTATATAACTCATAACCGAAAGCAATGCATGTATTTGAAGAATAAGGTTGTTCATAACAGTTGGAATGTTTCATGCTTTTAATATCTTTTGTTGCTTTCCAGAAATACAAAAAACAGAAATTCTGACGCGAAGGCAATACAGTCTAGAAAGAATCAGTGTGTCTCATGTTAGTGCAGTCTTTTTCAAATATGAATGTTAGTGTAAGTAGATCTTGTGATATTTTCTCTTCTTTAATAGGAGTAGAAAATACTGGTGCAATATGTTTTTAATATCATCAGCTGCCACCCTGGTAACCTGCTGTTTTCTATCTCTTCCCCAACAATTTTAGCCTAAATTTAGATATTTTAAATTATATTTTAAGAATTTAATATGTTAGTAATTATGTGAATTATGTTATGTCTTGTTCATTTATGTTGGTTTATAATTTATTGAGTTGTTCTTAAATTGTTTATTGATTCACTTATAGATTACCATTGGCATTGAATGTTTGCCATTGTGTATTTTGTTGTGAGCCGCCTTGAGTCCCTTTGAGAAGATTGGATGGACTATAAATAAAGTGTCATTTAATTTCAATATAACACAAAGGCATTTCTCACAAATTAGGAGTTACATTGATAATATCTGCAAAGATCCAAATCTCTTCCCATATTTGGCAGCTTAGAAATGAACCAAATAAATGAAGTTAGTGTATCAAAGATATGAATGTCAGCTGTATAATTCTTAGTCCATTTAGTTGAAAATATTAAAATGTGTGAGTAGGTTTTTCTCAAGTTTCAAAATGTAGAGTAGCTGTGGAAAAATGTAGTTTGGTGTAGAATTTTAAAATGGAATTGACTAGATCACATACAAAAGAAAAGTGAGAGTCTGATTTTAAAAGCAATGGAGAAGTGGGGTGGAGTAAAAGTACATAGTCCTCCCTCATCTATATCTTACCTTCCTGCTGCAGGGCATCTTGAGGTCACTTGCAATATTGAAGTTTCATTGAGGAGAAACTGTAGTGAGGTAAGGGTCTCATACTTCCAAAATCTTCATTATTCCCATCTTTCTCTATGATATGTACAACATTGCTAGTGTCATGTGTAGTTTAACCCTGTCTTCTTAAATATATGTTTTGTTTTTCACTGCACTATTCTCTTTCTTGTCTGAGCATCTCAGATATTTTACACCCAAACTAATTTAGAAAATTAAATTCATGAGAGCTGAACAATTTAAAGCTTTAACTTTTTTCTTGTAATATCACATAAATATTGCTTAATTAGATCTAATCAATAAACAAACTATTTACATTTAATTTCTTAATTTATAATCAGTTTTATGAATTAGTACACTAAATAATTGATATCTCTGCAATATACAGTTGTTTTGGTTTTTTTCAATGTTCAGATTTTGCCCCGTTTGTATATCTGTAGTGTGAATGTTTGTTTTACAGTATTTTAGATCTTTGTATTACTTCCAGTGATAATGTTGGTGGAAAATAACAGATACAAAACCTAAACATTAACATGAAATGAAAGTGAAACTTATCTGGTTCTTCAGTTGTCTGAGCCAAATTGAAACCATTTTATTAATAGAACAGTAGACAGCTTAAGTTTCAGATATAAAGTACAAGTGGCTGATACTTTTTATCATTATTTTTTTTAGTGTTCATGCTTTTGAGCATGCCAAGTGTTACATTCCTATTAAAGCAAGGAATGGCACCTAGGCTGTTTTCCCAATAGACAGCATAATAATCTTTTTAATTTGATATGAGGGTTGTTACAGGGTTCTATTTACAAGACGTACAGTAATCACTGTCTAGGACAGTGCACAAACTTTTTAAACAGAGATCCAGGTCACAGTCCCTCAAACTGTTGGAGGGCCAGATTCTAATTTGAAAAAAAACATGACTTACTTACTTACTTACTTACTTAGGCGATCCCTCGTTGGACGAGTAAGATGGTCTTCCATTATGGATTTCCTTGTGGGTCCGTATGTGGCTGTGGAGCCCTATTCTTGCTCTGCATCTTCTTCCGCAGTGAGGGCATTGGTTTCCAGGTGGAAGGCGGTCCCGGTCGGGGTTGGCTTGACGCGCCTTCCTCCTGGCACGTTTCTCTCTTTCACCCTCCACTCGTGCCTCCTCAAATTCTGCAGCACTGCTGGTCACAGCTGTCCTCCAGCTGGAGCGCTCAAGGGCCAGGGCTTCCCAGTTCTCAGTGTCTATGCCGGAGTTTTTAAGGTTGGCTTTGAGCCCATCTTTAAATCTCTTTTCCTGTCCACCAACGTTCCGTTTTCCGTTCTTAAGTTCGGAGTAGAGCAACTGCTTTGGGAGACGGTGGTCAGGCATCCGGACAACGTGGCCGGCCCAGCGGAGTTGATGTTGGAGGACCATCACTTCAATGCTGGTGGTCTTTGCTTCTTCCAGCACACTGACGTTTGTCCGCTTGTCCTCCCAGGAGATTTGCAGGATTTTCCGGAGGCAGCGCTGATGGAATCGTTCCAGGAGTTGCATGTGACTCCTATGCACACTGCACATATCTTATTTGTAGTGCAAAAAAACACTTTAAAACAATCCAATCATTAAAATGAAGAACTTACTAGTATTTCAATGGGAAGTGTGGTCCTGCTTTTGGCTGATGAGATCGGATTGTTGTTGTTGTGTGCTTTCAAGTTGTTTCAGACTTAGGTATACCCTGAGTGAGGGCCAGGTAAATTACCTTGGAGGGCCGTATCCGGCCCCCGGGCCTTAGTTTGAGGACCCCTGGTCTAGGATAACATATTAGCGATTCTTCCTTTTCTGCATTTAACAAAGTATTAGTAAACTTATTTTGGCAAGTGACAATGCTGTAAATTATTTCATGTAAGACTTGTGAAAACACTGGCAATATTTTAACAAAATATTTGTAATAATTAGCAGCCTTAGCATGGATAACTGACTGATGACCCTTAGTTTGACTAGCAAATCTCAAAGAACAATATAGATTAAAGAAAGTAATAGAGCTTGTTTCCTTACACCACTTCCACTTTAATTCTCTTCTTACCCCTACAGAAGAATTTCTTCTTTTTTTAGTGAAAATTTTTAAATTTTCTCCAAAGTTGTTTTGCAGACATTATATGTTTTGTTCAGGATGAAATGTAAAAGAATATTACAACCCCCCCACTCCCCTGCTTTCTATTGGCTTCCCATTTCCTGGGTAGGAAACGCTACTACTTGCACGTACATACATGACAAATATCTTCCAAGATAAGACTGCTAGATTAACCTCTCTGGCTGATTGTGTTTCTAGATATTTTAATATAACATTATTTCTGCTTCAAACTTATTTGAAGCCCTCAGTTCATAGCTGTGTGCCTTTTTCTTTTTAAAGAAAATTTTAAAATGGTCATAGTTCTTTCTGTAGTTGCTTTGATTTCCCACCCTGAGTATTATACTTTTCTGCTGTTGGCATTTCAATCTTTTACCAATTTTGGGCATATACCATTCTTGCTCCAGTTAACACACATTGTAGTGTTTGAGCATTTATTGATGTTACTTTCTTACTTTGTAATCCTAATAAAAATAGTTCAGGGTATAATTGTATTATTATTTTGAATATTTTTAGTAGCCACAACCACCACCATAAGATTTTTGTTCCTTAGAATAAAATGTTGGTTATTGTTTTATGTGATACCCAGTGTAGTATAATGGTTTGAATATTGGACTATAACTCTGGAGACGATGGTTTGGATTCCTGCTCAGCCATGAAAATTCACTGTGTGATTATGAGTAAGTCACACACTCTCAGCCTTAGAGGAAAGCAAAAGGAAACCCTTTCCTAAAAAAACACCTTGCCAAGAAAACCCTGTGATATGTTTGCCTTAGGATTCCCTTAAGTCAGAAACAACTTGAAGGCACACAACAGCAGCAATTATTTTGGGGTTATGTTTAACAATACATTTTATATTGTTCATGTATTCATTTATTTTATTATGTTTTTCAAAGATTTCTAGCATTAGAAGTATTTTGTGTTTTGGTAACATGTTTTGATATGTGATCATTTTTTTTCCTGCAGGCAAGCAAGAAACCTTGCTTGAACACAAGATTCTGCTCCACTGATAGTTGCAAAATTACAGTTCAAATAGTTGGAAGTGATAGATGAAGCAGGCCTTCTCAATAATGGAAGAGAGAAAGAGCTCAAAAAGTGGAAATCATGATGCAAGAAAATCTGCCCATACTGCCTGTGAAAAAAGCAAACCTGTCAGAGTTGCAACCAATCCAGTTTATAAAACTAATAAAAATGACAAATCTGGCAAAAATTCTTCAAGTGGGAGCAGTTCCAAAAAGAATAAACAAAATGATGTTTGCTCTGAAAAGTCAGGAGAAAATAAATCATGTAAGACATACAGTTGTACTCCTGGATGTACAAAAATGGGATCTGGTATTCAGGATCAAAGTCGCTGCAAAGTAGAAAAGTTACCAAATGTATCAGAAGCCACAGAAAATCTACATCAGTTAAAAAATCAGCATACAGATAAAAAAGCCCTGAGCTCCCATGTTTCAGAGAATGGAGCCATCACAGAAACCTTACCAATTGCCCAAAGAGGAGGTTCAGAACTGGAAAATCTGTCAGGAGAAGATATATCCAAAATTAACAGATCTGGTGATTCAGGCGAAAGCAGTGCAGAATTGAGAGCAGTGGAACGGAAACCAGAAGATGCCTGTGAGTGCAGCATTCAGTTTCTATACATTCTTCCGTCTTGATAAGCTAGTTCTTTGAAATGCATGTAAACAAAGGAAGGCATAATTCAGACCATTCTCTCATCACCTAATATTTGCTATCACAGTGTCCACATGTACTATAGCCTCCATGGACTTGGTGGGTAGGTTTTTTAACTGAGATCTGGAACACAGTTACAAAGATAAATCTATGCAGTGTGTAATGGATGCTGTAAGTCAAGTCTTTTAGTCAGTTGTGTCAGATTTATTTGTCTGTGGCACAATCTCCATTGGAAAACACTTTGAAAATACAATATATCTTGATACAACCTGCAAACTGACTTGTGTTTGGCAAATAAATAATAAAGCCTAATCTCTTCATTTATACCATTGAAATAACACTAATCGGTCCATGAATTTGTCATGAGTTTGACTGAGAAAAGGCACTAGCACATTATTCACTATTTCAATTAACAACACACCACATATGTTTAATTAGAGTAACAGTTGTGGCAGTGGTTGTGATGATATTACAAAGTATTTTTCATAATTGTTTCCTGAAGTATAGGTTTTTCATTAAAAAAATTCTTTTCCTACCAGGTAACACAAAGCCACCTGATTCTTCTAAAGAAAATAATTCAGAGGCTAAATGCTCAGAAAATGTAGCAACTGGTGAATCAACATTAATAGCAGAACAGGAACTTGGCTTGAAACAAGCAGAAGAACGACTGGAAAGAGATTATATTATCCGTTTGGAAAAAGTAAGCAAGGAGTTCAATTTATATTCTATTCCGTGGATTATTACTTTCTAATACAGTATTGTAGTATATGGCAGTCATTGTGGTAAAATGGTTTGAGTATTGGACCGCAATGTTGGAAAGCAGAGTTTGAATCTCTATTTGTCCATAAAAATGACTGGCTGACCGTGGGCAAGGCACACTTCAGCCTGAGAGGAAGGCACTAGCAAACCTTTTCTGAAAGAATTTTGCCAGCAAAACCCTATGATGGGTTCACTAAGTCTTGCCAGGTTATTTAGTGTGAGTTGGCCATTGCTGATTGTCAGTGTAACATATATATTTCCCTTTAATTTAGAATACATTCATATGGGTGTATAGTAACCACTGGTGAAGCATGTTCATACTGCCTTTTACCCCTTTACAAGCCAAAATTTGTGTATCAGCATCTATGTGCATTGGACTCTGAGTATATGTGTGAAAAACCAAATCTTGCACGTTAATCAATGAATTAAACTCCTAAGTCAAGGTATCACTGTAGTCTCACATTGTAGTTTTCTTTTCATTATTTATTTTTCCTGTGTCAAACAATGTTCTTTCTTTGAGGTGGGGCTTGTCTTTGTGAAATGTTGAAATCATTCTTCTGTCCAGCTATTCCTGATTAGACCTTTTAAAACTTTTCTTTCCATATAAATCTCTGTATCCTTCATATCAGGAATTTTTTTGCCTCATTTTCATTTTTTCCCAATATTTGTCCTGTATTTTCTACACAAAAATGTTAGAAAAATCGATTTGTCATCATGAGTTTAAAAATAAGTTCTGATTCTTGTAGTAATATAATAAAGTAGTAAGGTATGTATTTTACTACTTCAGAATATTTGACAACCAGACCTTTAATTGTAAGCTTATAGATAGGTGGGGGAAAGGAGCTAATTTTTTTTAAAATAATGCTGCATATTGAATATCCCTTTTCCAAAAAGCTTGGAACAGTTTCTTTGGAATTTTATGTATCTATATTTGCATTATATATACATAATGAGATTTGTTAGAGTTGGAACCCAAATTTAAACACGAAATTCATTTATATTTCATATATACCTTCTACACATAGTCTGAAGATGATTTCATATGATGTTTTAAATACGTTCATGGTTAAAACAAAATTTGTGAATACTGAACCCACCACAAATTAAAAGTGGATAAAGAATGCTCAGTCTGTATATGAATGAATTCATTGCAACCTTATAGGGACAGTTATTATCCACCATATTTTTCTGTGGTAGATGTGCTTTTAGCATTGTATGAACATCGTGTTGAAAAGAAAACAGGTACTGTATAATTAAATGGCCGCTGAACTGTAAATATATGGTTTTTCCACAGCGCTCTCCAGAGTATGCTAATTGCCAATACCTATGCAAGCTGTGCTTAGTTCACATTGAAAATATCCAGGGAGCTCATAAACATATTAAAGAAAAACGTCACAAAAAGAATATCATGGTAAGTGTAGAAAAAGAGCTTGTGGGTATCTGATTAGCAATTCCTTAAAAAAACCATTAAAATTGCCTGACAGAAACTGGGATTTGAGGCTTTTTTTCACCCACAATAGTAACTTTAATATGATTTCATAATGTTCTTCAGGAAAAGCAAGAAGAAAATGAATTGCGTGCCCTTCCTCCTCCTTCCCCTGCACAAGTGGCAGCCTTGAGTTTTATGCTGATGGAAGCAGCAAAGGAGCAAGGAATATCAGATGATGATTTCAAAATCCGTCAAGAAATTGTATGTGATATGGAGAAGATAATTCAGCAGCACTTGCCAGGTGATATATGTTGAGAGTCTTGTATTAGTTTTACTGATGTAGAGTCAACAGTATTTATTTCTGATTTTCTAATAATAAAATCCTTTATAACTACAAAATAAAATAATACATTCGTATGTAGTATAATGTAATTGGATTTAATTTGATTGCTTTGAGCCTGAAGCCATGGTGCCTGTTATGTCAATGATAAAAAAAGTTTGAGAGCCTTATGATTTCTTATAGAATTCTGTCTTTACTTCCAGAATGTTCATTGCGGCTATATGGATCCTGCCTAACTAGATTTGCTTTTAAAACCAGTGATGTTAATATTGATATAAAATTTCCCTCCACGGTAAGTTGAGGAGATACCAGTTGTTATCAAACAAAAATATTTTATATCTGCAGTCTTAAATATCTGCCCCAGTTCATATATAACCTATAAGGTTTTTGGTTTGTAATTACAGTGAGTAAACATTCCCAAAGAGTGTTCCACCAGAAACTGTCTTATAAATAAATATGACCATCTTAATTCAATCCTGTCTATTTATCTCAGAGTAATTAATACTAGGACTGCCAAAGCTTCCTTTTAAAACAATTGATCTCATATATAGCTGGAATATAAAGAACAATGCTTTTTTGTTTAAGATAGGAAAGAAATTAAATTGTTTAAGATAAGAAAGAAATTTAAAAAAGCACACTGAACTGGAAATACATTGCATTGAAACAGTTGAAGTTTACTTGTGAGAAACTGTCTTTGGGGGAGAAGTGTGTGTTTGATTTAAAAAAGGAGAAAGAATTAGAAGAAAAGTTTGCCTATCATATGTCTAATAGACTAGTTTATGAACACTTGTGCCATATTAATTTTTCTACCCACAAGTTCTTTCAAAGTTCCGGGGGGGGGGGGGGCAGTGGCTGTTAAAGACCAACAGGGTTATTGTTCTGAATTTTTTTAACTAATATGTGAGCTTACAGGAATCTAGGAAATGTTTTAGGTATTCATGGATTTGACAGGAGATATAAAAGAAGCAGGAGAAGCTAACACTCACAGTTGTCTAATCAAAGTCTGATCCATGAAGAAGAAAGTAGGACTGTCAGCAAACTTTTAAAATTATTAATGGCTTCCAGGACTGAAAGGGTATTCTGCCAGCTTTGCTGAGCAGCTTGTTTTTCCCATCATGTGATAATGATATCCAAAGGTTAATAATATTATTCTTCTATCCCACCACCATCTTCCCAAAGGGACTCAGGGCAGCTTACATGGGGACCAAGCCCTGCAAAAACAGGAGTAAAATATAGCACAATTAAAATAATTGAAATAATTAAACAATATAACCGTGCAACAGACATCATAAAAACAATAGAACTTCAATAACCATCAACCAGTAGCTGAGAACAGTAGGCGTGTTCAGATCTAGGAGGGCGGAGCAAGGGCTAGTGCATTTGATTCCATTAGGCCATTCGACTCTGTTAGGTTTTATCAGGGTGGTTTTATCTATCTTGTTGGGGTTTTTGATAAGGGTTTAACAGCACTTGCTAATATTTATGGTTTTAACTTGTTCTTAATTTTTATATTCGATATGTTTTTATTCACTGTAAGCCACCTCGGCCCTTGATTGAGGAAAGGTGGGATAAAAATTTCAGAAATAAATACCATTCTGAGGATTTCAAGAGAACTGGACAGAACTAGATTAGTAGGCTTTATAGCCTCATCCAATCCAGTAACCAGATCAAGATTGTAAAGTAGAAGCAAGAAGCTCTATCATCCCGGTGCCGTACAGTTCTCTTTAAATCTCGGGAGTTGTAATACAGCAGGCCTGGGTCGCTCGGAGCACCTTGGTGGAGAGCGACTAATTAAGAAAGTGAAGTGAAGTGAAGTGAAGTGGGTCATCTTGGGCCCTCCGGGTTTTGGACTTCAACTCCCACAATTCCTAACAGGCTGTTAGGAATTGTGGAAGTTGAAGTCCAAAATACCTGGAGGACTGAAGTTTACCCTTGCCTGTGATACAGTGCCTATATGCTTGTTTCAGAGAGAAGTAGCTGGTATACTTGGATGAATTCTCTCCAGGATTCTAGATACTTCTGTCTTCCATGAGGGAACGAAATCCTTAATTTTGCACAGCTCTTGGGGCTGGATTCAAGCTCCAGCAGCAATCGCATCAGGGCCGTTTGAGTGCTACATGTTTCTGCATGCAGATGACTGAGCTCTGTGGTTCAGTGGTTGTCTGGATTGTGTTCTATTATCTGTTTACTTTGATAAATTCAAAATGAATGTTAAACAACTTTCTTGTTTGTGGTTTAGATGACTCATCCAGATGTTCTGATACAAGCACTTGAAATTTTAAAAAACATTGGTAAGTTTTCTCTTTTTTTCTCATTCTGATTGATGCTAAGATAATAATTGGATCTGAAAAAGGATATAGTATAGTTGTATTCTGTTTATTTATTTATCGTGTTATCCGCAACCAGAACATTGTATTGCATTTCTAACAGAGCAAAACAAACAAACAGATTAAAAAAACAACAACACAAATTTTGCAAACTTGGTAGCTGATTAAATGTCCTTTGACCAGTATCTTGCCACTTGGAGTGCCTCTGGTGTTGCCGCAAGAAGGTCCTCCATCGTGCATGTGGCAGGGCATTGCAGCAGGTGGTCAGTGGTTTGCTCTTCTCCACACTCGCATGTCGTGGATTCAACTTTGTAGCCCAATTTCTTAAGATTGGCTCTGCATCTCGTGGTGCCAGAGCGCAGTCTGTTTAGCGCCTTCCAAGTCGCCCAGTCTTCTGTGTGCCCAGGGGGGAATCTCTCCTTTGGTATCACCCACGGATTGAGGTGCTGGGTTTGAGCCTGCCACTTTTGAACTCTCACTTGCTGGGGTGTTCCAGCGAGTGTCTCTGTAGATCTAAGAAAACTATTTCTTGATTTAAGTCGTTGATGTGCTGGCTGATACCCAAACAAGGGATGAGCTGGAGATGTCTCTGCCTTGGTCCTTTCACTATTGGCTGCAACTTCCCGGCGGATGTCAGGTGGTGCAATACCGGCTAAGCAGTGCAATTTCTCCAGTGGTGTAGGGCGCAGACACCCTGTGATAATGCGGCATGTCTCATTAAGAGCCACATCCACTGTTTTAGTGTGGTGAGATGTGTTCCACACTGGGCATGCGTACTCAGCAGCAGAGTAGCATAGCGCAAGGGCAGATGTCTTCACTGTATCTGGTTGTGATCCTCAGGTTGTGCCAGTCAGCTTTCGTATAATATTGTTTCTAGCACCCATTTTTGTTTGATGTTCAAGCAGTGCTTCTTGTAGGTCAGAGCACGGTCCAGAGTGACTCCCAGGTATTTGGGTGCGCTGCAATGCTCCAATGAGATTCCTTCTGTTAAATTACCTAGATTAATAGGCAGAAGAGAGCTCCATTCCCTAATGTACTGTTCTACTTTTCTCCTTCTTCAGCTTCTTACTCAGATGTGGAATCAGATTTCCATGCCAAAGTTCCTGTTATTTTTTGTAAAGATAATAAAAGGTTTGTGAATTTTGTGTTGTATATTCATGTGAAATGTAATACTTCTTCTTTGAAAAAGAACAGCAAAGCATAATCTCTGTATTTGCCTTAAAGTCACCTATTGACTTAGACAACCCCGTGAATTGTATAGGGTTTTCTTAAACAAGGAATCTTCAGTTCTTTTCTCCAAAATTTATCATAGAACCAACACCTGTTATTTATTGACTGTTCCCCATCCAAGCACTACCCAGGGCTGACCCGGATCCAAGATCAGATGAATCATAGAATTGGAAGAGATCTCATGGGCCATCCAGTTCAACCCCCTGTCAAAAAGCAGGAAAATTGCATTCAAAGCACCCAAAACAGATGGATATTCTCTGTTTAAAAGCCTGCAAAGAAGGAGCCTCCACCACACTCCGAGGCAGAGAGTTCCACTGCTGAACAGCTCTCACAGTCAGATGAGAACTGTTATCTATAGGGTAGATGCTAGCTAAACGCCAAGCACTTTTAAGTTTAATTGATTAAAATTAGAAATAATTGAATATATTTGTAATGCTTATTAAACATAAACACTAAGACTTAAAATGCTTAATAAAGTAAAATTGTGTTCAGGTGTTGTTCTCCTTCCTTTCTTTAGTATACAAGTAAGGATGTGCTTGGATACGCTTGTTTTTTAATTGGGAATTGATGCATTAGAAGTGGAGAACTTCTTTTTTCCCATTCAGGCTTTCCATATGACTAATACCCCAAATTTTCTAAGTTTTTTACTGTCATGGTTTTTACTCAAGCAGGAACCTCTCTCATACACCTTACTTTCCATCTGAGAAAGTGATAATCAGAAAGGGGAGAGCTAGGCATATCCTTTATTTAGAAATAGCCTAATGAGTAAAATTTGACTTTGTCTTAATAAATTGCATTTTCTGGGGAAATATATCAACATGTGCAAAATAAGTAGTGTAGGCTGCATATATGATGAAAACTACATGTTCTTTATTTAGTTGTCTTCAAGTTTCAGTTACTAGGAGACAGTGATGTGGCTTACAATTTGTCTTAAAATTTCTTTCAATGTCAGTGGTTTAACTTGCAAAGTTAGTGCTGGAAATGATGTGGCCTGCCTTACGACTGACCTACTAGCTGCACTCGGCAAACTAGAACCAGTTCTTGTTCCTTTGGTGTTGGCTTTTCGCTACTGGGCTAGAGTAAGTTTTTAAAATAAACACATATAAATATATAAATTAAGTGACATAGTATATTTGTCAATATATATATATATAGAATAATGTGTGTATCTGGTTTCAAGTTGCCTGTTGACTTATGATGTCTCCATGAATTTTATAAGGTTTTCTTAAGGAATATGCAGTTATAACCTACAGAACCTGGTATTCTTTGGTAATCTTCCATCCCAAGCACCAGCCGGGGCCAAGTCCTTCTTGCCTTCCACATTTAGATGGGACCTGGTTCTTACACCCCCATATCGTATAAATAAAACCCCCTTTTCATGTCTTCCACTGAAATCCCTTGCAGTTGAAGGACTTTAGAGGACCATTTGGAGTAGCCGCCAGTATACTGTAAGGAATTATAGTTAGAAATGGAACTCTGCTATATTTGTTATGATTAATGAGCAGAGAGGAATCTTGGAATCATGGTCCATTTTGTGGCATCTCTTGTCTGTTTAAATTACATAGAGTTTACTCATATAGGTACAGAAGAAGAGAGAGGAAATTTTATATATAAAAAGTATCAGAGATGAGTTAAATTCCAAAGCCCCAATATTGAACTGGTGGATACAGTAACATCATAGCAGAATGTTCGTTAGATTTTACCCCCTAGATTCTGGATTATAGTCGGAGGGGGAGACTATAGTTGTAGTTTCTAGTTTGAAACAGATGTTTTCATTCCATTAAGGGATGCCACTTACAAACTGTCCATGCAACAGTGCATGCATGTTTATGATTGCATGCAAAGGTGTGTTTCCTATCGTCTGTTTTAACAAAATCTTAATCTTCTGGATTTAGTGGCAGTCTTCCACGTGACCCTTATTTATTTAAGCAGCATGTTGTTTTATCCAAACTCTTTTCTAGCTAAGTTCTTAAATGTCTCCCTAGGTATTTACATGAGTATTAATTATATCGAGGTGAGTATTATACATTTGCTACCCAATTGTTCCAGCTGGTACAGTCCCACAATGTAACTTGCAAGTGTAAGTTGAGTTTACTCTAGTTGAGTGAACACTTGGGATAAAGGTCATTCATTTAGTTATTTATTTGATTTATATCCCACCCTTCTTACTATCCAAGGTGGTTTCCATAGCTGAAAATGCTATGATAAAAATACAATAATTATATACGTGTATGCATATACACACACAAATTAAATTAATCATATTTTTAAAAATCTGTTGAGACAAGTCTAGCATAGGATATCTCTGGCAGTTTGGTTTAGTGATAACTGGTTGTCTCTTTACATGAATTTATGTCTTTGCTTTGTTCATAATGGAACTTAGGATATGGGACATATCTTTGGCTTTTAAAAAGGGAATGAATATATCATGGAACTATAACTTTTTATCTCCTACTTCGTAGTTGTGCCATATTGACTGTCAAGCAGAAGGTGGCATCCCTTCATATTCTTTTGCCTTAATGGTGATATTTTTTCTTCAACAAAGAGAACCACGCATACTACCATCATATTTAGGCAATTGGGTAAGTTTTATAAATTAAGGTAGAAATGTCTGTGTGGCAAGAAACAGGCAATCAGTTCCATAGATCCAGATGAGAATGTAAAAAAGTTGAGTTGGCCATAAAATTTCTACTTGAAATTTATTTCTAGCCATAAGCTTTGGTATAAAATAAATTCTTATATGTCTCAGTTTCTTTGGTCTGTTTCAAGTGCTGTGTGTGTGTTCATACAACAGCAGAATTTGGGGTGGGGGTGATGGGTGTGTTTTCACTTGCAATCAATCAAGTCTCCCAGCCTGCTTTGAGGGAAGGGGCAGGGAACCCCCAGCACCATTTTCTGGTCAGCTTTTTAGGACTTGCGAAGAAAGAGATAGAGGAAAAGAAGCTTTGTGATGTGTGTCGGTATCATATTGGATTCAGCCCTTGTATGGTCTTGCTCTTTAAAAAGCCTTTTTTGTGTTTCTGTAGATTGAAGGCTTTGATTCTAAAAAGACTGATGACTACCAATTGAAAGGAATAAAAGATGAAAAGTTTGTAGTGTGGGAGTACAAACCTTCAAACAGTGGAGGGAAAAATGCGAGTGCTGCCGAAGGAAAAGCTAAAGGTGAACAGCACAGTGGTGACAAGAATGCATCAGCTGTAGAAGCAGACTCCCAGCATAATGTAAAGGAGAAAAATGGCAGTGTAAGTAGTTGTGTTGAAATGGAAATTGACCTTCCTTGAATTTCTTCCAGAAATGACACCATTTCACAACAAACGAAAAATGTGGTGTTCCTTTCCTGTATCTTTCAGTCTCCCTTAGCATTGGAAGAACCTCACCAGATATCATTGGGACATCTGTGGCTAGAATTGCTGAAGTTTTATACACTGGAATTTGCTTTGGAAGAATACGTTATCAGCATACGGGTACAAGAACTTTTAACCAGAGAGAACAAAACCTGGCCTAAAAGGCGAATAGCCATTGAAGGTGAGAAAAACTGCATTTTCTGATAAGGCTCTGGGGAGATTTTACTTGTAACTTTGTTTATATCTGTAATTGGTGGAACTTCACATTGCAACTGTATCAGACTGGATGAGGGCTAACAAATTGAAATTGAATCTAGACAAAACAGAGGCCCAGCTGGTCAGTCGAAAGACCGAACAGGGCATAGGGTTACAGCTTGTGTTGGATGGGGTTACACTCCCCCTGAAGACTCAGGTTTGCAGCTTGGGAGTGATCATGGACTCATCACTGAGCTTGGGACCCCAGGTCTCGGTGGTGGCCAGGGGAGCTTTTGCACAGTTAAAACTAGTGCGCCAGCAGCACCCGTACCTTGTGAAGCCTGATCTGGTCACGGTGGTCCATGCTCTTGATACCTCCCTAATAGATTACTGCAATGCACTCTACGTGGGGTTGTCTTTGAAGACTCTTTGGAAACTCCAACTAGTTCAACAGGTGGCAGCCAGAATATTCACCAGAGCGACATTCAGGGAGAATACCACCCCCCTGCTATGTCAACTCCACTGGCTGCTGGTCCATTTCTGAGCACAAATCAAAGTGCTGGTCTTGGCCTATAAAGCCCTATTTGGTTCTGGTCCAGCATACTGGTCTGAACATATCTCCCTCTACAATCCACCTCAGAGTTTAAGATCATTGGGAAAGTCCCTGCTTTCAATCCCGCCTCCTTTGCTAGTGCAATTGGCGGGGACGAGAAACAGGGCCTTCTCGGTGGTGGCCCCCTTTCTGTGGAACACACTCCCTGGTGAAATTAGGTCGGCTCCATCTCTCCTCTCCTTAGGAAAACGCTCAAATCATGGTTTTGGGACCAGGCATTCAGGTAGCAGGCTTAGCAGTAATAATTGCAATGAAAATTGATAATGGACAGGCTTTAGACTGGGACTCTAGATACTGGATTGGATCTGGATATGGCTATATAATTGGAACACAAGTTAATGATGTTTTAATGGATATTTTATAATTTAATGTTTTAACCAATGTTTAATTTGTGTTATATTGCTTTTGTTTGTATGTGTTGGTATCTAATTGTTGCCAATTGTAAGCTGCCCTGAGTGTCCCCCACAAATGTTTGAAATAAATTTGAAATGCTACATTACCCCAAATTGCAGAAAATACCATGGGCTCTCTGAATTTGTGGGATCTGGATCAGTGATTTCCAATGGTCATCTGCATTTTTTATCTGAAGAGGATCCCAGAACCAAAGCCCTGCAAATAACAGCAGGTCTGTTATATAGATTTTCATTGTCTGTCTCATTTACATGGACTGTTGTCCTATCACTTATTTACCCACAGTTATTTTAGAGAATGCCTCTAAAAGAATCCTTCAAATGTGTCTACTGCCTTAAGGTTCCAAACAGTCTTTACCTCTCTCTATGAGCCTGCCCACATTTTAAGAACTTCAGGAGAGGGCTTTCTCTCGGTATCAGTCTGTGAGGACTCAGTAGAAAATTTTCTCAGAGGCTACTCTCAGGCTATGGAACTTTAACACAAATATTTGTGTTAAATATATGTTAAATACTTGCTAAAATTGGTCTGTTATTTTTTCTAGATCCTTTTTCACTAAAAAGAAATGTTGCACGGAGCCTGAACAGCCAAATGGTATTTGAGTACATACTTGAGAGGTTCAGGACAGCATATAAATATTTTGCCTGTCCACAGAATAAAGATGGAAGTAAGCTCAAACCAGACACCAAGAAAAAGGAAAAGGGGAAATTTGGTGGCAAAAAACCTGGAGAACCTGTAGCCAATTGTTCCCTCCCACAACAGGCCAACCTTGCAGAGAAGCAGAATGCAGGATGTGCAGATACTATACCAGATTGTGAGTTAAATGAATGTAGTGAAATAGAACCAACATCCAGGAAACATACTTCTGAAAACTCAAATAGTTCGCTGGTAAAAACACCAGAACTTCTAAATACAAACTGTGACAGTAGAGAGGAAACTGTATCCCTTATTGCTAACGAATGCTGTGAATTGGAACACAAGTCACTTGAGGCAAAGAATGATCAAGAACCTACAACTGAAGAAAATTGTGTTTTTAGTGAACATAGATCCTTTGATGCCGATTCTGTTAGTGAACTTACTGACACTGAAAACAGACAGAGTTCAGTAACTGAATATCCACAAACAGATGTGTGCTCAGGCACTAGCACATCAGCTACCTCGCAAAACTGCAAAGCAGTAGGAGAAATTCAAGACACTAATGATGAAATCGCCACGGAAGATATGCATTATGTGTTTGATAAATTTATTTTGACTTCTGGAAAGGTAAAATGAGTTCAAAATATTTATTTTCAAAAGTATTATGTTCATTAACTGTCTTTCCATTGATGCTTGTTAAATAAAGTAAGGCTAGTCTTTTTCAGTCCATTACCAGAATTCAGTAGCATATTGTAATCCTTCAGCCATTAGATCAGGCATAGGCAAACTTCCTGACTTGGGGGCCGCATGCTAGTATTACCTGCTAAGTGGACTGGCTGCCCTGTAATGGAAGGAAGGAGGGCGAAGGCGAAGGGAGGGGAAGGAGGAAGGAAAGAGAGAGGGAGGAAATGAAAAGACAAAAGGGAGAAAAGGAAGTATGGAAGGAGAAAAAGGGAGAGAGGGAAGGAGGGTGGGAGGAAAGAGGAAAGGAAGGATGAAAGGGTGGAAGGGAAGAATGGAAGGAAGAGAAGGAGGAAGGGAAGGGAGGGAAGGAAGGAAGGAAGTGAATGGGTGGAAGACGAAAGGGAGAGAGGGAGGAAAGAGGGAAGGAAGGAATGATGAAAGGGAGGAAGGGAAGGATTGAAGGAAAGGAAGGAAAAAAGAAAGGAAGAGAAGGATGAAGGGAAGGGAAGAGGAAAGGAAGGACGAAAGGGTGGAAGAGAATGGAGGGAGGGAGGAAAGAGAAGGATGAAAGGTTGGAAGGGAAGAAAGGAGGGAGGGAGAAAGAGGGAGGTAAGGTAGAGAGGGGAGGAAGGAAGGATAGGATGGAGAGAGAGAGAGGAGGGCCTGAGAAAAGAGCCCATACCTTCATTAGATCACAGTGCCTTCATACCATTGTTTTCTTTAACATTCCCCAAGGCTGGAATAAATCTACTGAACCAATTTGTTCAAGTCTTTATAGTCCAATGAAGCACTTAATAGGCAATTGGGTTGACTCATGACTTTGTATTACTTTTGCATAAGCCTAGGAAAAATAAATCTGCCCTCTGCAGGTTTCATGAGACTTGGTACCTTTTCCATCAAGGCCTTTTCGTAACTTCATTGAAGTGCAGGTCTTATGAGCTAAATGACTGCTTTCTAGGGTTCTTCCAAAGGTTAGACATTTTAGAAGGTCTCAACAATGTGATCATAGTACTAGTGTCATCATATTTTTCTGATGTGGGAATTAGGGCTGAGACAAAGTACTGTGTCCATCTTAAAAATACCTGTTTTGAGGCTGATATGTGTCTTTCAAACTTCTTTTCACTTGCTTTTATTTCTAAATCAGCAGCAAATGCTGTAAAGAAAGTCTTTGGGCACTGTGACATGTTCTAGGTCTATATAGTTATCCCTGCAGGTTCTAAAGAACCCATCAGTTGTCTGGATTGACTTCTACTCTTTCTACATTTTCATTATGTAAACTTTCAACTGGTTTTTTGTCAATATCTGAGATAAAATATATCATAGCCAAATATAATGGAATATAAGGAACAATTAAATGACCTTCCATGTGTTATTGAACAGCAATCTGCGCTGCTTAGAGCTGGAAATAGTTGTAACTATATCTGGAGGGATGAGTTTAATAATAAAGTCTAGTTTTAGCAGAAACATGGTTTAGCTTTCGCCACCTGAGTGCTTCTTAATTAAACAATTTGAATATAAAAAATAATTTTGGTATTTTTTTGTCATAGCCTCCAACAATAGTATGCAGTATCTGCAAAAGAGATGGCCATTCCAAAAATGACTGCCCGGAAGATTTTAAGAAAATTGATCTAAAACCACTACCACCAATGACAAGTAGATTTAGAGAAATACTTGATCTAGTGTGTAAAAAGTGCTTTGGTAAGTACAATTTATTGTTTTGACCAAGTAAGTAGTTCTCTGTTAAAATTAAACAGCAGAAACCGAACTCTTAACATGCTAAGATAGGATTTATTCTGCTTGTGGGAATGGAAAGGTTTTTTTTTTTCATTTATCTGATACTAAAAAATAATTTTGTGTTGTTGCCTTTCACATAAAGGCTTGAGTGGGACGTATGTGGCTCTTAAGATGCTGTAGAACTATAATTCGTGGCTTTCCCACTATTAGAAAGCATTGGTAGCTAGGATCGCTGTGACTTGTGGCTAAGCAAAATCTGGAATAGCCACATGAGTCCCCCCGTCCCCCCCGTTTTAAGATCCACAGTACATTTTGGACTTTACATAGGTGTGGGAATAACCATTTGGCAAGGGAAATTAACTTCAGCAATCTAAATATCTTTTTTGTGAACTGTGAAGGATATTTTTTATTTCAGGGGTTTTATCTGATACTCAAATATCTGCCAATATTTCTCTAACTGAATGTTTTACTAGCCCCCATAATTATCTAGGGCTATGTAGAGACTGCATTTTTCATTTATGGACTGTGACGGTGTCATCTAAGAGTTTGAGTATTAGGTATTGCTGAATTTCTCAACTAACTTTTATTTGTTTAGATGAATTGTCGCCACCTTTCTCAGAGCAACAAAACCGAGAGCAAATTTTGGCAAGTTTGGAAAGATTTATTCGGAAAGAATATAATGGTATGTAATGGGAAATTATTAAAGTCATCTTGTTTTTATAAATAAAACACTTTTTTGCAATAGTCCGGCCTGCTTTTTAAAGATTGTATTTATTATTGTTGTTACTTATGTCCCACTTTTTCTCTCTAAGAAAGAGACTCAAAGCAGGTAATGATTACATATATATATATTCATCTCCTCTAAAATGTTAGCTGATCTACAACAAAATACCGAATATATAGTGTTGTATCCAGACCTAATCACACTCAAAGTAGTACAACTTAAATTAATTGGACTAAAGTTAGTTATTACTGCCATAATTCCTATTGACTTCAAGGAGCTATTATAATCAAGTCTATCTTTGGTCTAATAGTGTCAAAATCAGTACTATTACTATAAGTAAGACAAATGTATCACATTTAAGCATAGCTTAGTGTTAATATAACATAACTTTAAAGCTGAAGCTAGGTTGACCAAATGCATCTAAAGTCAATATTGACATCACGTTAATAGCATTCAGTGGTATTGTCTTTTGGAATTGTGTCTGTGTGCAAGAACGTATTGGCAAGAATACACTCAAATCCTTCTTTATCAATCCTATGAGCGAAGTAATATCTCCGTCAGCTGGTGCCAATATGTTGTTGTATATTAGCCTTTGGTGGGAGGGATTGTACATATTGATTTGATCTAATTTATATCCAGTCTTCCTCTCAAAAGAGGGGTTATTGGGTTGCTGTGAGGGTTTTTTGCGCAGTTACGTTCTCAATAGAAGAATAGAACAGATGTTGGCATCAAGCCACAGTAACTATGGGAAAATTGAAAAGAAATTAGTAACATTGTGATCATGAAACAATTAGGAATGGATTAAGATTAAGTAGGAATTTGGATGTGTGTATTCTAATGTGTTTGCTCGGAAAAAATAACCGAATCAATCAGTATTATTAAAGTAGAGATGTAAAAAAACCTACTTTGAATATAATTATCATTAAAAACGGGTAGAAATTTCATCAGTTTTAAAAACATTGTATGATCAAAGGAAAACCTCTTTTAAAACATGTGCCGCAGTTCTCTGTCAATCTTTTTTTGAAAACTTCAAGAACTTCCATAAACTGGACAGATAGCATATACTTGGCAAATATGGCAGGACAACCATCAGAAATTACATTGGGTCTGCAAAAATGTGAATTGAAATGGTTTCCTTGAGAGTAGTAGCAGTAATTTTATTGATTAGCCCTTAGGCCATATCGCAATAAGAAACAGAACAACAAGGCCTGACAAGACCTGATCACACTCCACGTAGAAAGTTAAAATAAGACACTTATAATAATACAGTAAATACATATGATAAGACATGATAAAACTGATAAACTGATCAAGCTGAGTATATACATCATATTTCATTATCACCCCTACAATTTACCCCAATCAGCCCTACATATGTGGTTCTCAGACGTATTGTTTTGCTTAAGTACAGAGCTGTTTTATATGTTATTTTTGGGTCTTGGCCACACATAAAATATGTTGTTCTGATGTGAGAATCCCAATACATTGTCCGTTTGATATATGGACCAAGGTGGAAGTCTCACCTTTTGATACAATTTGCAATCAAACAATATGTGTGCTATATCCTCAATTTCAGGTGCCCCGCAGATACAACTCTGTTCATTATAAGGGATGCTGTTAAATCTCCCGTATCTAACCATTGTCTCGAGCTGATCAAATCTGGCTCGAGTGAATACCTCCCTGAGATGTTTTGGTATTTGCATTTTTAGGTAGTTAGCAGTTTGAAAGGTACGTTTATATTGACTCAGCCATTTTAGGTTAGCAGTCTTACTGAGGGTGGCTATATCTTTTTGTGCTTCTATATCCAAAATTCTTTGTATAGCACCCTTACTTACTTGGTCATTTGAGGCGCAGGAGAAGTATGTGAGAATATGATATATTTGTAATTTATTTATTTCTTTATTTACTTTATTTATATACCGCTTTTCTCAGTCCTCAGGCGACTCAAAGCGGTGAACGACATCAATACAAAACATCACAAGACAAGTATAGGGCAATTAAAAACAATTGTAACATAAATTATTAAACATCCATTTAACAATCGTTAGCGCTTCAACAGTAAAATCAGAATCCAGTCTCGTCATCCATTATTCCGTATTCTTCAACTGTTCGTCAAAAATTAATTTTAAATATTTGTTAAACCCTGTTTTTTTTTTAAATAGACAAGGCCAGGCTATGCCTGTTTGGCTCTTCAAAGAATGGTTTTGGGTTCCGTGACAGTGACCTGGATATTTGCATGACTCTGGAGGGCCATGAAAATGCAGAGGTAATTCATTTTTAAAAATAAATTTTATATAGTTAAAGGAAGAATTCTTCTAATGTCACATATGTATTAAAATTCCTGTCTGTTTTATAAGTTGTATTTTAATATTTGTAGGTAGTAACGCAAGTGTTTCATTCATTTATTTTTCCTAGAAATTAAATTGTAAGGAAATCATTGAAAATTTGGCAAAGGTTCTTAAAAGGCATCCAGGTATGTGAATCACAGTGTATGTTGCTTAATATTTGCATGTATGCAAAACTTCTTGGTTTACATATAGACATCTTACCTTCTCAGGTTTAAGAAACATCCTGCCTATAACTACAGCCAAAGTGCCTATAGTAAAATTTGAACACAGACGAAGTGGCTTAGAAGGAGATATCAGTTTATACAATACACTGGCAAGTATCTTATTTCAGCAAAAATGAAAATGCTGTTCCAAGTTTTGTTAATCCGTTAAAACCTAAAAATTGCAGATGGTATTTACCTTTTAGGCCAGAAGTGGGCAAAGTATAGCCTGTGAGCCATATGTGGTCCCTTTTTGTCTATCTGTACAAAAAAAAGTCAAAAAATGTAACAGATATTTAATGCATTGATACATGTGGACTGTTTCTGCTAACCCAGCTCTCCTCAGCAATTAATTCTATTTAGTCTTTTTTCTTTTCTTTTTAGGTATTATTAGACAGTTATAAATAACAGTCTATATTCAGTATTAAAATTAAACGAAGTTTCCTTTCTCATCTGTGGGTTAAGCATTCATGGGTTTGATTATTCCTGTATTTGCTGCCACTTCCACTGCAGTAGCAACATATGCTCAAAAATGTAAGCATTTGTAGGCCTTCTAACATTATTCTGTGGTCAGCTTCTGCTTGAGACCAACCATAGAATTGTACTGGAGAACTTACAGAATACAGATGCCCATAAAAGTGTTTTTTCAGATTAAAAAATAAAGGTAAAGGTTTCCCCTTTACATTAAGTCTAGTCATGTCCGACTCTGGGGGTGGTGGTGGTTCTCATTTCCATTTCTAAGCTGAAGAGCTGGCTTTGTCCATAGTCACCTCTTAGGTCATGTGGCCAGCATGACAGCATGGACTGTTGTTACCTTCCAGCAGAAGCGAAACCTATTGATCTACTTACATTTGCATCTTTTCGAACTGCTAGGTTGGCAGAAGCTGGGGCCAACAACGGGAGCTCACCTTGCTCCCCAGATTCGAACCGCCAACCTTTTAGCCAGCGAGGTCAGCTCAGCGGTTTAAGCCGCTGCACAACCCGGGGGGGGGGGGGGCATTAAAAAAATAGCAGGCCTATATTCACAGATTTTCCATTGTTGCAGAGTCCTGGATCTCTAACACAAAAGAATGTGCAGCACTAACTGTAGTCAGTACTTTTCTCAGGCAAGAGTGAACATTCCTTATAAAAAGCAGGAATAGGCAAATTTTTTGGACTTCAGCTTCCATCAGGTCTATTCAGTATAGACCTCAGTGAGGAATGCAAGAAGTTGCATTCCCAACAGCATCTTGAGGGCTGTACTTTGCCCATGCCTAATTTAAAGTGTAAACAATACAAGTGCCAAACCATAGCCTGACAACTAAATCCTTAACTTGTTTTCAAGGCACAGCACAATACAAGGATGCTTGCAACATATGCAGCCATTGATCCAAGAGTGCAATACTTAGGATATACAATGAAAGTTTTTGCAAAGGTAAGTATAGGTGTGATCAGCAGATGGGTTGTGGACATTCAGTGATCATTTCTTTTTAAGAACAGTTGCTGCTTATTCAAGTGGAGGTTCTTTTTAAAATGTGAACATCAATATTACTTTTCTTGCTAGTCTATTACCTTTGTTTTCCAGTTCTAACTTTGGAGATTGCTAATTTGTAAGGGTGATATGTAGTTTTATTATTGACATCCTTTTCTTTTGCAATTTGGAATACGCTCCATGAAAAAAATTAGTATTGTAAGTTTGCAGTTAAGTTTAAAGTTAACTTTTGGCTTGTTTCTATCCCCGCAAATTATAATGAAATATGAATGAAAGACAATTCTGATAACATTTTAAACACACTTAAGAGGCCACCAGTTGGATTTTTGACTTTTTGGAAGAAGCGACATACATATAGATGTGATTTGAACACCTGCTAGTTTTGAAATTAGTTTTCTGTTTGATATGGGCTTAAGAAACACGAGTCCATATTCATTAAGGCCCTGTCAAAATAGTTTGTATAACATTCTTTTGATCTTGAAGTTTTTTGATGTCATCTTAGAGTATGACAACTTTCTGCATTATTATTTCACATGTGTACTTTTCACTTTGGCTTTTGTTCATGACAGTGCTCAGATTTCACAAAATATCACTTTGTATGGACAAATATTTTTCCCTTAGTAGGATATTGTTAGAGCTAAATGTCTTGTCATGTCTTCATTGTATTCAAAATGTCCCTAACCAGCGCTGTGATATTGGAGATGCATCCAGAGGGAGTCTCTCTTCATATGCCTATATCCTGATGGTGTTATACTTCCTACAACAAAGAGAACCACCTGTAATCCCCGTCCTTCAAGAGGTAAGTTTCTTGGAGACAATGCCATGAAATACAGTGTTGAGAATTCTTGTTTATTTACAGTTGACTTCCTATGTGAAAATAGGATTGAATGTGTCTCTTTTTGAAGAGTTGTTGAATTCAGAATTTGATATTTTCCTGGACATTCTCAGTGTTGTTGTAGGTTTTTTTTGGGCTTATATGGGCATGGTCTAGAGGCATTCTCTCCTGACGTGGCCATATAGCTCAAAAAAACGTACAACAACCCAGTGATTCTGGCCATGAAAGCCTTCAACAATACATTCTCAGTGTTGTCACTGTGAGTCTATCTTGGTAGTTGCTTTACACATAATGAGATTTTAGTGTACAAGTTATGAATTAATGTAGATTTTTAGACTGTCATTCATGATTCCACATGGAAACTTCTTGCTTTTCACATAGTGGAAATTCTGAAGGTACCATTATCATATTTCATGTTATCCTTGGGTAGCATAATCTGGCCTGGCAGTAATGCCATCATCATCTTCACTGCCCTCCACATACCACATTCAAGATCAACTGGTATCATTTTTGGAAGGTGTGATTTATAGCACCATCTTTCATTTTGAAAATTAATTTTTAAATGTAGAAAGATTAACATGGGTTCCCATTAACATTTTCAGAAATAGTTTTGTTATTTTTCTCTGCCTCGTGGTATTCTAGATATTTGACGGACAGCAGATCCCTCAGAGAATGGTTGATGGGTGGAATGCTTTCTTCTTTGATGATACCGAAGAACTGGTAATGCTCTAACTGTAGAATAAGCAATAAGTTCTTAAGTCCAGACTTATTATACTACATATGTTCCTTAATATTTGTAAAAATAATTTTAGCACTATAGTACGCTATTCTGTGGTATGCTTGGGCTGGAAGGATACCGTAAAATAATACTGGGGGATCTGGAATGTGAGTAAGTGAAACCATAGATACCAAGTATATGAATAAGGGAATGTTATATTTTTGTCATTTAAATGTCATTAAAATAATATATAGGTTTAAAAAAGGCAAATCATCTCTATACAGGTGTATTTCTGCATACTGGCAGAGAGAAGATGAAAGGGAAAAATACATTGTGTGTCTAAGCAGCACTCTCTGACACTTTAGATTTTTTAATGATTGCAAGGCAAGTAAAAAGCTAAAACAATTCTTCAGGTTCCCTGTGCAAGCTCTCTAAATGGACCTGGTAACGAGTAGTCCCACATTCCTGGTTTTAGCTAGAGAAATATAGTCTAGTGTTAAAATGACTATTGGGATTTAGGTGGGGGAGAGATGTAAACTAGTAGAGTGTGTAAACAAATACTCTAGTGTTTGACTGTGGTTTGGAGTACATAAATAGCAAGGGACCATTTCAGTTTCCTGTCCCAATTTTGAATTTCTGTTATACTAATTAATAGAAGCTTGTTTCCTTGCTCCTCATGATCACTAGGAAGTGAGATCTTCTAGACAAAATAGAATCTAAAAGATGGAATATAAAATAAAGTTAGTTAATAATAGTAGCAGTTAACAAATTTTTCAAAAAGGAAGGAGGCGATCTGTACTACAGTTTTGGTGATACTCACTTTTTCAGGTCTGGTCCAGCTGAGGATATTAGGAAGGAGAGTCCCTCATTTAGAGCTTGCACAGGTAGATTTTCCATGAACATTAAGATACTTGGATTGTTTTCCTCTGCTATTGTGTAGATATATACCGTGGACAGTGTATCTTCATCATGGGTTCAAATTAGATACTAGTATTTTGCTTTATCTTATTTAATAATCATTTCAAAACTCATATGATGAGAAATAAATGTCTTTTTCATATTATATAACTTTTATACAGAAAAAACGACTGCCTTCTCTTGGGAAAAACACAGAATCACTGGGAGAACTCTGGTTAGGGTTACTGCGATTTTACACTGAAGAATTTGACTTCAAGGAGTATGTCATCAGTATTCGGCAGAAGAAACTGTTGACTACATTTGAGAAACAGTGGACATCCAAATGTATTGCTATTGAAGGTATTGAACTGTTATCTAAAAATGCAATACCATTCTCTGGAGAAATTATTAGATGATTAACATAATGAAAAAGATCTTGCATTTCGTACTTCAGTGCCATTTGTTAATAGGAGGCTATTTTTTAAAATGTTGTGTGTCTAGATCTCTCTTGTGACAGAATCTTTTCATAGCAGAGCCTACAAAATCAGTATTCATTAATAGGAAACATAAACCCTACTCAAATTTCATACCTGTTTGCTTTTATTCCTTTTCCTTAGATCCTTTTGACTTGAATCATAACTTGGGTGCAGGAGTTTCTCGAAAAAGTAAGGATTGGAAAACTGCTGCTTAGCAGTAATAATCTGTAAAGTACTGTGACTTCTCTAGAGTGTCTGTATCTGTCTATCTACATATACATATTCATTTACATACACACATACACACATATTTGTCTTTTCTTTCATAGTGACCAATTTCATAATGAAGGCATTAATCAATGGGAGAAAACTATTTGGTACTCCTTTCTGTCCAGTCTTGGGAAGAGAAGCTGTAAGTTCTCTCATCTTGTAACTTACACTCTTTTGCTGTAAGCATAAATGGTTGGATATTTCCGTATGTGTGTATGGTGCTTTAAACAAGTAGCTAACACTCATGCAATTCCAGACTGGCATTTGAGAGATTAGGACTTGCAGGAGCAGCTGTGAAGGAATGAGGCAAGATCCTAAAGTGTAAAGATACATAATTGGTTGCTTAAGTTAGAATTGCCCTTGCCATTGTATTTCAAATTTCTGGGTAGGGTTGTGAAAACTACTGGGATAGCAAAGAAAGCTGATAGGAAGAAAACAAACTCATTTGAAATATAGAGCTGGAGAAGAGTTCTGTGGATCCTGTGGACAGCTAAAAAGACAAATAAGTGGGTGCTCTAGCAAATCAAGCCAGAACTTTGCCTAGAAAAATAAACTGAGACTGTTATACTTTGAAGATATCACAAGAAGAAAAGACAATAATTTCTGTTAAGGTGAATGGTAGTAGGGAGTGAGGAAGATTGCTATTCAGATGGATAGATTCCATTAGGGAAGCCATGCCTCTGAATCTGCAAGACCTAAGTTGATGATTGGCTAACTTGAAGGTCTCATTCATAGCGTCACTATAAGTCAAAATTGAATTGATGGTGCTTAATAGCAGATTTGGTAGAGGAGGAGAAAAATGTTGATAGAGCTGAATCAAGTACTTTTCAGTACTCTATCAAAGCATGTGACCTTACTTCCTCATGATTCTTTTCTTCATTCAAGCAGTCCCAATAATTATTCCTTTTATCAGGATGGGGCCTTTGGGCTTCCATTTGTTATGGTTCACAATTCCCATTAAACTCAGCAAGTATGACCAGTAGTAGAAAGCTTACTCTATGTTAGATTGCCTGACACTGTGTTAAAGCTACTAGCTTCTTTTCCTATATTACCTTATTTAAGAGCATGCTCCGTTGAAATCAGTTTTTCTTACTTCTAGATTTTTACTGATTTAGATTAACTTTCCTTTTTTACATTTCAAGTATCAGCAATGCACATGTTAATTAATATCTTATTTAACATGCTGTGCAATTGTTTTCTCTCTATCTGATTTCCCTGGTTCCTGTTTTCTTGATGTAGAAAGTGAACATGGAGAACTTGTAGGTAAAAAATGTTTTCTTTCCTTCTTAGGAGTATTTTTTTAACTCAAAAGTATTGACTGATGGAGAATTGGCACCCAATGACAGATGTTGCCGTGTCTGTGGCAAAATTGGTCACTACATGAAGGACTGCCCCAAAAGGAAGAGGTTAGGAAAATACACACACTCTCATTTAAAACAAATGCATGTTGAATATAAAAGATGGCAGTATTTTGTAGAGAAAACCCAATTCTTCACATGCTGAAAACTACATCTTGCTATTGTTCTGAAAACTGCTGTTGTTATTTTTTCAAATTTCATGTTTAGTCTTTTCCCCTGCTCGAACTTTGGCTGTGTTCAAAAGTTGGTATAAAATAATGACAAATATTGTAATAGATTGCCTAAATGTTTTTACATTACCTTTTTAAAATTCTCATGAACAGTACTCTTCTTTGTCCCAAAGGATTGGACTGGTAATGAGATCAGAAAGTCATTTGGAATCATTAGAAAAAAAAATTGGTAATGATGTAGCCATGACCTCCTTTCGATTAATTCTGATTTCAATTGGCTCTGAGAAAGGGGGCAAAGCATTTGGACTAGTTCAGAGTTGAGGTTATTTTACAGTCCTTTTGAAATAAGATTCACTTGCATCTTCAATTTGCCTTATTTAATTTCCCTCTTGGTTTTTTTTTTTTGTCCATATAGTAGAAATGCAATTGATCTTGAATTTTTTTTTCTTTCCCTCTCTGTTGGTTGCCTTTGTAGTAGCCACACAACTTTGAGAATGTGTTAATACTTGTTTACATTTAGATTGAAGAAAAGGGAGAATGAGAGAGAAGATGAAAAAGAAGTAAAGGAGGAAGACAGGGAGACAAGAGAAAAGAGATGTTTTATCTGTGGTGACGTGGGACATGTTCGAAGGGACTGTCCCGAATTCAAACAGACAAGACAAAGAAGTAATGGCATTCAAGGTAAAAAAAACAAACCCAACCCAAGCAAAATACTCTACCACTACCCTCCTTCCAGTTTTATACTATGATATTTTATTTTGGGGTAGTATCCAAACAATTTTATGGTGGAATCCAAACAAGAAATAAGATGTGCATGACAGAATCTCTCACTGGTGAATTCATTTGGGGTGGGAATTATTAATGCTGACACTGCCCTAAACTCTTCTTGCTTTAAAACATCCTTATTTTTGGATGCTCCTCACATAATAGTCACAGATTACCCCTTCATTCCTTCTTTTTCTGAAGGCAAGGCTATGAAATGGAGATTCATGGAGCTTTGTTCTTCCTTCCTTCCTTCCTTCCTCCTTTTTCCAAAGAGCAACATTTCATATATTGTAAACTGCCTTGCTTTTAAGGGCTGAAGGGAGACTCTTTCATCTTCCTTCCTCCTTGGCAAGGCTATTTCACAAAATAAACAAACAGAAAGACATGTTGGTGTGAGGCTGGATCATCCCTCTTCCTGTCTAAGAAGTAAGGCAATTTATTTTATTATTTTTTTAAAAAAAAACCAGCAGAAACCAGAGAATCAAATGCAGAGTTTTTCATTGCATAATAGTCGCACCCCCCTTTTTTTTTAAATAAAAAAAGGATAAAAGTGTGTCTCTTATGCGATGAAATATGGTTTTGCAGTCCTGCCTTGCTCTGGAAAGCTTGGGTGGGAAGGTGGCCTATTCAGTGTTTTCAGCATCCACTGCTCTGTCTGCCTTCCCCAACACAAGGAACAGGTTCACAACTTCATCTTCTGCCATCAACAGATGATTGCAATATTCCTCCTACTAATCAGTGGATTTTGAAAATACATCCAAGCACTGTTTTGTTTACTTTTGTTCCTCTTAGTCTTTTTTTACCAGGCACTCAGGAGCAAATACTACTTTTTATTAATCATAATCCTGTGCTCTTTAAACTTCAATTGTTTAATTTAGCTTTCCTTAGAATTTTAGGGTTTTTCTATTAACTGTTCTTATATGTTCTCTGACACAAATGACCTGACCCCATTGTTGTACTTATAAGTACTTGTCACTCTTTAAATCTTTACTCAAGCAACTCAGGTTACAATTCTGGCTCAGTGTGGTCTTCTTTCTTCAGTCAAAAAAGGGGGAAAAAATCTAACTAGCGCTTTAGTATAAGAAAACCTCTCATTATAACCAAACAAATAATGTAAGGATTGTTTCTCTGCTGACTTTTAAGAGTGAGCTTCAGCTAGGATCTAAAGAGCAGGAAATGTATTTCTTTTAGAACTACAAATATAATTAGGAATGTTCCTGGTTTTGATACAAGAGTTAATACTGCAATAATAATTTTAAAAATCCAGAGTTATAAAAAATGGTTTGAGGACATTATTGCAGCACACTGAGTAAATAAAATTCTAGCTGCACAGAGATCATTGCTTTGGATCACAACATATGGTTTGTTTATATTAAAAACCCACATTCTGTATATTTTATCTAGCTGCTCAGTTAGTACGAAGTCTTGTCAGCGCACAGCCAATAACTGCATCAATTCCGCAGCAAGTGGAAAGGCCTTTACGTACTAGGCAGCCATCAGAATGTGTAAGTTGCTTTCGATAAGAGTTTTTTTTTAATAATAATATAGAAAAAATGTTTCATATAATAGTATATGAAAAACTGGTTTCATGGTGCAAGAGAACTTTTCAGTACTCTAGCAATATTTTTACCTATTTCAAGAGATTCCAAAGTGATACTTTAGTGATTTCACTGAAGAAACTGCAAGTGTAGCAAGGAAATGGAAAATTAAATTAATCAAAAAGCAGCTAGTGAATGAAAACATATTTGCAATATAATGTTTACTTCAGTAGTAATACTGTTTTTCAGGGATAGAGCTTTTTAATCAATCAACTTTCAATAATATTTTTACAACTGAGTCTAGCTTACTGTTTTTTGACTTCAGATTATATAGTAATCGAGAAAATGTTTGTGCCTCAGGTGCACATAAGAACTTGTAATAACCAAACTACTTCCCTTTTCCTCCCTTTCCAGTCTGATTCACATCCGTCATCTTACTCTCCTCAGCCTCAGCCATTTACCCAGAATTCCTCTCCACCAGCCTCCATTACCCAGACTCAGCCACAGCCAATAGCCCCGTCTAATCATGTCCTGCAGCCCCAGCCGGGGACCCAGGTCCAGCTGCCTTTGTTTAACTTTGCCCAATCTCCCCCAGGTCAGTATCCCAACTTGCCTAACCTGGGACTGTTTCAGATGCATCACCACCAAATCCAACTCCCTAACACCTCGTGGCCTGTCATTCACTCTGCACCGGGTAATTCTTCTCACGCTACAAACGTTCCTTTCCCTGTGAGGGCTGGCAGTAGCAACTCACCCAATAATCAGAGCAGTCTAAGCTTGAACGATCCCAGTATCATCTTTGCACAGCCTGCTGCCAGGCCGGTAGGAATCCCCAGCAATTCTCCTGAGGGACACTGGCACAACTCTGTGACTCTAAACTCACTGGTGAACAATGGCACGGTGGGGAATGCAGGTAACTCCTTCTCTGTTGTTTCCTCTTTTGTACCAATACTGATGGTGTCTTTTCTTGACATTTCTCAATCTATTCATTCTATCTGGTGATTTTGGTGGACACATATAAGAATTAATGACTTTAACAATTTTGTGAATATTTGTAAGGGGCAAGATGACATGTAAAGTACACATAAAATATTTCGTGAATGTGAGTTGCTTTTAGAATAATGGTTCTCAACCTGTGGGCCCCCGGGTGTTTTGGCCTACAACACCCAGAATTCCCAGCCAGTTTACCAGCTGTTAGGATTTCTGGGAGTTGAACGCCAAAACATCTGGGAATGCACAGGTTGAGAACCACTGCTTTAGAAGGATACTTTGTAGATCTAGACACATTTTAAAGAGAAAAGATTGAGCTTTCTGCAGAAAAATATGGGTCCCAAAGCTCGAGTCCAAATGAGGTTGGGAACTAGACAACTATATGCTTACTCAGAAAGCTGTACCATTTCCTTTGTTGCATAGAAAGCATTTACAAGGTATTTCCACAATGTTTTGAGGACCCATGGAGAAGTCTTCTTTGAAACCAGTTGTGACTTCCTATTAATTTCTGTGATTAAATGATAGGCATTTCCTGGGTTTAAAGTGGCCCAGAACCTGTGCTGCCTCCAAATATTATGAAAATTCATAATAATGATGAAAAGGTGTGTGCAGGGAAGATAGCATATTTGGGAAGGAGAAATGTGGAGCAGAAACCCCCGAAGTCTTTTTTGAGACCAGTTTGGCCCCTTAGCCTTCCACCAATCCTGGTTTAACTTTTGATATATTCATCATTTTGGGAACATTAAAACAGTTAGAATCTAAAAATGCCTTTCCACAGGCAGAATAAATGTTCTGCTTTGGATGTAACTACATTACATCCAAATCCAAGTAAAAATGTAAACCTGCCAATTAACAGATCAGTTGCAGCACTTCTGTAAAGTCTTGTAGATGGGTAGTGCTGGTTAATTTTATTCTATTCCATTCTGTCGTATAATTTTCTGTATGTCTTGTTTAATGTGCTGTTACTTCAGGTTTTTTAAATAGTGAAAGAACTTTCTCCCTCCATATAATCATACAAGCGTCTATTTTTAGTATTGTTCTTGATTATAGCATTTATGAACTGTTTTTTTTTCCACATTTTGGTTTCCCACCTGTAGTTCATAATTAGAGCTTATTCTAGTTTCTTTGTTGCACTGTACAAATGTGTGTTCAAAAGTTGTAAAAATACTAAGCTGGAAAATTATGTATTGGCAAAAACGCACACTGTTAACTGGTGAAGTGGTTGTTGTCTTGTGAATTCAATATTCAGTTTCCCCTTTTGAATGAAATTCAGATCAGGCCTTCCAAGGACAGTTTGGTAAAACGAATCCTCCTGGTGCTGCTGCTGTTCCTTGGGACCATGGATCCCCTGCCCATTTTCCTCTGCTTCGAGGGACGTGGCCTTACAGTATGTCTCCGAACTACGTGCAGCAGGGAAATGCCAGCTATTCACTGAACAAACCTTTCTACCCCCAAGGTACTAGAAATAAGGGCATCAAGAAACTGTGGAACCCTTCTACTGATCTTTCCACTTTTGTTGGCAGCAGCTCTTGAGCCAGAGGTGTCAGAGCTGTGGTCCTCCAGGTGTTTCTACCTCCAACTCCAGAAGTCTAGCTGGCTTGTCTAATGATCAGGAATTCTGGGAGCTGAAGTCTAAAACATCTGAAGGACCACAAGATTGACACCACTGTCTTAAGCTATTCATCCTGAAATAATATCACATGAAGCAATTTGGAAACGAGTCCATAGAAGATGTAAAAATAATCTCTCTAATACAGTTGGGGAGTTTTGGAGATGGTTTTACATCTTTTAAGTTCATGTATTTAGGGAACAAATCATATTTTGAATAAGTCTTAGAAGCTAAACTTTATTTTGTATCAAAAGCATTGTATAAATAAGTATAAAACTGATAAAAATAGAAGGAGCACAAGCGGCTAAGTATTTTTTGACCAAAAACAGGCAACAGCGACCACATTGTCTGTAGCTTTAAACCATTCTTCCTCTGTACATGAGGCAGGACATTGTGGACAAGCATACAGATGCAGAGTTTGTTCTGCTCCACAGTCGCACAAGGTGAATTCTTTTAGGTAGTAACATTTTACCAGGTTGCCGATCTGCCCACTCCACTTCTGAGTCTGTTCAGGGACTTCCAAGTTGCCCTTTTTTGGTTTGCGTCTGGAGGCAGACCCTTGTGGGGTGCCATCCAGTTGTGATGTCCTGGTTTAGCTGCCCAGAGGGATACCCTTTTTGTTGCTGGGGGAAGGTTGGAGGAGTGGTTGTTTTCATTAAAGCTTTTCCTTGATTTGAGTCTACTGGCCGGAGGTTGATAGCCATGCAGTGGATGGCTTTCAGTGTTCAACCTTCTCTCACAGTTAGCAGCAACTTCCCGTCGCACATCGGGGGGAGGGGGGCCCAATGCCAGATAGCTTGTTATTTATCAACAGGTGCCGGTACAAAATAAATGAAAAAGCTAAAATAGGGTTACCCTGTCCTTTTTTTATTTTCATTTGCATCTCAACAAAACAATGTCCTTCCTATGGGAAGGAACCTTGTCTGATGCTGTAAACATTTCTATTTCTGCTGTATATATTGCTTATTCATTGTAGCATTTTAAGATGTAAAAAGAAACCCTTTTGCTCATAGAAAAAAACACAAACCTACTGTGTACAGCTTCCACCTTGAATGATAGCTGATGCATCCTTGTTTATTTTCGATTCTAAGATGCACTTTTCCCCATCTCTAAAAACAGGGTGCATTGTAGAATCAAAGGTCCTTTTTATATATAAAACTATAGCTTTTTTATGTTGGTGGTACTGAAGTACGCCTTCCAGTCAGTGGCATCATAAAGAAACATGGTAGGTTCCAGAGCATCATTCTATTAAGCCACTGTCAAATTCAAGGTAAGATTGAGACAGCATTCAGCCAGAACCAGCAGATACAGAATGAGTACTTGCTAGACAGCAGGGAGTTTAATATTTACTTTTGAACCAGTATGCTAAATTCAGTGAAGTGATATTTGCTAAAATAATTGTGAGCCCTTTTTTCTTCTAGCTGGGTTACTGGTGCAGAACAACCAGCAGTTTTCACTTCTGTCTCAAGGCCACCCACACTTGAACGTGAATTTTATTCAGCAGAAAAAATGAAGTTTGAATAAAGGGATGGGAAGAAATCAGGTTACGGATAAAATCTTATTGCAACATGTTTAGATAAGAGATTATTTAAAATTGTTTTTAACTGTATCATTTGTACATAGATATAAAATATAGTTTTTACCAATGTCACAAGAATAAGTGATAAATGTCATCTATTTTATTACCCTATTTTTAAGGGGAACTTTATTTTATTTTATCTTGATAAACTGTAAAGAGAGTTTTTAAAATTAAGTTGTTTATTTTCTATTAGCTTTATTCATACTTTTGTTCAGACTTTATATCTATTCTAAAAAGAGACTAGAAAGGGATTTCATGTGTTAAAGATTGTCATTTCTTTACAGAACAATGTAGTGCCAAAAACTTTTTAAAAGGAAAAAAAATAAGTTTCAAAATTAGAAATCAAAATAAAGATGATTTTTCTGTACGTGTGATGTCAGTTTTTACTACTGTAGATTCCACAAATTCTTATTTTCTGAACAAACTAGTAAGAAATGTTCATGCAGTGTTACATGGCTTGGGCTCAGGTTATCTGAAGGGCCGTATCTCTGAGTCTGTTAGAAATCTACGATCATCGGGGGGGGGGGGGGGCATCTCTCTGTCCCACCACCCTCTAAAGTGTTTGGTGGAACACAGGCAAGGGCCTTTTCGGTGGCTGCTCCCATACGTTGGAACTCCCTCCCAAGAGACCAGGATGACCCCATCTCTGCTTGCTTTTCACAGGCATCAGGCATTTGGGGCAGGCTGCTATGGAGATTTTAGGTAGGATTCCGGGGGGGGGGGGGGGGGTATGAGTTTTAAACATGGTTTCAATTGTATTTGTTATATCTTAACTGTGTTTAATAATGATAAAGTTAATGATGCATAGCTTTCAGCAATAAAAGCAGCCTAGAAGCATACATATCCTTGGAGAATTCAGTTTCCTTCTTTAATACTTCTGAATAGCATGCAAATTCATGATTATATTGTATTCTTTTTTTAGCGTTTTGTATATGCCTGATATAATTCAAGAGACTAGGCACACGATATATTGATAGCAGTTTGCTTCCACTTTGAATGCTGCAACTGCATAGTATGTGAAACTTGTACAGGGTGAGGCGGCCTAACTTCCTTTTTTCAAAACTTAATAAAACCCATTGTATGAATCAATTTATTTATTTTTTATAATGTAGGCGCATACCTAAAGTTTTGTTTTACGTAGTTTTGAAGATCAAATTAAGTAGGTGACGTCCCCCATTCACCATACACTGAGTAAACTGATTTCTGGCATTTGTCACGACTCTTGCCAGCATAGCAGGCGTTATGTTGGCAATTTCTTCCTGGATGTTGGTCTTCAAATCTTGTAGAGTCCTTGGACAGTTCACATAAACACAGGATTTCAAAAAAAACCCATAGAAAAATATCACAAGGGGCCAAATCTGGAGAGCGGGCCGGCCACTCCAAATCCGCTCGAAAATCCACTCAACAGCAAAAGCACGCTCCTCACTGTTCCAATGCATGATGGCGACTGAACTGTGTCAGGACAAAGCTTTATACTTCCGCCTCTCGAAAGAGACCACCAGCGCTCCGCTACGTCTTCAACCGACTGAATGGCGCGCATTTTAAAAAAGGAAGTTATGCTGCCTCACCCTGTAGTTTATTGAAGCACTAGAGGTCTAAAAGAATCCCAAATACCTTATAAAATTGCAGATACTAGGATTCCATTGAATGTAGCCATGGTACTTAAAATGGTATGCAAATTACCTACTGTATGAAAGAAAGCTTGAACTCTACTCCATTTAAATGAGTAAAGCTAGTATTGCAAGGTACAATATATAGTCTGCTTTCCACATACACAGGGGATTGAGGCAACCCCTCCCCCCAAAATGTGAAAAAACTGAATACTACTCCAGTGGGACCCTCCTATTGAACAAAGGTAAGCAGAAACAGAGAAGGCAGGGCAACCTTGTACGTGTTGCGTTTCCCAGGTTGCCCATGTTCTGGAGGCGGTTGTCATGCCCTGCTCTCAAGACTCAAGGCAGTAAGGAGAAGAGCAGGAGGAAATGCTAGTTCTCAGGCCTGAAAGTAATAACCCTCAAAACCACAAAATGAGGTCACAGAGGCACCTACCTTGGTGGGAAGAAAGAAGGGGGGGGGGGGGCTTAGAGGATCCCAATGCCTCCATCAGAAAAACTTTGCAATCAACTGTTGGTCTATAAATCTAGCCCTAGGAATTTGTTGTTATCAATCATGGGCTCTGAATCTTTGGCTCTTGATTCCTGTGTGTCCTGACCTTGGTCTTGTCTAAGATCTTCCTTGACAGACTTCTTTGATGAATCACTTTTATTGGATCTTAGGCTGCTTGACCAAGCAAACTGTACTCTCGCTCTGGTGGTCATTCTGGGTTGAATTTTCAGGGAAGGGAAAACATACTAATGTCTCTGACTGCTTGGCAGTCTGTCCTATTTTGCCTCTCAGAATAGGACAGTGGTGGAGCTGGGAAGGACCCCTTACCCCCAACTCCACCTAAGGATGATGGGACTGCTGTTCACATGGAAGCCCCAACTTCAACAGGTGGACAATGCAAGCTTATGAATAATGACAACCACAGATGTAAAAAGGCAATTGTAAATTTAAATTTGGGCATGTTTACAAGGAGCCCCCAGTAGTGCAGCGGGGTAAACCACTGAGCTACTGAACTTGCTAATCGAAAGGTCAGCAGTTCAAATTTAGAGAGCGGGGTGAGCTCCCGCTATTGGTCACATCTTCTGTCAACCTAGCAGTTCAAAAATGTGCAAATGTGAAATCAATAGCTACCATTCTGGCAGGAAGGTAAAGGCGCTCCATGCAGTTATGCCGGCCACATATCCTTGGAGGCGTCTATGGACCACGCTGGTTCTTCAGCTTAGAAATTGAGATGAGCTCCACCCCAGAGTCAAACATGATTTAATGTCAAGGGGAAACCTTTATCTTTACAAGTCTATAACCTAATTTCAAAACATACCAAGCCGAATTCAAGGGTTCTGCATTCTTTTTGATACAGAACAGAATTATAAGCAATTTCGTTATTTTTAGCAGTTCATTCTCCTTTTATAAAAACTTCCTAATTAAGTTAAACCCTTCTGATGACACTGAGTTACATTCAGGACAGACAAATACTTTAGCTTGTTTATCAAACATTTTTAATAAAGAAATCACAATAATAGTATTCTCTTTGTGGCACACATAAAAATAACTTGCTTCAGAATTAACCTCTTGACAGCTTGTTGGCGCTGTTAAAATCAGGAATTACATAACAAATCAGATTGGTTTTTTACAAAGTCCAAATAGACAAGGCTTCAATAATAGTTCTGGCAATAAATTGAAACTATCTTATCTTGCTATGCACTTGCTTTCAAAATAATTTTAAACTTCATATTCTTTTAGCACTACAGTTTCCCTTGGGGAGGAGTAGGTATGATTAAAACCTAGAAATTATACCATTTTGGTCTGTAATTTATAGAATGCCTAAATCATTATGACCAGCAGTCTTCCTAGCTGAGGCATTCTGGGTTTTATAGTATTTCCAAGCTCTAGATATTACCAGAGCTTGGAAATGCTAGTTTAAAAATTCCCCTTAATTTTAACAAAATACTGAATAACACCATGTATTTTTTTAAAAACACACATAAACCCTAGCAATACTAAAACAACTTTCTACCAAAGCAGCTTCTACTGGTCCTGTCTTTCATCTACAAAAAAGTGGCTGAGATTCATGAAGTACTTAATGTTATTCATTTCCTCGACGACTCTTTTTATGACTCTTCTTAGATCTGAAAGAAGAACAAAAGCCTATCACTCTTCAGTTAATAGTTGATACTTTTGCTATTAAGTAACTGGGTTTTTATGGAAATCAAAGCCTCTAGCAAATAAATACAAGTTGTTTTTAAATTCAGGATTGGAAGAAAAGCTATAAACATAATTTCTTGGGAATAAAGAGGGAAAAATTGTGATCACTACATTATCTTAATTAGGCAGAAATATATGAAAGTGTGTACCTTTCTGGGGACTTGGAATGGCTGCGATGCCTGTGACTACGGTGATGCCCTGCTGGGAAAATGTAAAATACTGTAAATCTGTTCATCATCAAAAGACAAGTACCAGGTAATTAAATCAGAGTTGCAATGAGCTAGTACAGTAATTTCTTGGGTTTAAATGTTTTAATTGTTCAAATATTTTGATTTATCTCAGTAGTTAAAAATGAGAAGCTGATTGACAAAATGTCAGAGAAACACGCATAACTTCCTCCTTTCACAACCATTACCTGGTGATTTAGATCTTGATCTGTGGCGTCTTTCTCTGGATCTGCTTCGATGCCGTCTTGGACTCTTGCTGCGATGCCTTTCCCGGCGTGGTGACGGACTGTAAAACCAGAGACAATTAGTAAAAGTCTTACACAGTTTTTTAAAAAATCAAGTAAACTTAATAGGTTTCCTACCTTCTCCTTTTCGGAGAACGGCTTCGCCTAAAAGCAGAACAGGAAGGAAAATCCACAGATGTTATTCTGTACTATTTTTAGGTTTTGTTTCACACCGTTTTGAAAATATTTATTAACTCCCCAGTCATTACCTTCTAGGAGATCTACTTCGGCTTCTCCTATAACGCATAGTTGGAGATCTGCGGGGCTTGTCTAGGTCTCTGTAACCTCTTCTCCTGTGATCAGGTGAGGGAGCTCTCTCCAGCTGAAAATATTAATTAAAAAAGAGCATTCTGAACAAAATACCTCAAAGCAATGCCAACTCTAAACTCAAATGCGAATGCATTTCATAGACATAAAATATTTTCTAAAGTCTGACAATCCTATTATGGAAGACATAATACCATATATACTTGAGTACAAGCCAACCTGAATATATGCCAAGGCACCTAATTTTACCACAAAAAATGAGAAAACATATTGACTTGAATATTACCCGAGGGTGGGAAATGCAGCAGCTACTGGTAAATTTCAAAATAAAAACAGATATCAATAAAATTACATTAATTGAGGCATCAGTAAGTTAAATGTTTTTTAATATTTACATAAAACTAATTTAATATAAGACTGTGCAACTCTGATTAAACCATTATTCTAGCCTTCTTCAATGTAAATGTGCTTACGTATCTTTCCAATAATAATAAAGAGAGTAAAATAATAAATGTAATAATAAATAAATAAAGTTAAATAAATGTAATAAAAATAATAATAGAGTAAAATAATAAATAATTTTGACTCAAGCATAAGCTGAGAGGGGCTTTTTCAGCCTAAAAAAGGGCTGAAAATCTCAGCTCATACTCAAGTATATATAGTAATTAAAGATATAAATGTTATGGTCTATATAGCTAAGGTCAAGTCATAAGCTTATCAACTGAGCACTATTCAAAAAACATAGCCTCGTGATACACAGATGCCATTCTTGCACACTATACAAAGTCAATAATCATTCAAACCTTTTCATCCTCCTCTTCCTCATCTTCACTAGACTCCACATCATCCATATCCTCTTCCAAAGCACTAATCCGTGTTTCCAGTTGTTCAGCTTCTTCTAGAACATATCGTTTCTGAAGAGGACCAATATCTTATCAATACAGGCAATACTTAAATGGGAAAAAACAAATCATGAAAGTATAATCCCAATGTGCAGATTCTGAAATGTCTTCCCTTTTCCAACCATTTGAATTGAGATTCCTGTTTTTTTCCTGTTGATATGACTTATCAACGGGTCATATCAACAGGTCATATCAACATGCATAATTTTGGCTCCCAAACTTGACCTCAATTAATACATGAGGTTTATATACGAGAATATATATATTTATCATAATGTAGCAATTACACACCTGTAGTCTAGGTAAAATGATATCACACATACGCTCATCATGAAGCAGTTGATCAATAAATTCATCCACGTGCATTAGCTCAAACTCTGAAAAACATGGGAGAACTACTATTAATTTCTACATTATTTATATATATAATTATTTCTTATAGTTGTATCCCGGCCTTCTTACCCCCGCAGGGGGACTCAGGGCGGCTTCACAATTCAACAGTAATAAAAATTTACTAAAACATTGTTTAAATCAAACAGGTTTGAAACCATAGTCCAGGTCAGTCCATTGTCATTCATACAAACTGGGTCTCATTCTAAACTGCTGCCTCTACTGTTTGAACACTTGGTCCCTTAACCAGGTTTTGAGTTTCATTCTAAAGGACAAGAGGGAGGAGGCCAATCTAATGTCACTGGGTAGAGAGTTCCACAGGTAAGGGACCACCACTGTGAAGACCTGTCTCTAGTCTCTGCCAGTCGCACTTGTGAGACTTTTATAGGCTAAAGTCAGTACTTTGAATTGTGCTCGGTAGCAGGTTGGGAACCAGTAGAGGTGGCGTAGCAGAGGGCTTGCATGCTCTCTGTAAACTGCTCCAGTGAGCAACCTGACTAGTTGGAGCTTCCAAACAGTCAACAACAACAACAACAACAATACAAAGTATAAAGGTGGGTCTTCCAAACTTGCTATTTCAACTGACCGTGAACACATGGACATTGTGTTATCAACGTTTGATATTTTCATAAATGTTTGGAAACAAGGAAAGAGCCAAACAGATAAATTATGAAGTCAGTCCATTTACCTCCATTTCTATTCTGGCTTTTTATTTTTCGATAATCATTGTACAGGGGTTCAAGGTATTTGTAGCAGTCTATAGCAGTGCCAGTTAGTCTCATATACAGTGCTCCCAGCAATCTCACATACCTGAAAAATAGCAAATACAAAAACAGTTCAGAATGTTTCTCAATGACATTATTTGAAAACTTGACTTTTCAATTGATCTCTCTTGAAATTGTCATAATGCTTTTCATTACAGCAATGACTAGGTCTCTCATCTGCTTACTAAAATCGCTGCAATGGGGGGGGGGGGGGGGAGTCGAAGTACATCAACAAGATCACCAAGTAGTTATCATAGTACAAGACTGCTTCTGTAAATTCTAACTTGAACTTTTGATGGTGAAGGTAATGGCTTATCAAAATAGAAACAATACAAGCAGAAATTATAAAATATTACACTGGATTAATACTAGTGAAAAAGGCCTTGCTTGTATATTTGCTAATAATTTAAACCACTATTTTCTTAAACTGTGGGCCCTGACCCCAAATGGCACCCCCTTAGCTTAATGTTGGGGGGGGGGGTCACAAAAATTTGGCAACAGTAAAAGATTTCTGAATGTCACCCATTTACACAAATCTGTTGTCAGCAACATGAAATGTTTACAGTGGGCTCTGCAGAAATTGCTGAAGCTGTACTTCATAAAAAGGAAAATCAATCTGTTTACAAATGCTGATTTATTTTCAACAATCATCTAATGTTTATACCTATTTTATATTCTGGGGTCACAAAAAAATTCTCAGAAAGAAAGGGGTTGCAAGTGGAAAAAGTTTAAGAAGCCTGACTTAAACTACATCATCATAACAAGATTTTTTCCTCTTACTTGAAGTCTTCATTTTTTATAAATTCAACAATGATATCCTTTTCAGGCTGTATCTGCAGCATTTTCAAAGTCAAACACAAGAATGGTGTCGGCTTGATGTTTCCACCATAGACTCCACCAGTATATCGCAGCTCCATAGCTTTGTCCACAACCAGTTCAGCTATAACAAGAAGCAAATGGAAAGAAATTCAGTTTCTGCTTGTGATTAATGAGAATTTTTCCCACAGATATGAACAATAACTCAAAGATCCCATCTAAAAAAAGGAATGTGGCAGCAGCTTTAAGAATAACTCATGCTCAAATATAAACCAGTGAGTCTTAAAAGTTGCTGTTGCATTTTTTAATTTCACATTCAAAATATTGTTGCTCAAGTTTACAGCACAATACAACCTAAAGACCTTCTCCCTGATATCACCCATGCTACCCAGTGCTTGAAAAACATATTAACAAACACACAGGGCTTTGGCACAAGAATATAAATTAACTGAAATGCCTCTATTAACCCCAAAATATGTTCGAAGTTGGAAATTACAACCTTCTTCGAGCCTCCTCTAGTAACTTGTCTATCTATAATGCTGTTGCTTACTTATTGTATGTATGTTCTGGTATGCTGCTTTTATTGGTGTAACAACTGAAAGCCAAATTGCCTTGCATAATAACATGTGGTTGTGTACCACTTGAGAAGATTCTACTCAATAGAGTTTTTGGCTCTTCTTTGAAAGATCATGTTTTCCCAAAAGTTTAGGATCTCCAAATGGTTATGAATACAATTTTCCAAAAAAAAACCCCAAAAACAACACCCTATTTCCCAAACGGATAGTGAAACAGTGACACCACACTGATATGGCTCGAAGCTAAGGAATCTTGGGGGTTTAGTTTTAGAAAGTCTTCACCCTTCTCTGCCCAAAAATGCGGAATCAAGGACATGAAAGGCACTGCAAACTACTTCAACCAGAGAAGTCAGCCATAGCAGAGCACCTGGTGAACCAACCTGGACTCAGCATATTATTTGAGAACACAGAAATGCTGGACCACTCTCATAACCACCACGTCACACTACACAGAGAAGCCATTGAAATCCACAAGCATGTGGACAATTACAACAGAAAGGAGGAAGCCATAAAAATGAACAAAATATGGCTACCAGTAAGTACTAAAAAAACCTCTAAAATTAGAACAGCAAAACAACAGAGGGGAAACAATCAGGCACATCTAATAACTTCTTAACAAAAGATTGCCCCAGGCATTGACAGGCCATCAAATGCTAATCAAAGTTGTCAGTTGAAACATTAACACCTAGCTCCAACAGACAAGAGTTCTTTGCGCCACCCTGGTCATTCCACAGATATATAAACCCACTTTCCTAGTTCCAATAAACCTTACTACTTCTGAGGATGCTTGCCATATGTGCAGGCGAAACGTCAGGAGAGAATGCCTCTAGAATGCCTTAAGCGACCGAGGGGGAAAAGGAAGGGGCCTGAGGCTGTTAGGAATGGTGGGAGTTGAAGGCCAAAACACCTGGAGGGAGGGCCCAAGTTTGCCCAGGTTTGCTCTAAAGAGTCTCTCCCTCTCCCTTCCTTAAGGACGCCAACCAAACCGCACCCGTGAGGCCGAAGCACTCTTCCTTCCAGTACTTGGACTCATAAATGCGGGTGCGGATGATCTTCTCCACTAGGTACTGCGGGTTCGTGCCGTGGATGCTGTGCGCGTCCTTCACGGTTCTGTTCGCCATGGCCTCGGAGCCAGAGAAGGAAGAGGGCCCCTCGCCTCTGCCCACACAAGGAACCAAGCGACAGCCTTCCCCTTTGAATTTTCGCCCCCCACTTCCGGTACAGAGACACTTCCTTCCGTTCTCAACCCTGGGCAAAAGCCAGCAACAAACATGGCGGCTGCGTAAGAAGGTTTCTCTTCGCTCACTTCCGGGGCGGGGCCAACCCGCTTTGGCGCGAAGTTTCGTCCTAAGGAGGGAGGGAAAGAGGAAGGAAGAGAGAGTCCTCGCGCTTCACATCAGGATTTTTTCTCCCTGGTGAAGAGGAGCATTCAAAGGGGCAGGTAAGGCCTAGGCAATTTAGGGCCCTTCCGCACAGCCCTATATCATGGAATATCAAGCCAGAAAATCCCACATTATCTGAGTGTGGACTCCGATAACCTAGTTCAAAGCACATATTGTGGGATTTTCTGCCTGGATATTCTGGGATATAGGGCTGTGTGGAAGGTCCCCCAGAATATCAAGGCAGAAAATCCCACAATATCTACTTTGAACTGAGCTATCTGAGGCCCCTTCCACACAGCTGAATAAAATCCCACATTTCCATCTTTTCTCCTGTGCTTTACTAATAATACAATATATTATATACTAGCTGTGGCCAACATTCCCTTTTTCTCTCCTCCTTTCCCTCCTTCCTTCACTCCCTCTTTCCTTCCTTCCTTCCTTCCTTCCTTCCTTCCTTCCTTCCTTTCTGTCTTTCCTTCTCTTCTTTCTTCCTTCTTTATCTCTTTCCTTCCTTTCCCCCTTTTCTTTCTCTTCTGCAGTCTCTCTTCCTTCTCTCTTTCCTTCTCTCTCTCCCTCTTTCTCTACATCTTCCCCCGTCCTTCGCTCCTTCTTTCCTTTCTTCTTTCCCTTTTTTCTTTCCTTCTCTCCTTCTTTCCTTCCTTCCCCCTTTTTCTTTCCCTCCCTCTTTCTCTCCTTTCTTCTCAACCTCTTTCCTTCCTTCCCTCTTTGCTTCCATGCTTCCTTCTCCCTTTCCTTCTTTCACTCCCTCTTTCTTTCTTTCTTTCTTTCTTTTCTCCCCTTCCCTCCCTCCTGCTTCCCTTTTTTCTGTATTGTCATTTAGCTTTTCGTCATTTAGCTTTTCGGGAGCTTTTTAAGTCCCTTCTGCCGTGTTTTTCAGTGTTTTTATGAGTGAAGGACATACATTGAGTTGTTAGGTGTATTGTGTCCAAATTTGGTGTCAATTCCCCCAGTGGTTTTTGAGTTTTGTTAATCCCACAAACGAACATTACATTTTTATTTATATAGATACATATAATAGTTATAATATTATAATGTAATAAAATATAATACCAATAATACAATATTATAATTATTTATATTACATTTAATATTACTAATAATATTACAATATAATATATAATACTGATTGTACTATGCTAATAATATAATATATTGTATGTATATATATCTTGTAAGCTGCTCTGATTCCCCTTTGGGGTGAGAAGGGCGGCATATAAATGTCATAAATAAATAAATAGTCAGATTTGAACTAGAAAATATGGCAGTGTGGACCCATATAACCCAGTTGAAAGCAAATATTGTGGCATTTTCTGCCTTGATATTCTAAGTTATATGGCTGTGTAGAAGGCCCCCGAGTCCACACTGTCATATATCCCAGTTCAAAGCAGATAATGTGGGATTTCATTCAGCTGTGTGGAAGAAGCCTCGGGTGATTATAAAATTCTGAATTTCTCTAGGCTCCATTCTTTTTCACATACTTTTAGTCTGAAAAGGTTTCCTGCGAGTTTCAATTGTGTCCTTCCTGTATGTCTTTAAGGCACTCCTGCCTCATGGCGACCATGGGTGCAACTACACTATGTAATTCATGCAGTTTGACACCGGTTTACTGCCAAGGCTCAATGCTGAGAGCTGTAGTTTGGTGAGGCAGCAGCTCTCTATTTCAGAGAAAGCTGCAGACCTTGTAAAATTACAACTCCTATGATCTCAAGGCACTGAGCGTGTCAAACCACATTAATTCTACAGTGTAGATGCACTCCTGTCATGGCGTTTGGGTCAGAAGAGGGTTTTTTTTCTTTTCGTTTTCTCTGAGGGTGATAGGGTGTGACCTGCCCATAGTCACACAGTAGAGTTTAATGCAATTTGACTCCACTTTAGCTGCCATGATTTAATGCTATGGGATCATGGTAGCTGTAGTTTTACAAGACCTTTAACCTTCTATGGCAAAGGGTGCCAAAGTACAGCTCCCAAAATCCTTAAAGTGGCATGAAATCACATTCAGCCTGCAGCAGTGTGAATGAAGCCCTAGTGGGTTTCCATGGCCAACTTTAGTCTCCAGAATCATGGTCCAATGCTCAAACCACCACACCATACTGGCTCTCAACTATTGCTCTAGTAAATGTAGAGCTTGGAAAAGTTACTTTTTTGCTGAAATGGAGCATAGAAACCCTCAATGGTATTTTGGATTTGCAATTCTCCCAGTTCCCACAAACAGCCAAGTTTCTGGGAATTGGGAGACCTGCAAGTCTAAAATACCATACTTCTTTGATTATTTGGTGCCATTTATTGTAAGATGCACACTAATTTCAGTACCAGCAACAGACAAAAAGCTCTCTCGAAGTGTGCATACATACAACCCCCCCTCCCCCGCCGCCATTTTTAGAGATATTTACATGGGGAGAAATGGTGTCTTAGAATCAAATAAATATGCTCATTTTTCTATGTTGTGACTCAGTGACTTGTAGATCACAGATTTATTATTTATTATTTGTTTACTGTATTTATATACCGCCTTTCTCACCCCTGGGGCAGTTTACAAAATACTAATGGACAAAAATTCAATGCCAACATACAGTATATAAAGAAATAATAACTAATTACTACTTATAACTATGAATTAAAATCAATTAAAACAATTAAACATAAGACATACATAAAATTAAACATTCAGACAAGCATAAAATCATCCTAGTATAAACATTAAAATCCCATTATCCAGAAATCATATACCATAGCAATTCGGAATTGTCATTGCACATATTCCTTAATTATTCTTTGTACGGCATTATTTATTAGCCAAAGGCTTGATCCCACAATCATGTCTTTGTTCTCTTTCTAAAGGCCGGGAGGGAGGCGCTGATGTAATCTTGCAGGGGAGGGAGTTCCAGAGCTGAGGAACTACCACTAAGAAGGCCATGCCTCTTGTCCCCACCAACCGCACAGATGCTGCCCCATATACACACTTTTAAATGTATTTGGTAGATTAAGTAAAAGATGGATGTCGTGTTTATTTCATTCTCTTTATAGCAACATGCCCATGTGTGCATGCACTCAGAAATAGTCTACTGTTTCTACTTCACAGAAAACATGAACAGAAGAAGCCAGAGGAAACGCATCTACACATGGATTGGGAAAGCCTTCTCTGTAGACAAACAATTGCAGATCTCCCATTATAGGTATATATTTGGCTGAGTTTACAAACTTCAATTTAATAGTGTGAAGTGACGAATAAGACATTCAGAATTAACAGTGAAGAAATATGTGCTCAGTTCAGATATTTGCATGTAATTTCAGTAGCAGATGTCTACTAGGACATCCTCACTAGCAGTTGCACAGCTGGTTTTTTTTTTTACCTGAGGGGACATTTAAAGGAAAGGAATAAAGCAGTGTTATGCAGATGTTCTGGGAGGGGTTTTCAGTTAAGAAAAGAAAGCACAGAATCATTTAAGGGGCTTTCTAAAAGCTGAAGGTTCTCAACCCAGAAAAGTTGCAGCTAAAGGCATGGAGAAAGAAACTGAGTTCTGTGACCTATTAGAATGTACAACATATTTGGTTGTTGTGAGTTTTCCGGGCAGTATGGCCATGTTCCAGAAGCATTCTCCTGATGTTTTGCCCACATCTATGGCAGGCATCCTCAGAGGTTGTGAGGTCTGTTGGAAACTAGGCATGAGGGATTTATATATCTGTGGAATATCCAGGGTGGGAGAAAGAACTCTTGTCTGTTGAAGACGGGTGTGAATGTTGCAACTGGCCACCTGAATTAGCATTGAATAGCCTTGCAGCTTCAAAGCCTGGCTGCTTCCTGCCCGGGGGAATCCTTTGTAGAGAGATATTAGCTCAGGAGTCCTCAAACTATGGTCCGAGGGCCGGATATGGCCCTCCAAAGTCATTTACCCGGCCCTCACTCAGGGTCAACCTAAGTCTGAAACAACTTGAAAGCACACAACATCAACAACAACAATGATATCTCATCAGCCAAAATTAGGCCCACACTTCCCATTGAAATACTAATAAGTTTATATTTGTTAAAAGTGTTCTTCATTTTAATTATTGTATTGTTTTTACACTACAAATAAGATATGTGCAGTGTGCATAAGAATTCATTCATTTTTTTTCAAATTATAATCTGGCCCTCCAACAGTTTGAGGGACTGTGACCTGGCCCTCTGTTTAAAAAGTTTGAGGACCCCTTTATTAGCTGGTCCTGATTGTTTCCTGTCAGGAACTCCCTAGTTTTCTGAGTGTTGTTCTTTATTTACTGTCTTGATTTTTATAGTTTGTGGATTTCAGTGGCTTCTCTGTGTAGTCTGACATGGTGGTTGATAGAGAGGTCCAGCATTTCTGTGTTCTCAAATCATATGCTGTGTCCATATTTGTTTGTCTCGTTTTCCAGGGGAATAGCTGTTAAATCAGCAGAAAGTGTTGCTGTGATCTGCATTTTCCTTGGGGAATTTATTTTAATAGAATCTGAGGATACAAATGAACTGCTTGTGGCAAGACTCATAAAATTATATGAAGATGGTAAGTTTGAATTTCTTCCTTTAGAAGAACTGCTGTTCTAGAGCTATTAAGACTCTAACTCCATAAGGTATTTGATTTGTAAACATATATTGACTGAAATAAAGAGTTCTAAGTTAATAATTGGGGATATACAAATACAGATGTTCTAGAATCCAAAAACTCAAATCGAAAACACTTCTGGTTCTAAGTATTTTTGATAAGGGATGCCCAGACAGTTTTAATGGTGATTTTAAAATTTGCATCTTACATTTAAGCTTTATTTTGTGTATTTTAATATGTATTTTTGAAATACATTTTTATGTGTATTTTAAAGAATGTTTTTAGGTGAATGTGTGTTTTACACACATTCTGCCTCGGACTATGAGGAAAGGTGGGCAAGAAATAAAAATTATTATTCGCATTATTATAATCAGGACACTGAAGTACTTCAAGTGCTTTGTTGTTTTTCTTTCTCAGCTGCTCAGGAAAAGCATGCAATTGTGGAATGGTTCACTCACATTGTGGATATACCTCTCAAACAGCGGTTGTCTTTGGGACAAGAGGCTCCTCATGAGATATTTTTAAATAAAAACACTGAACAAGATACCAGCATACTCGTTACATCTATTATTAGTAATGTTACGGTGTGTATACTGATTTTTCATCTGGTGGGAGCAGAACTTAGAAATGTTTCTATAATGAAACTCACAGAATATCCCTTCCAGCATGGCTATTGGCTGCATTGTTTAGGGGATATTTGGAACTATAGTCTAAAATAATGTTTTTGTGCTCTAGTCGGATGGCAGGACAGGAGAAATTTCTTGTGATTCCATGAAAAGTCTGGCTCTAGTGTTGTTGTAATATTTGGAAGCTCTTCAAGGGTTTTAGTTTCTGATATTTGCTTGAAAATTATGCATGGGTCTGTAATAACTGGGAAGCACCATTGTAGTCATTTTTCTTTCCCGAAGAAAGTCCAATACTAGTTGAATCCAGATAATGTTCTGTGATTAGGCTTAGGTGCTTTCTGGCAGCTCATGGGACTAAGAATCCCAGTTCAATTAGTGCCATTTGAGTGGCACTGCAACTTGGTTTCCCAGTGATTGAATTTCTATTGAAATTTGTTTTATGAACAATTGCCAAAGGTCAACAGTGTTCACCCAGTCATTTAAATTATCCTTCCTCTATCTGATCTCAAGATATATTATATTATTATATATATCACCTCTATCCCATGATTGTGGTGGCTGAGGATGATGGGAATTGCATTATAATATACCTGGATGACACTAAAAATAAAATGAGCTTTCCTACTTGAGCTGTTACTCATATGCGAGTTTGATCACATTATATACAATCAAATAAAAGAGTCAATTAATAGAAAGAACCAGAGGTCGGTGACAAGATTATTAACTGGAGTTGGTTATAGGGAGCATATCATGTCCCTTAAAGCAGATCCACTGGCTGCCAATTAGTTTCTGGGCCCAATTCAAAGTGCAGGTTATCACCTATAAAGCCATGTAAGCTTCAGGTCCAACCTATCTTTGAGACCACATCTACATCTATGAACCAGTGCGGGCACTAAGATCTACTGGTCACTCCTCTCAGTCCCACCTCTGTCTCACGTGCGGTTGGTGGAGATGAGAGAGAGGGCCTTTTCGTTGGTGGCTCCCCAGCTTTGGAATGCCCTCCCGAGGGAGATTAGGCTAACCCCCATTCTCCAAGCCTTCCGTATACAACTGAAGGCATGACTATTTAGATAAGCCTTTGACCATGTCTAYAAATTTGAGGACCTAGAGATTTTTCACCGTGCACTTTATGAGACTGATATTGATTACAGTTAGTTTTTAATTCTTCAGCTATTGTTGCATTTTATTTGTCTTAATCGGGGGGGGGGGGGTTGTGATGTTTATGTTGGTTGTTGTTGTCTATGCACTTTTTGTATATTGCATGTTGGCACCTTTGAGTGCTTTGTGAGCTGCCCCAAGTCCCTCCGGGAGATAGTAGCGGGGGTATAAATAAAGTTTTATTATCATTATTATTAACAATAAATATGTATAGTATGAGAACTACAATTAAAATTGRTAGAACTAGAAATTAGACTTTCATTTTCCATTATCTTATGATATAATGAATGCTTCTGTATTCTGAGGTTTAAAAAGTTTTGAAGGATCAAACTTCTGGTTTTTTGGTCCCTTTCCAGGTTGTTCCATTATCCCCATGGGAAACGTTGCCTGCTGGGTTAAATGATGAAAAAATCTTCTTCATAAGAAAATGCTGGGATGGAAAGAGATTTAAGCCATTACCACCCGGTGTCCTGGCAGAGTTAAAAGACTCTGTGAAATTGAAGAGTAGCGACATGGATTTTGCTACTGAGTGCCACCTGACTCCCTCACGCACTGTTTGCCCCCTGTCAGCAGAACCTGAACAGGTCATTCAGAGTATTAGAGATGACGTGAAGATCACCCCAGAAGTGGAATCAAGACACTCAGCCTCAAAGTCTTCCCTGGCCAAGCGGAGATACTCCCAGAGAATAGCCAGTGGCAACCATACCCCTGCAGTAAAGAAGAAACTACAGCTGAACAGTATGTTCACAAATGGTCCTATATAGAAACATTACAGTCTTAGAAGATATTGTGTGCCAATGTGATAGTTCTGAAAGCTACAGATTGTTCACTTAGTTATTGTATATACACATGTATATGTTGGCCTTACTAAGGCCCCATCTACACTGTCATAAAATCCAGATTATCTGCATTAAACTGAATTATATGGCAGTGTAGACTCATATAATCCAGTTCAAAGCAAATAATCTGGATTTTATATGGCAGTGTAGATGGGGCCTAAGAGCTCACCTTTTGCCACTTTATTCAGAAAAGGGAGTGCTTCTCTTTTATAAGTGTCAAAGTATAGTACTTTCATCAACCTGTGGATAAGATGACCCATGTTTATTGGGTTAATATTTTGACTAAAATTTCCAAACTTATACATTACTATATAGTATGTTGCGACACGTTAGTCAGCTACAGTGTGTAGGTGGGTTGCACCAACGTAACAAGAAATAATAAAAATCTTGGAAATATATGTTATTATCTTATAAGTCATATATTTTGAAATATATAAATGAAAATTATTAATTTTTCATGAGATATGTTGTGTCCCCATACATTTCATTATCTCAATTTTTGTATATATGTCCGTATCTTTTATAAAGGATGGATTTAATGTTTGGTTTGCTATTAAAACTGAATTACTGTGTTGCAAAATTATGTATGCTTAAAAAGTGTGTCACCAACTTGAAATGTTTGGAAAGTTCTGGTGTATAGGGTTCTCACTCCCCTCCTTTCCTCTTCCCAAAAATGAATTCTTCTAAATGACATTTAAAAAGGGTAATGTATCATGAAATCATGTTTATGGGCTAAAAGCAGCAAAAACACCAGAATTAACAGTCAGAAAATAAAACTACCCAATAACATCAGAATTAAACACTCTTACAAAAAAGAAAGAATAACAAGACAATTTTCAGTTAATCACTCTTGAAAGACTGTCTGTTATCAGGTGCTGCAGTCTTGTGTCAATAACCAAACATTATTGTGTTTACTGCTAACTTGAATCATCTTATATGTCCAAAGTATGATAGCCTCTGTTTCTTGTTTTTAGGTCCTACAAATTCTCCCAGAAGCAGATTTGCAGAACGTGAAATAATTGAGCTCTTAGACTCTGATTTCATTGAGCCTTTGAAGAGATCAACTATGAAACGAAAAGTGACATTCAGTGACATCAAGGGTTCTCCCTCAAAAATACCTTTTGCTCATGATGAAGGAGATCCATTTCTAGACATCAAACCCCTAGAAGACACATCTGAAAGAGTTAATGGAAACCTTTCGTCTCCATGCAAGAGGAACAAAGATGACCATTCAAAAAATAGGCATTCAATTGTGAAAAAGTGTGCCACAAAGTAAGTAACAGTATTTTTTCTCACATCTTTTCTTCTGCAAAACATATACTTATTTTATCTATTCTAACAAGTAATTTTGTTGAAGGAAGACACAGAAATCCCTGAAGGATCTTATGATTATTTTCCCTTCTGCTCCCAAATTGATGGCATTCAAAAATGTTTGTTATTAGTGAGAACAAATAAGATTTAATTGATAACTAAGCAAGAATGTAGTGTCTTTTTAACAACATGATTTGATTTTTGGAATGCTTTGTTCTCAAGCTTTAGAGTACAAGCCATTGAATTAGGATAGATAGAGAGAAAAGCTTTCTCAATAAAGTGACGTAAATGCTGAAAGTGTCTTGACTATGTTATTGTACTTTTCAATGGATGTAGAGTAGTTTTTGATCTGTTGCACAGATGTGATTTTAAAGCATGTGGAAAACTCAGAACTCTTACTGGTCTTGTCCTGGTGTTCTTTTTACAATCAATTCTAAGTACTTAAGAAGAGCCCTGCTTTCTAGACCAGAACAGAATATTAAGAGACCAAGAGTGCTGTCTTGTTGATGTCTACTCAGATATTAATCCTATTTATGTGGGGGATTTATTCTTGGGGGGTGGGGGTTGTGTGTTGGAAGCAATTCGAGAAACTGCAAGTCACTTCTGATGTGAGAGAATTGGCCGTCTGGAATGACGTTGCCAGGGGAAATCCGGATGATTGATGTTTTACCATCCTGTGTGAGGCTTCTCTCATGTCCCTGCATGAGAACGTAGAGCTCGACAGACGAGAGGTTACCCTGCTCCCTGCATTCGAACTGCCAACCTGTCTGTTCACCAGTCCTGCCAGCACAAGGGTTTAACTCTGTGGTTTGCAACCTGTGGGTCCCCAGATGTTTTGGCCTACAACTCCCATAAATCCCAGTCAGTTTACCAGTTGTTGGTATTTCTGTGAGTTGAAGGCCAAAACATATGGGGACCCACAGGTTGCGAACCACTGCTTTAACTCATTCTTGGGTAAATATATAGTAATGTTAAATACTATTGAACTTTACACATCATGCTTTTGTTTTGTTCTTCATTCCTGTTAATTCAAGTGGTATAGGCAAACAGGATAAGAAGTGCAAGACAGCCATAGATCTGGAAGACTCTGAGAAAGAAGCAGTAATTCCTGCAAGGAAATTTAAGAATCAGCAGAGGTAAATTATCTTCAGCAACTCCGTCTAGATATTATGTATGTACATTGTAAGGAAGACTGATATGGATGAGCACTTCAATTTGAACTAAACTTTTGAGGCGTTTTAAAGAATATCTAATCTTTATCATTCACACAGTGATATTGTTAGTTTAGGACAGTAAGGAATTTAGAGAATTGCATGAAATCATGCAATTTCATATTACATATTTGATAGTATAAATGGATGCCTTCATTTGCCCCATATAAATTGATACTTGATTCCCAGATTACATACAATTGAAGAGCTCAGACAAGCTTTGTGAATGAGGAACGCTGGTTTTAATGTGCATGTTCTGTATCCCAGGGATCGGTTAGTATGTCTCTAAATGGCAGTAGTAGTTCACTGTGTGCTTTTGACTCCTAGTGGTTTAACAGTGCTAACAGGAAAAAGGCCCTTTCTCTCTTAAATTAAGGTGCAGAAATCAAAGAGCGTTTGCTTGGGAGAAGACAGGATAGATAGATGTGTATGACTAAATGTGTGTGAAAATGAAGTATTGTTACTAGTGACATATCTGAGCTTGTTATTGAGAGGCATTTCAATTTGAAAGTCTATGCTGGCCTGTTTGGTAAAAGCTGGCATTTTAGGGCTGTTGTTTTTTTCAAAGTCAAGTGTATACAATTAAATGTTGCCCATCCCTACCTTATCCCTTGGGGTACATCCACACCAGAATTAATGCAATTTGACACAACTTTAATTGCCATGGCTCAATGCTATGGAATCAAAGGGCGAAGCACTAAACAGTATTTAACAGGGAAGGCTGAAGACCATGTAAAACTACAATTTCCATGATTCTTCAGCATTAGGCTATGACAGTTAAAGTGGTATCAGTTTTAGTTGTAAATCTGGAAGTTTTTCAAGGAATTCAGAGAATCCTGTGTCATTCTTTCTACGTAGTTTATGCGAAGATCAGGAATTCAGATCTAGAAGTCCAGCACTGACTCCACGGTCACGCAGAAAATGTGCACGGAAAACTGCTATTCGTATTTCACAACAACTTGGGTATGAGTATCTTCTTTATAGAAAATATACTTCTGCTGCATGCAGCTCAAAAATCCAGACGTGCCTGGTACATTACAGAAATAGGTACAGTAGTCTCGCTTATCCAACATTAACGGGGTGGCAGAATGTTGGATAATTGCAAATGTTGGATAATATGGAGGGATTAAGGAAAAACCTATTAAACGTCAAATTATGTTATGATTTTACAAATTAAGCACCAAAACATCATGTTTTACAACAAATCAACAGAAAAAGCAGTTCAATGCATGGTAACGTTCCATAGTAATGACTGTACTTCATTGGATAATACAGAACATTGGATGGCTGAAGGTTGGATAAGCGAGACTCTACTGTATATAATAACTATTTGGATGAAGCTGTTTGTCTTGTATGCCTGGTAGCACAGCCTGCCGCTTTTCCTCCTCGCCCCCTCTCTCCGCCCTCCTCCTCCTCAGGCCCCACCACTTGTGGATGCCAGGGGTGAGGGAGACGAGGGAACAATGAGGATGTTAATAACATATTGTAATTATCAACTAGAACTGGATGGCCACCTGTTGGGAGCTTAGATGGGGTCCTCCTGCCTGGCAGGATTGAGGGGGTTGGACTGGATGGCCATTGGGGTCCCTTCCACCTCAAGGGTCCCATTATTATTAATATTATTATTGTTGTAATTATCAAGCAAAACTGGATGGCCACCTGTTGGGAGGGCTTAGATGGTGTCGTCCTGCCTGGCAGTAGTGAGTGGGTTTGGACTGGATGGCCATTGGGGTCCCTTCCAACTCAAGGGTTCCATTATTATTATTATTATCATCATCATCATCAAGCAGAGCTGGATGGCCACCTTTTGGGAGGGCTTGGATATGTGTTCCTCCCTGGCAGAACTGGAGTCAGATTGGATGGCCATTAGGGTCCTTTCCAACTCTAGGATTCAATTATAGAATCATAGAATCCTAGAGTTGGAAGAGACCTCATGGACCATCCAGTCCAACCCCCTGCCGAGAAGCAGGAAAATTGCATTCAAAGCACCCCCGACAGATGGCCATCCAGCCTCTGTTTAAAAGCTTCCAAAGAAGGAGCCTCCACCACACTCCGGGGCAGAGAGTTCCACTGCTGAACAGCTCTGACAGTCAGGAAGTTCTTCCTAATGTTCAGATGGAATCTCCTTTCCTGTAGTTTGAAACTATTGTTCTGCATCCTAGTCTCCGGGGCAGCAGTAAACAAGCCTGCTCCCTCCTCCCTATGAGTTCCTCTCACATATTTATACATGACTATCATGTTTCCTCTCAGCCTTCTCTTCTTCAGGCTAAACATGCCAAGCAAGCCGCTCCTCATAGGGCTTGTTCTCCAGACCCTTGATCATTTTAGTCGCCCTCCTCTGGACACATTCCAGCTTGTCAATATCTTTCTTCAATTGTGGAGCCCAGAAGTGGACACACTATTCCTGTGGTTTTTATTCTGACTTCTATTAAGCCAAGCAGGATGGCCACCTATCATTCCGATGTGTGTTTCTGTCTGGCAGAATTAGGGTTAGATTGGCTGGCCATTGGAGTCCTGTCCAACTCTAGGATTCTATTATTGTTGCTGTTGGGGAAAGGACGTTGGACCTGGCCCTGGGCTCACTCTAGGTAAGGTAAATGTTTTCCCCTGACATTAAGTCCAGTCATGTCCAACTCTAGGGGTTGGTGCTCATCTCCATTTCTAAGCCTAAGAGCCGGCTACGGAAGAGGGGTAGTCTTGTACGGTGAGTATATCCCAAACTCTATATGTTAACTGGAAAATGTGGGGGTTGTCTTATACGCCAGAATATACGGTAACTTAATGTTATAGTCCTTTTGTTCTCTAGTAAGGCTTTCTTAACTTATTCATCATGATGTCACCGCAATAAATAGATTTTATTATATTTGATATCTTAATTTTTTTTTGGCCCCTGGTGGTGCAGTGGGTTAAAGCACTGAGCTGCTGAACTTGCTTACTGAAAGGTCAGTGATTCGAATCCAGGGAGAGGCGTGAGCTCCCACTGTTAGCCCCAGCTTTTGCCAACCTAGCAGTTTGAAAACATGCAAATGTGAGTAGATCAATAGGTACCACTCTGGCGGAAAGGTAATGGTGCTCCATGGAGTCATGCTGGCCACATGACCTTGGAAGTGTCTATGGACTATGCTGGCTCTTCAGCTTAGAAATGGAGATGAGCACCAACCCCAGAGTTAGACACAATTGTACTTAATGTCAGGGGAAAACCTTTACCTTTACCTAATTGTTATTTAGCTGACACGAGCCCGCCTCAGTATTTTCTTATAGTTCAAAGATATTTGTATTCAAAACATCAAACATGACTAATGGCATTTTTCTGCTGCAGTGTTTTAAAAACAGATAAAGATGAGAACGATGAGGAGAGCTATCTTCCTCATTCAGAAAGTTCTGATTCTGAGAGCAGTGATGAGGAAGAAGAAGACAGAAGGGTGCTTCATACACCTAAGAGACAACTGAGATCTGCTTCAAAAAATTTGAGGAAATCGCCTCATAGAAAATCTGACAAGGACCCGAGCAAAACTGTAAGATTTGTGGGAATGTCTTTAGTCATTTTTTCATGCACAAAAAACATTCTACTGTGAACAATTCTTACCACAGAAAATTAATTAGGAAACTTTGACCATGTGAGAAGTAATACAAAACTGAATAGAAAAGGTGATGACTCTTTAGAGCAGTGGTTCTCAACCTGGGGTCCCCAGATATTTTTGGCCTACAACTCCCAGAAATCCCATCCAGTTTACCAGCTGTTGGGATTTCTGGGAGTTGAAGGCCAAAAACATCTGGGGACCCCAGGTTGAGAACTACTGCTTTAGAGCTATATAATCTTTTTGATAGCAACATAGGACAAGAATATTCATTTTAGTAAAAAGTTATTTGGCTACAACTAAATACTTGGTGCCCTTTAGATTACCACCATAGACATATTCTTGCACTATTTAATTGTAAAGGTCAAAGATCTTCACGTATTCATTTCAGGGCACTGCTGCCGCAGGATCTTTACCAGATTGTATGACTAATACTGTCAGTATATGAGATCCCTTACTCTTTTATCTGTTACTATGGGCTTTATTTTTGTTGTTTGTTTTCCTCTGTACTGCTATACCTCTAATAGGTATAACAGGTGGCAAGTATAATGTTGTGGTATGAAGGTTGGACCAGGACTTTAGGAGACCAAGGTCTGAATACCTACTTTGTAATGAAAACCCACTGAGTGACCTTGGAGAGGTCACATTATCTCCAGCTAACACAAAAGAGGGCAAAGTGCAGCCTGAGAGCCATTTTTGTGTTTCAGAAGGGGTTGCTCCAGGGGTTTTGGAGGGCATTTCCATCCCGTTTTGGGGAGCCCAGACAAATTAAAACATCGGGGAGAGAATTTTTGAAACAACAGTGAGATCTTTTCATTTCCTAATGTTGAAAATGTTTTTCCCGGGCCTAAGATGTTCCAGAAAGGTCCAAAACATAGTGGAAAGCCTGGAGGGCATGTGAAGGCATCTCAGATCAAAATGTGATGATGCAGCGATCCATTGTCTCTTGAGTGGCTAATACAACCTTTCACAGTTGCCCATCTCTGGACTAAGAGAAAAATGGTAAATGCCCCATGAATAAATCTTGCCTCCTTTGACTAAATCAAGGATAGTATTGATTATAATAAATATAAAAATATAATAAATTATGTAATATAATATATGATAAATTATAAAATAAAATAAATATAAAATATTATAATAAATGATAATAAATAAATAATAGTACGTTAAGAGCTGACTGAAAGGCACATAGTAACATTTACTCTTATTACTTTATTGCATATATTATTGTATTATGTAACCAATGAAACATCACTGCTGTTTTAGAAGAAGAGTTTTAAAAATTGTAATATTTCACACATTTTTCTCCAAAAGTAGAAATCTAGATTATGAATAGTTGGCTGATAATTTCTGCAACACCAACAAAGAATTTTTCAGTACCTTTAAGGATTGATAATGCAATCTTATAAATCTGAACTGAGAAGGAAGCCCCATTTAAACTCAGGAATGACTGACCAGAATGAGCCCCCCGACACACACACACACATATACCCCATGCTTTATTATTAGCTGTTTATGTATACTTATTAAGATTTTCAAATATAATTTCATATGTAAGTTTAAATGTGGATTTTAAACCATTTAAGAAACATCTTAGTGTATAAATATTTCAGCTAAAGAATTGGTTCATTTTCTTAGAGTTTAGGAAATAGATTTTGAAAGCTAGAGAAAGAAAATCACCAGTGAAAAAATGTAGTGTTTAACAAGTTTTCCAGCCTGAATGTTATTTGTCTCTGGGAGCATAAAAACAGATAACCCGAGAAGACATCTCCTCTTTTGTGTGATCTGTTCTTCGGTATGGACAGGCCCCATATTTCCTCAAACCACCTTTTAAGAGAGCATAACTTTGTGTTAAATGCCTTAGCTGCCACCTGGTGTTGGGCTAAGTTAAATCTCTACTATTTTGTGCTGTTTGGTATACTTAAATGCTTGCTGCATAAGTATTTTGAAGCTGGCTGTTAATAGGGATTTGGTGCAGTATAAAAGACAGTGTACTGATTTTTGTGGATGTGATATTTCTCTGCAGCCTGAGCCAAGAACTCCCAAGGCACCACGGGACGCTACACCCAGGATTCGAGTGCGAAATCAAACCACTCCAAAGCCAGCCAATGCACTTGAAGAGGCTAGAGTGAGGTAAACTATTTCTGATATGTGAGAAGAGAAGATAAACAAGTTACGTTTAAAATAAGAAGTCATGGGAATTACTCTCTGTGGATTGTATAAAGTACACTTAGCTTGCCAAATCAAAACATGGCGTGGTTTTAGATATGTTTGTTTATATTACATTCTTTCTGCTTTCATAATTTGCACTTCTAAATATTTTATTCCAGTGCTCATGTTTTGTGTCATTTTTCCCAGTACCAAATTTAGAACAAAAAATTATGGAATGGAACCAGTGTATGGAAACAGTATATTAGAATGTGCCCTAGTACTATTTCTTCTGTTTCCTATGGCTTGATTAGAGTTCTTGTAACATTGCTCTTGAATACTTCAGTGACCTCTACTTCCTTCTGTTTCCCTTTAATCACAGGCTACATGTATCTGCTGTCCCAGAGTCCTTGCCTTGTCGTGAAAAAGAGTTCCAGGATATCTGTAACTTTATAGAAAGCAAACTTATTGATCAGACAGGCGGGTGAGTGCTGTCTTCCACCATTTTTAGATTGGTATGAAGCAAAGGAAGGAAGGAAAAAAGGTTAATGGGGTATAAAAAAGAATATTTTTTTTGCAAATTGCCCCCAAAAAATCATATGTGCCAGAACATCAACACTAAATTGATCTTACCTAGGAACATATATTTTTTGAGCTCCAATTGGGAGAGAAAGACAGGATATAAATACACATCATCATCATATTTATCACCATCCTTTTTTCACTTTTTCAGGTGTATGTACATTTCTGGAGTTCCTGGTACAGGCAAAACAGCAACTGTTCATGAGGTCATTCAATATCTACAGAAGGCTGCAGAAAACGATGAGCTACCATCTTTTCAGTTTATAGAGATCAATGGCATGAAGTTGACAGATCCACACCAAGCCTATGTGCAGATCTTAAAGGTGAGAAAAAGGACTGCACGTCTCTGTTACCTGAGAAGGTAGTGAGCCTCTCTGGATAAACATTTAACTAAAAATGCTCTTAAAAAGATTGTTAACTTCCCTGTCCTTGTAGATGGGAAGATATGGCAGAAGAAACCCCAACAAGAGACTACTTGTATCATTTTTAAGCATCTAGTTCTGTAGCAAGCTTCTGCAACATACTATTCATTTGTGACTTTTTACCAAGTTTCAAAAACTTTATAGATACGTATGATATGGCTACATAAAGCGCCTCACTTAATGTTTGAAGAGTTCATATTGCTTTCATTTGACTTAGTGACTGAACCTGTAGTGATGCCCTAGCACAGTGGTTCTCAACCTGTGGGTCCCCATGTGTTTTGGCCTTCACCTCCCAGAAATCCTAACAGTTGGTAAACTGGCTGGGATTTCTGGAAGTTGTAGGCCAAAACACCTGGAGATCCACAGGTTGAGAGCTGCTGCCCTAGGGTCACCACAGGTTTGCAAGTGGCGTTGGAAGGTGTATGCCCCCATTTTTTGATTCTCCTGTCAATTCATGATTTATATGTTGGGATGGAGTTGACCATTTAACTCTACAATTCTAAAGTGCTTCACTGAGAAGTCTTGTTAAATACAGTGGGGCTTGATTCAAAATAAATATCCACAAAATTAAACCACTGGCGGAGCAGAATCTGTTATCATTTGCAGACCTTAACTTGAATTTCTACTTAATCCCATTCTGCGTGTAGTTATTGACAGGCCAGAAGGCAACTGCAAGCCATGCTGCTGAGCTCCTGGAGAAGATGTTCTGCAAGTCTGGATCTAAAAGGGAAACTATAGTACTTGTGGTAGATGAGGTAAAATTGAGATTCTTACAATATTAGCATATAATTTTAGCCTGTTTTGCAAGTTTGCAAGTAAACCAGAAGACTAGGAGTCTTAACAATGTGTCGTTTGTATCTAAACAATCTAAAAGGCACAGTGCAGAAAGAAAGGAGAAGCACTGTTTTAATGTTTCAGTGTTAGGTATGTTATATAAATAGACACCCAGAAGATCCTTGTACTGCAATGACAAAAACAATTGACACAGTAGATGAGCTTCCTTACTTTGTATACTTGCTGCATGTTAAGAGGCAGCCCCCAAGTTACAAACTTCTGACTTACAAACAACTCATGGCTAAAAGCGGGATTGAGACAACAGGAAGTGAGAGAAATCTACCCCTAGGAAGGGAAATTCACTCCTGGAAGAGTTGTCATGGGAAATAGGTATCTCAACTGAAGCTTTATCACCAATCCATGTTTCCACAAGAAGCCAATTTTTTCAACATCCAATGAACACAGAGACAGAAAAGGAGATGAAATCTCATAAGCAGGGATGTTAACCTTTCCCTATGCTATCCAAAACTGTGTGTGTGTGTGGCATATATATATTTGGCTGAATTTTAAAAATGTACCTGTTTTGACTTACATACAAATCCAACTTAAGAACAAACCTTCAGAACCTATCTTGTTTGTAACTTGGGGATTGCCTGTATAAAGTGAAATTTTAAAAAGAAAGCATACCTAGATTCACTCAAATATTTTAATTGCATTTTATCTTTTATTTTTCCCTGACCAGCTTGACCTCTTGTGGACCAGAAAACAAAATGTGATGTACAATCTCTTTGACTGGCCAACCCAAAAAAATGCCAGGCTGATCGTTTTAGCCATCGCTAACACTATGGATTTGCCAGAGAGAATCATGATGAACAGAGTAGCCAGCAGGCTGGTATGTTCTTTCAGCTTTGTGGCAGTTCTCATGCAGTACAGTATTGACTCTTGTGTCCACAGAGGATGCCTGCCAGGACTTCTGGTGGATATGTACATTTGTTTAGAAAAGAAAATGCTCTTTTTTCACTTGGGGAAAAAATAGACCATTCACTATTTGCTGCTCCACTCACATGTTGTTTATGACTTTGAAGTTTGCATCATAAAATCTTCAAATATTGTGGGAGCCAGGCAATGGGTTAACTTTTTTCTGGGTACCTGGCTTACTATTTAATAGAGTTGTAAATTCTTAGCGTCTTGGTTTTTAGACCTGTTTCTGGGGTTATTTGGAGCGCTGATTCAGAAAATTCTGTTGGATGGACTTCATCAGCGCTAGTTTCTTAAATATCATGGTTTTCTATGGGCAAGCAGATGAAGATTGATAGATGGCATATGTTCAGTATCTCAAACAGTAGAGCTGAGAAGGGAAAACTGGTGCCATTTTTGGAATCAAAATCAGCAGGTCAAATATACCCAGAAACAGGGCTAACATTTGAGGCACCAAAATGTGTGTTGGCCAGTGTCATCAACTCAAAAGTGAATTTAGTTGTTCCTGAAGTTGTTCTTCATCTAAGTGAGAAGTTACCAGTACAATTTTTAAACTGGGTCTATAGAGAGGGATGTGGCTAAAGGAAAAGATTAATTGTACCATTCACTTGTGAAGAGAAAGGAAATAGGCAACAAAAATACGAAAAGTCAGAAGACAAAATTGTGCTTGAATTAAAGGGGTGTGTTTCTTGGAATTAAATAAACCCCTTAGTTGTACACACTAAAAATCCAGTAATTTATTTTCACTTCAGGGTCTTACCAGAATGTCTTTCCAGCCATATACCTTCAAACAGCTACAGAAGATTATCTCATCCAGGATGGGCCAATTGAAAGCATTTGAGGAGGATGCAATTCAGCTTGTTTCCAGAAAGGTAATCTTAGTAAGCAACTTCCAAGGGTTGAAAGCTGCAGAATGAATCCACTTTAACTGCTTTGGTTCAACGCTATGGAGTCATGGGGGCTGTAGTCTTACAAGGTCTCGAGCCTTCTCTGCCAAACGACAAATCCCAGGATTGTATAGTATTGAGCCCTGACAATTGTTAAAGATGAGGTCACTCAAAAGGAGCTCCATGTGCTCCTTCCATTTTTGCTTTGGCTCAGCACTAAGATTACCGTGGGTTGCAAATCTAATGCACACCCTAATTTTAGCAAGGTAATTTAGCTTTAAAAGGTGAGCATTAGATTTGGGGAAATAGGGTAATAAGGTATTATAAAACTCTGGCTGCTATCCCAAATGCATATTGGATAGGTTCAGTGCAGCTAGGTTGATGTTTAAAGTGAAGGCAGATATTTTAGTGAAGTACTATAGCCGCTCTGACTCTATTATCTATCCATTTTTAAAATATCAGTTACTTGCTTCTATTAGGTTTTGAGGAAAATCATTGGTGTTTTTGATTCTGATTTTGTTTTTTGCTTTGGGGCTCTGAAATTAGTGTTTGACAGCATTTAGTCTGTTTGAAATGTCTAGTTTCAGCTTTAGTAATTGATCTGACATTAAACCATATGCTTTAATTTACATGTTCTAATCTATGTATTCATGGTGATTTGAAAGCAATTTTTTCATGTTCCTGCCCCAAGAGAGCATTGAATATTAATCATAGGGCAGATAACATTGTGGGCCAGGATGACAATTAATTTTATAGAGAATAATATCTTGTTAATGAGTTGTATATGATATACCTAATTGCTCCCCACCCACAATATTAGTTTTAAGAAACATTATTTTCTGAAAATACTTCCTTTTAGGTTGCGGCATTATCTGGTGATGCGAGGCGTTGCCTTGATATCTGCAGAAGGGCCACAGAGATCTGCGAACAGAAAAGTGACTCGGGACTTGTTGGCATGGCACACGTTATGGAAGCCATAGATGAAATGTTCTCATCTTCTTATATAAGCGCAATTCGGTAATATGATGGTTTGATCATGCAGTTTGTTAAGTTCATACAGTAAATTCTGATGTCCAGTAAACCCCAAGATGTGAACTTGCTGTATAGGGAATACATCTGCCTGAAGAAGATGTGATTTAACTCCTGATGTTTGCTTTTTGCACTGACTACTAATATGCAAGCTCCACTGAACTCATTGGAACTTAGTTCACAGTAGAAAAACACAGCAGTGGCCTGTTGTCCCTGACTTTGCAGTTCCACATGAGGTCAGGGTCAATTCTGTTTTGCTTCTTAGTTCCAGTTGTGTTGAGTTTCAGAAAACCATGGAAATTGAATGCAAATACAAGAATGATTCGGAATTTGAAGGGGAAATGCTTTCCTTTCCCTTGGCCTTGAGTAGCAGAGACACTTTGAATGCCAAAATAACAAGCCCCATCCTTCTCCTCTGGCTGAGAACTGCAAGCTCAGTGGGAATCTTTATTATTATGTTGCTTGCATCTTGTCAGACTATATAGTTGCAGGGCATGATCTTCTATGCACAACCTAAGCTGCAGAAGAAGAAAGTGAGTAGAGTTGTGGACTGCTGATATATAGGCAGTCCCCGAGTTGAAACATCCGATTTACAAACAACTCATAGTTAAGGATGGGCATGAGAGAAATCTATCCCTCGGAAGGGAAATTCACTCCTGAAAGACTTATTAAGGGGGAAAGGGAACTTCACTAAAGCTCTATAACCAATCCTTATTTCCACAACAAGCCAACATTTTCAAAATCTAATTATCATAGGGTCAGGAAGTGAGGTGAAATCTTTTGAACAGGGGCACAAACAGCAAGATAAAAACCACAGGGGCATTAATCCTTCCCTATGCTTTCCAACGCTAAAGTGTGCATATAGATATAGATATAGGCTGGAGTTTAACTTAAAACATGTACATGTTCCAACTTACATACAAATTCAGTTCTACAGAACTTATCTTGTTCATAACCTACGAACTAACTGTATATCCCTTCCATATTTGTGTAGACAAGGAGATGCAAGTTATAAAATGGAATCCTGAAATTTACAGGAAGTGCACTTCAAATAGAGAAAATATACATAATGGTTATTGGGAGTTCTTGCAGTAAGCCTGGGATTACTGCTCTGTTTTAATATCTTTTAGATACAGTTTTTTTTTTCTCAACAGTTTACGGTATTGCTTATCGAGCCAAGGGACTTCCTTTGTGGGTCAAAATCGTTATGTTTGTATAATTAACTTCATAATCTTTTGTCCTCTTTCAGGAACGCATCCCTACAGGAGCAAATCTTCCTAAAAGCAATAATTGCGGAATTTCGCAGATCAGGACTGGAGGAGGCTACAGTTCAACAGGTAGGCTTTGAAAAAAATATGGCTGATTTTGTTTCATTGTTTCATAACATCCAAAAAATCCCCTAACTGAAAACTGCTGTGTGCATTCAAGATTCAATGGTATATTTTGCCTTAAGATGCAGTGTATTGTACATTTCCACATAGACGGAATTGCAACAGGTCTCCCCTTGCCAACTCCATTTTAGTATTGCAACCTCCTGCCAAACATGGTGATTTACTGGCTAGTGGAGAGAGAGTTCTTTGAGTTGGACCTACAGTGACAGGCATTTTCTTGGATTGTCCCAGAGGATGATGTCATTGCTGTGCACCCAGCTATGTAACCATAGTTGGATGCTTCACTACTAGACGCACACCTTTGCTGTCCACTAGCCAATCAATGGCTATGTTGGGGATGGGCAGATGCAACATCTTAAAGATACATTTTGGAGAGAGTTTGATGATTATGCATTTCGTTTATACTTCCAACTTTTGCAACAAACACAAAAGTCAGGTGGGTTGCTGTGAGTTTTCTGGGCTATATGGCCATGTTCCAGAAGCATTCTCTCCTAACGTTTTGCCCACATCTGTGGCAGGCATCCGCAGAGGTTGTGAGGTCTGTTGGAAATTAGGCAAGTGGGGTTTCTATACCTATGGAGAAAGAACTCTTGTCTGCTTGAGGCAAGTGTGAATGTCGCATCTAGCCACCTTGATTAGCATTAAATAGCCTTGCAGTTTCAAAGTCTAGCTGATTGCTGCCTGGAGGGATCTTTTGTTGACTTCTGGGATCCATAGGAACAGAATGCAAACCTTTGAACCTTTCCCCCTATCCAATGACAGACCTCTGTGCTCCTTAAAGGATGTTCCACAAGGTTTTCTAGTATATGGAAAGGTACGGTGAGGGGAAAGCAGTAAGATCCAGTCCAATTACACAATGGAATCCTGGCCTATAGATCTAAGGAACCTACAGTGTAATCTGTCACATGTGACGTTACAATTCATAAATATTAATGCGCCAAATTTATTTATTTATTATTTATTTACTTTTATTGTTATCCACCTTTCTCCTCATAGGGACACAGGGCGGCTAACAATGACATGGCACAATACAGTATAATTTTAAAAAAACAGTTTAAATACAATTAAAATTACATTTAAAAACTAGACGGCTCCCTCCCCTCAATCCCACCCACATCTTCCCCAGCAGCCTGCCTCTCATCACTCATCTTAATGCCTGATAGCAGTGGCATGTTTTCACCTGCCTGCAAAAGGCAAGCCAGGATGCGGCCATCATGGTCTCTCTTTCCATGTATTGTCAGTTTTGCCCTCAGCCTCTTCAACAGGGCTTATCTATCTTCAATAGCTCCCCAATAAGCAATTTATATATAGTATACATTGCAAGTATTTGCAGAATTGTGATTAATAAAAAACCCAACAAATTATCTTCCCAGTTGCACACTTTAAATACAAAACTTGTTTGAAACATTTTTCAAAATCCCGTGGTTCAGAATATACTCCTATACCTCATGAGTTGGGGGAGCAAGAGGATCATCATTACTCTCTCTTCAATGTTTTTTCTGTTCTTACTAACCAGATGAATTCTTTTTTTTTTTTTTGTCCCTATAGATATTTCACCAGCATGTTGCACTGAGTAGAATTGAAGGCCTGCAAACTCCCAACCTATCAGACATAATGGCAATTGCCTCGCGGCTTGGTGCTTGTAGGATTTTGCTATCCGAATCCAGTCATAAGTATCTTCACATGCGAGTCCGACTTAATGTTAGCCAGGATGACGTTATGTATGCTCTCAAGGAAGAATGAAGCCAACTGTGCCCTGGTGGCAACACATTTGTATTAAATGTCAAAGATGTTTATTTTAAGTAATTGTGCTGATTAAACTAACATGTAGTTAATCTTAAAAGTGGTGTCAGTGTTGTGTTGTTGAAGGCTTTCATGGCCGGCATCACTGGGTTGCTGTGAGTTTCAGTCAGCCAGACTTTGAAGCTGCAAGGCTATTTAATGCTAATCAAGGTGGCCAATTGCAACATTCACACTTGCCTCAAGCAGACAAGAATGCTTTATCCCACCCTGGACATTCCACAGATATATAAACCTCGCTTGCCTAGTTTCCAACAAACTTCACATTCTCTGAGGATGCCTGCCACAAATGTGGGTGAAACGTCAGGAGAGAATGCTTCTGGAACATACAGCCCGGAAAACTCACAGCAACTTGGTGTCAATATTCTTTTGATTTACTTCTGCATTCCAACATTTATGAACAAATTGTTCCAAAATCTTTGTCTTCAGCTATTCAAAGCACTTCCATTTCCTAGCTGCCTAAACTCAATGGAAACATGGTTGGGCTCATTCGATTCCTTACATAATGCAGCCCCTTAAATTCCTGTGATAAACTAGGGATCAAAAAGTGTGAGCTCTTTGCACTTTAACTCCTCCAACAAACATAAAATGTAATTCCAATCTTTGATAACACAATCCAACCAAAAAAATCTGGGGGGGGGGGGGTCTTGGTATCTAGGCCATTTCCTGAGGTTATTTGAGGTGCTGATTCAGAAAATTGTATTGCTTAGACTGCATCCACTCTGCCCTTGGTGGTGTAATGGGTGAAACCCTTGTGCCAGCAGGACTTGCTAACAGGTCAGCTGTTCAAATCTGGGGAGAGCGGGTTGAGCTCCCTCTGTCAACTCCAGCTCACTATGCAGGGACATGAGAGAAGCCTCCCCCAAGGATGATAAAACATATATCCGGATGTCCCCTGGGCAACATCCCTGCAGATGGCCAATTCTCTCACACAAGAAGCAAACTTGTAGTTTCCCATGTCACTCCTGACAAAAAAAAATCTGCTCTAGTATCTTAGATATCATGATTTCTTATGGGTGAGCAGATGAAGACTGGTATATGTTCTGCATCTTAAAAACAAAAACTAGAGTTGATAGGAGGAAACTATTGGAATCAGCAGGTCAAATATACCCAGAAACAGGGCTAACATTTAAGGCATCAAAATGTGTGGGGGTCAGTGTAATAAATTGGGAAAAATCATTAGCACTAATCTTCAGACTACATTTTGCAAACCTACTTTTTATCATGCCTGGAAGCAAACCACTAATATTAGTTTTCTAATTAAAATATGACAAACCGATTTGGAAGGCAGAAATCTGGGGTGGTTCCACTCCTGAAATCATGCTTTGACTTTCTATCTTTCAACTAAACTTAAACATTGTATATTCCATTGATGGTCACTAGATGGCAATGTACATCTTTTGCTTAGACTTAGAGAGCAACATTTATGCTAATTTAGTTGCAGTTTTCAGATTTAGCTGATAGCTTTTCATAATTATGATACTCAACATCACATGCCTTTTTTGACATCATGATTATCACAGTGGGGCTCAAAAACAGGAAATAATGTCAATTTGATTTCTTTATTAATGTGTAGGTGAGTATAACCATCCATCCATCTTGCCCTTGGTCGGTCCCTCTTCCTTTTTCCTTCCATTTCCCCCCAGCATCATTCCTTCCATTTCTCCAAGCTTTCCTGTCTTCTCATGTGGCCAAAGTACTTCATCTTGGCCTCTTAATATCTTTCCCTCCAATGAGCAGTCGGGCTTTATTTCCTGGAGTATGGACTGGTTTGATCTTCTTGTGGTCCAAGTCACTTTCAGAACTTTCCTCCAGCACCACAGTTCAAAAGCGTCTATCTTCCTTCGCTCGGCCTTCCTTATGGTCCAGCTCTCGCATCCATAGGTTGCTATGGGAAATACCATTGCTCTAACTATGCGGATCTTCGTTGCCAGTGTAATGTCTCTATCCTTCACTATTTTATTGAGATTGGTGATTGTTCCCCTCCCAAGAAGTAAACGTCTTCTGATTTTCTGGCTGCAATCTGCGTCTGCAGTAATCTTTGCACCTAGAAATACAAAGTCTGTCACTGCCTCCACGCTTTCTCCCTCTATTTGGCAGTTATCAATCTGTCTGGTTGCCACAATCTTGGGATTTTTTAATGTTTAACTGCAACCCAGTTTTTGCGCTTTCACCTTGATTAGAAGGCTCCTCAGCTCCTCCTCGCTTTCAGCCATCAAGGTGGTATCGTCTGCATATTGAAGGTTGTTAATGTTTCTTCCAGCAATTTTAACTCCGGCCTTGGATTCATCAAGCCCTGGACGTTGCATGATGTGTCTTGCCAAAGAGTTTGTTGTTGTTGTTCTAGGTAGGCCTGGGCCTGGAAAGACAGACCGGGGCTGGGTTGGGCGGGTGGTCCACCGTCTAACTGGCAAGGGAAGCACCCTTGCCTTCATTTAGTAATTAGTAACCACTTTGTTGTTGTTTATTTGTTCAGTCATTTCTGACTCTTCATGACCTCATGGACCAGCTCACGCTATAGCTCCCTGTCAGCCGTCACCACCCCCAACTCCTTCAAGGTCAATCCAGTCACTTCAAGGATGCCATCCATCCACCTTGCCCTTGGTCGGCCCCTCTTCCTTTTTCCTTCCATTTTCCCCAGTATCATTCTCTTCTCTAAGCTTTCCTGTCTTCTCATGATGTGGCCAAAGTACTTCATCTTGGCCTCTACCATCTTTCCTTCCAATGAGCAGTCGGGTTTTATTTCCTGAAGTACTTCCTGAAGTATGCCAAAGAGTTGCTATTTCCAGGCCTATTTCCCCAGCAGAAGCGTTAGCCCCGCCCCCTTTAAAATGCCTATCATTCAGTAGCCACGGCCCCCGCGTCTCATGTCTCCGCCCCCTTCCAGTCGCTCTCCCTCTTCTCACTTGACGAGCGCTCCTGCGCCTGCGCGTTGCCAGGCCTCTTGGCGCAGCCCCCTCTCAGCGCCGGAGTGGGCGGGGACGGCGCGCGCCTCTCTCCCCTTCTCCCTCTCTCTTTCTGTGTGTGTATGTATATCTCTGTGGGAGAGCCGCGGCTTCCTGTCTGTGCCAACGGACCCCAACGGCTGCGGCAGGCTGAGGTGAGCGCGTGCCTTCGTCTTGAGCAGAGGCCCCGTTGCTGGGGAGATTGGAGCGGAGGGAGGGGGGAAAGGAGGAAGGAACGGCAGGGGCTGCTGCTGCTGCTGTTCCTCCTTTCGCTCCTCCCCCCCCCCGCCCTCCTCAGTCAATGTTTTGTTGTGAAGTGAACCTGAGGCATCACCTAGCTACTTCTAGGTAGGCCTGGGCCTGGAAAGACAGACCTGGGCTGGGCTGAGCGGGGAGGCCACCCTCTAGCTGGCAAGGGGAGCACCCTCGCCTTCATTAAGAACCTGGGTTGGCCTCATTCACACGTGCTTCCCCCTCAGACGCGTGTCAACTGCCTTTTGGCCTCGCCTCTGTCCCTGGCTGTTTGCAGGCAGGCATGCAAGTCATCTCTCCCTCACCCCAGTGACAGGACGTGATCAGAGAGCCTGCATGGGCGCTGCGAAGGGAAGGAAAGAAGGAATGAAGGGGAGTTGCCCAATACAAGGAATATGTCAAAATACAATGACAATCGAAGAGCCTCAAAGGAAATTAACACACTCTTTATTTTCCTAATGGGCTTCTAGGTGCAAAGCGTACTTTTGCCAAGGTGAAGAGATTTTGTCACACTTTGAACTGAGGAAACAAAGTTGGAAGCTTTGGTAGAGGCAGGGTGCCTCTTTACACAGGAGATGAGGCCTTGGCAAAGTTGGGCCCTCCAGGTGTTTTGGACTTCAACTCCCACCATTCCTAACAGCCTCGGGCCTCTTCTTTTCCCCCCTCCTCCAGGTGTTTTGGACTTCAACTCCCACCATTCCTAACAGCCTCAGGCCTATTCCTTTCTTCAGGTTTTTGGACTTCAACTCCCACCATTCCTAACAGCCTCAGGCCCTTCTTTTCCCCCTCTCAGGTGTTTTAGACTTCAACTCCCACCATTCCTAACAGCCTCAGGCCTCTTCTTCCCCCCCCCCCCTTCCAGGTGTTTTGGACTTCAACTCCCACCATTTCCTAACAGCCTCAAGCCTCTTCTTTTTCTCCCTTGGCCGTTAAGGCCAAGGGGGAAAAAGAAGGGGCCTGAGGCTTTTAGGAATGGTGGGAGTTGAAGTCCAAAACACCTAGAGGGCCCAACTTTGCCCAGGCCTGCTGTAGAGCGAACACAGTTTGACACCACTTTAGCTGCCATGGCTCAAAGTTTTGGTCTGATGACTATGTTTATTCTTATGCTATGCAATGATTTGTTTACATCTTGTTTGTTGCTTTTGAGTCCTGATCTGGGAAAAAAGCAGGATAGAAATAAATAAATAAATATAATAATAACTATGACATGGTGGTCCACGCCTTAGTCACCTCCAGATTGGATTACTGTAATGCACTCTACGTGGGGCTGCCCTTGAAGATGGCTCGGAAATTTCAATTGGTACAACGGACGGCAGCCAGGTTACTAACTGGAACGACTTACAGGGAGCGGTTAAGGAGCTCCACTGGCTGCCGTTCATTTTCCGGTCCCAATTTAAGCTGCACATTCTTACCTACAAAGCCCTGAATGGTTTGGGACCCGCCTACCTGCATGACTGCATTTCTGTGTACGAACCCACGCGATCTTTTCGATCATCTGGAGAGGCCCTGCTCTCGCTCCCACCCCCTTCGCAAGCGCGATTGGTGGGGACGAGGGAGAGAACCTTCTCTGTGGTGGCCCCCTGACTCTGGAACTCACTCCTTAAGGATATCAGACAAGCTCCCACATTAGCAGTCTTTAGGAGGAGCCTGAAAACGTGGCTGTTCCAGTGTGCCTTCCCTGAATAAGGAAACAATGTCCTGCTCGGATTAATTCTCTGCAATTGTCCTCAGAAGTACTTTACTACCCGTTGGGTTGGTCTCCCTACATTATCTTTTAAAGCCCTCCTGTTTAGGTACACCCTACCTCTGTTCATGCCCAGTGTTTATTTTAAATTTTTTAATTTAT